TTTAATTTTTAGCTCACCTGACCTGAAAGGTCAAGTGAGCTTTTCTCATCACTTTGCGTCCGTCGTCCGTAAACTTTTACAAAAATCTTCTCCTCTGAAACTACTGGTCCAAATTTGACCAAACTTGGCCACAATCATCATTGGGGTATCTAGTTTAAAAAATGTGTCCGGTGACCCGGCCAACCAACCAAGATGGCCGCCATGGCTAAAAATAGAACATAGGGGTAAAATGTAGATTTTGGCATATATCTCTGAAACCAAAGCATTTAGAGCAAATCTGACATGGGGTAAAATTGTTTATCAGGTCAAGATCTATCTGCCCTGAAATTTTCAGATGAATCGGACAACCCGTTGTTGGGTTGCTGCCCCTGAATTGGTAATTTTAAGGAAATTTTGCCGTTTTTGGTTATTATCTTGAATATTATTATAGATAGAGATAAACTGTAAATAGCAATAATGTTCAGCAAAGTAAGATCTACAAATAAGTCAACATGACCAAAATGGTCAGTTGACCCCTTAAGGAGTTATTGCCCTTTATAGTCAATTTTTAACCATTTTTCGTAAATTTTTGTAATCTTTTACAAAAATCTTCTCCTCTGAAACTACTAAGACAAATTTAACCAAACTTGTCCACAATCATCATTAGAGTATCTAGTTTTAAAAATGTGTCTGATGACCCCGCCCGCGAACCAAGATGGCCGACATGGCTAAAAAATAGTACATAGGGTAAAATGCAGTTTTTGGCTCATATCTCTGAAACCAAAGCATTTAGAGCAAATCTGATGAGGATAAAATTGTTCATTAGGTTAAGATCTATCTGCCCTGAAATTTTCAGACCAATCAGGCAACCCGTTGTTGGGTTGCTGCCCCTGAATTGGTAATTTTAAGGAAATTTTGCCGTTTTTGGTTATTATCTTGAATATTATTATAGATAGAGATAAACTGTAAACAGCAATAATGTTCAGCAAAGTAAGATCTACAAATAAGTCAACATGACCAAAATGGTCAGTTGACCCCTTAAGGAGTTATTGCCCTTTATAGTCAATTTTTAACCATTTTTCGTAAATTTTTGTAATCTTTTACAAAAATCTTCTCCTCTGAAACTACTAAGACAAATTTAACCAAACTTGTCCACAATCATCATTAGGGTATCTAGTTTAAAAAATGTGTCCGATGACCCCGCCCGCGAACCAAGATGGCCGACATGGCTAAAAAATAGTACATAGGGTAAAATGCAGTTTTTGGCTCATATCTCTGAAACCAAAGCATTTAGAGCAAATCTGATGAGGATAAAATTGTTCATTAGGTCAAGATCTATCTGCCCAGAAATTTTCAGACCAATCAGGCAACCCGTTGCTGGGTTGCTGCCCCTGAATTGGTAATTTTAAGGAAATTTTGCCGTTTTTGGTTATTATCTTGAATATTATTATAGATATCATAGAGATAAACTGTAAACAGCAATAATGTTCAGCAAAGTAAGATCTACAAATAAGTCAACATGACCAAAATGGTCAGTTGACCCCTTAAGGAGTTATTGCCCTTTATAGTCAATTTTTAACCATTTTTCGTAAATTTTTGTGATTTTTTACAAAAATTTTCTCCTCTGAAACTACTAAGACAAATTTAACCAAACTTGTCCACAATCATCATTAGAGTATCTAGTTTAAAAAATGTGTCCGATGACCCCGCTCGCGAACCAAGATGGCCGACATGGCTAAAAAATAGTACATAGGGTAAAATGCAGTTTTTGGCTCATATCTCTGAAACCAAAGCATTTAGAGCAAATCTGATGAGGATAAAATTGTTCATTAGGTCAAGATCTATCTGCCCTGAAATTTTCAGACCAATCAGGCAACCCGTTGTTGGGTTGCTGCCCCTGAATTGGTAATTTTAAGAAAATTTTGCAGCTTTTGGTTATTATCTTGAATATTATTATAGATAGAGATAAACTGTAAACAGCAATAATGTACAGCAAAGTTAGATCTACAAATAAGGCAACATGACCAAAATTGTCAATTGACCCCTTAAGGAGTTATTGCCCTTTATAGTCAATTTTTTACAATTTTCATAAATTTTGTAAATTTTTGTAAATTTTTACAAAGTATTTTCCACTGTAATTACCGGGCCAAGTTCATTATAGATAGAGATAGTAGTAAGGAGCAAGAATGTTCAGTAAAGTAAGATCTACAAACACATCACCATCACCAAAACACAATTTTGTCATGAATCCATCTGTGTCCTTTGTTTAATATGCACGTAGACCAAGGTGAGCGACACAGGCTCTTTAGAGCCTCTAGTTTATTAAATAATAAGAGTTATTCCCCTTGGAAATTTTGTTTATATGGAAAATTGCATCATTAGCACTCTCATGTGTACAATTCTTGCCAGAATTTTATGAAACTTGTATCATAGGTTTATATCATCCATGTTTTTGATGAGTTCGAAAATCAGTGCCATCAATTATTTTTAAAAGAGTTATGCCCTTGAAAATATTTATTATTTGGAAAATTGTGTGATAGCACTCTCATGTGTACAATTCTTGCCAGATTTTTATGAAATTTATATTGTAGGTTTATATCATCAACGGCTCCCACGAATTTGAAAATTAGTGCCGATCAATTATTTTTAAAAGAGTTATGTCCCTTGGAAATATTGATTATATGGAAAATTGCATTGTTAGCGCTCTCATGTGTACAATTCTTGCCAGAATTTTATGAAACTTATATCATAGGTTTATATCAGCAATGTCTTTGACACTTTCGAAAATAAGTGCTGAACAAATGTTTTTAATGAGTCATGCCCCTTAGAAAAATTAAATATAAGGGAAATAGCATTGACGTTACGCACGTTATTGTGTCAATACCGTGTAATCAACCAGTCCACACTAATAAACAGCTTTTCTATAAAATCATAACGGTGAAGTTATATAATTTTTTTATCCATAGACTAGACTGGTAAAAACTATTCCGAAAAAAAACTACAAACTGTTTTATCATATTTTACAATAGTCTAAAATAAGGACAACATATTGACAAAACGTCCAAAATATGCGTGTCAGACGTAACAGACTATACGCATAATAACTTTAGCAGGGGTGTTTGTGTTCTTCAAAACAGTGTTATATCCGCGAAAATTCGAATGAATGATATGCTTTATATATAAAGTATAACAATATTACTGAATATGCGTTCCTGTAACAACCAACATTATTTTTTGGCAAAAACAAAAAGTGTCCATTATGGTCAGATTTAGGAAAATCTTAAGTTATCAAAATTTATAGGTTTCAAAATGTAAGATTATATGAAATTTCGTTTGTGTAAATTATGCTCACAAAAGTACATATATAGACCATTTCAAAATCGAATTTTTGCAGCACTCACACCACATGTAAAAAGGCAACGGCTTCTGGCAAATGTCTTGCAATATGTCCAATGTCGGATTTCGCCGCTTTTTACAAATAAACTGTCATTTGCGACGTTATTATTGAAAATTGAGATTTGTTGCATGCTAAATATTGCTTTTCTGTAATTGTACATTAACTCTACGAAACAGCTACATACTTTTTGATAATTTGCGTAGTCAAAACGACTTCGTTTTTCAAAGAAATGAAATGTTTTGCAAGTTTGTCCACTGGACGATTTTCATACGTTTTGAACGTTGTAAATTCGGGACGCTATTTATGGTGGATCATCTGTATATATTTCTTCAGATAGAATTTTTTTGATAGTCAGATACTATCAAAAAGACCACAAAGTATTTAAAAAAATCCGATGCCTGGGGTTGTTCGTTTAGATGAAGTTCTTTAGTTGTGAAAAAATTGTGTATTACGAGAGGATAAAAAATTATCTTTTTCGATTCAAATTTTCAAATTTGGGGAGCGTAAAACTGCGATTTTTTTTATTTCTCTGCAATAAGATTCATATGTATAGAACTTGAAAGTAAAAATAAAATTGGACCTGAAGCGTGGCTATATACCTCTCCATATCATACAAGGCTTGTAAACATATGAGATGAATATAATTAACCTTTTTTCTGACAATCGTTTCATCGCTTAATCTAATTGTTCCGTTATTAAAGAAAGTACAGTGAATTTTATAAGCAAGACCCGTTTAACTTGTAATTCCCGACAAACATTTTTTAATTAAATCAAAATATATATCTTCTTCCTTTTCGGATCAATATGGGGAAACATTGCATTTTATTACCTTTTATGTCAATTGGTCTCTGGTAGAGAGTTGTCTCATTGGCACTCATCATACCATATATAGCTTCTGTTTCATATAGACTTATGCATTACCCAAATACGATATATTTTGTTGTTTGTTGCTTACGTTACTTTCAGTGGGAAATATTTCATGCATAGAAATTGCAAGCGAAATAAAAAAATATCCCCAATATAATCATGATAATAATTAATCGCCGTAAAACGTAAAAAAAAATGACATTACCATTTGAGACGCAATATCGTGCGTAACGTCATTTCATTTGCTCTGAAGCCTTCATTTCTTTAAGAAATTTATAAATTGTTTTAAAGAACAAAAAAAAATTTTTTTTAGTTATTGTCCTTGGTTAGATAAGATACGTGCAAAGTGTGGGACATTGGAACTCTGTTCTTTTATTCTTCTTTGAATTCTTAAATTCGTGCTTTGCTGTGACCCATGAAACCCACGAACATTGGTATACCACGAATAAAAATCAATCCACAGTACTTGCCCATTTTGAGTTAAATTTTGACAGAAAAATATGAAGAAATACTTTATAATAAATCCTTGTTTTGTTGTGATTGGATGAAAACATGACTGCTGGCATGGAGGAGACTTGGTTTTTGTTGTCTATTAAAATTGTTGGTAATTTTCACGTACATGTATCTTCTGTTTTGAAACATTAAGATCAAGCAAGAAGACACAACGTGACCATAGGGTGATATGACCTTGACATGTACTTTATTTTACTTTGTGACAGGAAATTAGTTCAATACAAATTTTATACTTGAATTTCAGTTCAAAAAGACATAGCGAGAGAAGATCTATTATAGCTGCTAGAATATGGAAGACAGCAGAATTTTCCACCTTCGTAGAATTGGTCCGTCCAAAACACTCCCCATAGCTGTGGATCACATGGAGTATGTATGAAATATTCAGTAGATTCGAAACACTTTAAGCGAAATGCAATGAGTGTGGTTGTAGTTAATACCCGACCACTAAATGCATCCTTGTACACTAGAAATTGATGTTGACTGGCTGCCATAGATGTATTTACACTTTGTATGCAAATTTATTCGCCAGGACATAAAACCACACAGGTTCCATGCAAAATATTGCATCACAATTTAAAACATTTGACATCATAATCTAAAAATGATTGTTGCATGACGCCAAAAGGTTTTTCGGAGACCGCTCTAGGATCAATCGTAGATGAAATTCAGCTAAATACCAAAAGTGGTAATATGTCTATTGAATTGTTCATTGCAACAGTAGAAAATCATGACACGAATCTAGTTTGTGTTGCTGCATATTGCTGTTTAGTATTGTCAATCCTAACTAGATCTCAGGATGAGAATAATATTTTTGGAGTGCAAATTAATATGGTATTTGTGAACAGTGATATCTGGCTTTGTTACCTACATTGTATATATTGGATATGAAGTGCTGATTGAAGAACTTAAGATTAAAGGTTTATTCTTTGGTATTTTACTATGGTTAAAGGTACAGAATATTAACAGTGTGATGGTACACATCTGGTTAGGCTTTTGTTGGAAATATTCATAAATAGAAATTTAAGCCTTTGACGGAGAACATTTTATTACATTTTTGTATGGCCTCCCGACAAAATTTTAGGGGCATATAATGCTACCCCTGTCCATCCTTCCATCCCACATAGGGTATGTGGTTTGTCAGGTTTACACCTCCTACAAGCAAGAACTTTGATATTAAATAGGGTGTTATTATGTATAGTTAAGGTGTGCATATTGTCAGGATTTAGATTTTTCAAAATATTAGACAAATGACAGATGGTTGAGCTTTGTAATTTTAATGCACCCATCCCAGCGGAGGGGGCATTAAGTGTTACCCTTGTCAGTCTGTAGGTCTGTCTGTATGTACGTCCCAAAATTAGTTTCTGTTCTCTAACGTTAGTTTGCCTCAACCAAATGTTATGAAACTTAATACACAATGCTTATTACCACAAAACACAGATCAAATTTGAATTTGGGTGGCGTCACTTTTACTGTTCTAGAGTTATGCCCCTTGAAAAATGGAAAAATTGCTCGTTTCCGTTCTCTAACTTTAGTTTGCCTCAACCAAATGTTATGAAACATATACACAATGCTTATTACCACAAAACTCAGATCAAGTTCGAATTTGGGTGGCATCACTTTTACCTTTCTTGAGTTATGTCTCAAGTGATGCAACTAATCGATGCACCTGTCGGACCTGGTGGACCTGGTGGGCAGAATTTTAGAGGGTCCGGCAAATGACGTCTTTGTGTCAGACCCAATGACCGGCAAATATTTTTACTGTTTGGGGAAGTCAAAATTGAAATTTCTGTTGGTTCTTGTAACCTTGGCTTCCAAATTAATAATGTAGTTGAAAGGCATTGAAAACCGAAAGTTCTAATGACACATTTATTGCCGGTAATAGGTAAACGTGCTGATGTTAACATATTTCGATCTTCTTTGCGTTTATCCTATTAGCGTAAGTCATGTGATCATAATTATTTTCGTATTTCTCAGGATTTATTATTTCACATAGCAATGAAAACGAAAGTAAATTTCCGGTAAAAATATTGAGTAGAAACATGTTTTCAGCTTCTTTTTGATAGCTGAGGGATAATTTTGATGATTACAAGACTCAGCAAGTGTTATCAGACGCGTTCCTGGGACGCACGGTTCATGTAATGGCGCGTCCATGGCGCGAATAAGGTCACCATAACAAGAACATTATTAGTATGAAAAAACGAGTTTCGTCTCCATATGACACATCAGTGGTGCATGAACAGTTGGAACAATAGATGGCCAAAATCAATTATGTAGTTGAAAAGCACTGAAAACCAAAAGTTCTATTAAGGGACAACTAATGTCGTAATGACCAGATTTAAGTAAATTATAAAATTAAACAAAAACAAGTATTATTTTAGTTTTCTAAGAGTGTTTTTTTCTTCATTTTAGTTAATGTATGAACATATTTATTCGTTTTGACGTACAAATGTAGCTTGCCACTGTCCTTGTTTTTGATCTAATTTTTCTTATGCCAATTATTGGCGTAACAACAATTAGATTATCTTGTGCCAAAGTACTCCTGTGAGGAATAACTCTTGGGTCATCATTTATGTATTAATATATTGAATAAACTACAATGTTTATGAATATGAATCACAGATTAAAATAATATATATATAACAAAATAAAAATAAATTATTCAAAAGCGTCTCATTTTATTTTTGAGTGAAAATATAGGTCTGGCAAAAACTTGATGGGTCTGGCAAAACTTACTACCCTGTAGGCCCCAATGTCTGACAGAAAAAAAAAACTGTTTGCATCTCTGTGTCTCTGTATAACGTTATATGCAAACGGGGATATCATTTGTGTCAAAGGGACACATTCTCCATTTATTTGGTAATATAAGGAAAGCAGGGAACATGGTTTTTCTACATTACTTCTACAGTTTTTAAGCTAGAACTTTTATATTATTGTGAGTACATATACTAAAGGTAGGCATATTGTCAGGATTTTGAATTTCTTCAAATTTTAAACTAGTGACAGAATGTTTAGCCTTCTTTGGCAGGGGCATCAAATGCGTTATTCAGACTATTCTAAATTGTACTTCAACATTACTGTTTAACTAAATTCAATGCTTGTGTTACTATATTCATGCATGCAATAGGGTTTCGTCTTTGTCTAGTTCTGTCTTTTGTAATTGTACACGAAAGTTGAGCTGGCTGATTTTTTGGATGTTGATTTGTTACGTTTCTACAAGCATAGCGTTCAGCTGACTTCAAAGTACATGCGACAGTTTAACAATAACCTTGACCTAAATTTTTAGATTTAGTTATAAGTGTTAAGATTTCCTGCTCTTGTCAGTTTCTCAGTGACTATGAGGAAAAAGGGAAGCTCTGTTTGAACTTTAGAATCATTATGATATGAATATGACAGCTTTAAAGGAAGTTGTCCTTGACTTCATTTTTATGTTTCATTCATCAAAGTTTATTTTTACCCTATAATTTTTCCTATATCATTTTGTTAGGCTGGTTGCAAAAGATGAAACAAACAATAAATATATTTTCCTAACAAACTGCTACATTAAAAAAAAATTGTATGCATTATTTTTGCAATTGTCAAACAGTGAACAAAAATGCAAGATTAAATATTCTGGTTTCAGGAAATACAATCTTGACAAAGATTTCTGGATTTTTAGTAATATACATTTACAATTTATGTATTTTACAGCTTTACCAACTCAGTCAGCATAATTGGACGAGGTAGAACTGCGGGGGTGGATTTTATCATTGATTCTGCAAATAGAAACAGAAGTTTGTATATATCCAGGATACATGCAAGGGTTGTTAAACAAGATAATAAACACATTCTGTACGATGACAGTCGTAATGGGGTTTTTGTTAACAACTCGAAAATTGGAGGTATGTAATAATATTTGTTTCTCAAAACATTTTGGAGTTATTATTGTTAACAGTTGAATAATGGGTACATATAAAAATAAGAAGATGTGGTTTGGTGGTATGATTGCCAATGAGACAACTCTCCTCCAGAGACCAAATGATGTAGAAGTTGTCAACTAGAGGTTACTGTACGGCCTTCAACAATCAGCAATACCCATACCTCATAGGAAGCTATAAAAGGCCCAGTAATAAAAAATGTAAAACAATTCAAAGGAAAAAATTAATAGCCTGATTTAAGTACAAAAAAATAAAAGAAAAACAAATATGATATACAGCAACAAACGACAACTACTGAATTACAGGCTCCTGACTTTGGGACAGGCACATACAGAATGTGGAAAAGATTTTTCTAACTTTTTATGACTAACAAACTGATACATCCAAATGCAGAAAACTAATTTAAAATTATGATTCTTATTGAATTTCAAGATATGGACTGAAAGGTTTTTGTCAAAATCTTGAAACATAATCCCTTTAAATACTTTTAAACAGATTACCAGTTCATATCCCTGCTTTGAGCCTACAAGGAAAGTCAGGAAAGCAAGCCATACCAATCCTTCCTTCTGTCATTAGCATCAATGTTGTCGATATTTAGGTTCAGTCTGTGGTCAAAGTTTTTTCAAACCTTCATGGCTGCTGTTTGTTTTTTAGCTCACATGGCTGAAAGGCCAAGTGAGCTTTTCTCATCACTTTGAGTCCGTCTTCCCTCGTCGTTGTCAGTTTACTTTTACAAAAATCTTCTCCTTTGAAACTACTGGGCCAAAATTTAACCAAACTTGGCCACAATCATCATTGGGGTATATAGTTTTAAAAATGTGTCCAACGACCCTGCCTGCCAACCAAGATGGCCAACATGGCTAAAAAATAGAACATAGAGGGTAAAATGCAAGTTTTGTCTATTACTTTGAAAACCGTTAAAAATAGAGAAATTCTGACTACAGCAAAATTGTTCATAATGTTGAGCTCTACCTATTGTCTATTTACGTCAAAACAATCAGACAACATAGGAGTTATTGCTATTAAAAGATGAATTTTACCATTTTTAAAAACTTTCCTCTTATCTCAAAAATTATAATAGATAGACATAAACTTTAAAAGGCAAAAATGATCTGCAAGACAAGATCTACAAATAAGTCAACATGACCAAAATCATCAGACGACTCCTAATTAGAGTTATTGCTCCTTAAAGGGGCATTAGCTACAAGATTTTAAAAAAATTAAAATTTAGCAGCCAATTTAATTTGGTTCAATTTTGTCAAAATAAGCTAAGAAACATGGCTGATGAATTATTCACTTGCAAGTGAATAATTTCAACCTACTTGAATCCGTATTCTTGTGACCTTCAGTTTAACCTCGTAGCTGGACATGGGTAACTCATGTATTCAGCTATGAAAAGGTAAAGAATGTCAACACTGAAAGTGAAACAAGGATGAACCATTTTGTTGACTGATTCGATCCACACAAAATCATTTTTATACAGGTAAAAACGATGATTAACATACTTTTTAACCTACAATATGAAATCAAACAGACTAAATCCAATTGCACATGGTCACTATCTGTTTATATTTATATTTATGTTTATATCATGTTATATGACCTTCGGCAGTCTTTGGAGGTCATCTCGATGGTTAATTAGATGTTGTCTAGACAAAAATACACACAAAATGTTGATACATATTATCGAGTCCATGCATTGTTAATGGTTTATTTTAGACTTTTTGTAATTTGGATATACGTTTTAGTATGTTATAAATCAATTATGAGAATTTGAGATTTTTATAAATTTTAGATTTTGCGTTTCCGAGTTGTGGGGTTTTATTCATTAAAAAAGGGGTGATTTTCCAGTTTTCAGAAAAAAACTCGAAAACATGAAACTTTGGTGAATTGTTTATATCTATTGACGTAAACTCCCTTTCGATTTTTATAAATTTTAGATTTTACGTTTCTGAGTTATGGGATTTTATTCATAAAAAAAAGGGGTGATTTTCCAGTTTTCGGACAATAACTCGAAAATGCTTTGAGCAGTTTTCATGAAACTTTGGTGACATGTTTATATCTGTTAAAACAACCTACCTTTAGTTTTTGTCTCGCTTTGACAGAGTCAAAAAGCGAGACATAGGTATGCTGTTTCCAGCGTCGGCGATGGCGGCGTCAACAATGTATTAGTTTGTGATTAGGTCTAGTTCATGGTGTACCACTAGTGGTAGGTCAATGATATTTGGTATGCAGTTGTATTAGCATTGTCACATCTCATTACCATGGAGATTATTCGGCCCCGCCTCCTCAGTCAAGGTCTATTGACTTTGAAACTTTGCTTAGTTTACATGTATTAGTTTGTGATTATGTCAGCTTATGGGGAACCACTAGTGGTAGGTCAATGATATTTGGTATGCAGTTGTATAAGCATTGGCATATCTCATTTCCATGGAGATTATTTGGCCCAGCCCCCTCATTCATCAGTGGTCTCGTTAGCCCAAAATAGAAGGGCGCCGCGCCCTGGGTGCCCTCAGCCGCGCCCTTCTGCCCTGATGCCTTTTTTCCAAAAACCCTTGTGCCGTTTTGGTAAAATTGCCTTTTGTTTCATCGATTTCTTATCACAAAGTTAAATTACATATATGACACCAGGTGATTGCCCCCAGGTTAATCATGTCATTACAATCAATTACAGTGGATAAGACTTCAAAGGTGTTAATAACTAGGTAATTTAATTAAGACAATGTACCTTTTTGTCATAAATTTGATGAATGTGTCAGCAAGTGTTTTTAGCTTGGGTTGGCATTTTCGATCTCCAAGAAGAGTGTATAAATGAAGACTTTCATGACTTTAGAATAGAATTTAAGTCATCAAAATACAACTATGCCTTCACAGAAACGCCGTCCATCTCAAGTTGTGAGCGACAAGCAAACAGTAAACATGTTCGAAATTAATTTGGAAGTTACTTCCCCTGTTTTAGTAATACAAATTTGTGCTCCTAAAATATTATCTAGTAGTAAAAATAGGAATAAATTACCAATTGAATACAAAATTATATAAGAATGTTACCTTAAGGATATTAACTGTCTTTGAACATACCAAAAAAAAATTTATTGCAATTTATTTTTGATAATCATACTTTTTTTTAATTAGCAATCCATGTTCTATACATTGTCAATTAAGAAATTTATCAGTTCAAACTGAACGGACGTGCTGGGTCAGCTCTCCTTTACCCGCTATCTTCAATGAGGGTTTACAGTTAGATGGATCAACGACTTACTACTTTCGATGACAGAAACCAATCCAACGCTGTACAGACTACGTTAGGCTATTATCCGCGTAGGGCAAATTCCCGCGTCAACATACACTCCAAAACCCATTATGGATGGAGGAGTGGTATGCCGAGTGACGTCTGAGGGCTGTATCCTAGGTGTTAGATGATGGACCACCATTTCACTGTCTCACGACTTTGGTCCTGATAATGCTTCCTGTCATCGTTGATACTACGTCCGAGACTCATCTACCAGTACTCCATCATCATGGTTAGCGGGCTGCCAAGCTGACCAATCTGGCCCTGAAAGCAGCCGTTGTGAAGACATAACATCAAAATAGTCAACAAAAGAAAAACCAAAACAACTCACAAAACCAAGATGGCGGCCTACCAAAATGGCGTCCTCCACCTGTTCCTGACCGATGGCACAAAATATTTAAACGCTCACCAAACGCCTTCAGGCACCGAGCCGACCGTGCAAGGACTGTATAGCCAGTCAAGGTCGTTAAAAACTTCCATTTGTTGTATCAGTTCAATTGTTATAATGATGTTATGCTGCAATCCTACAAAAATGGGCAGTGTGAAGTTAAACTATCATGACATCAACTTGATGAAGCTTTACTAAATAATTCCTTAACACAAACAATGAAAAAAGTTTTGAGGGTCAAACTCGAGCTGAAAATTTTGAAATAAGACAACTCTGTCACATGTATGCTAAATTATGAGATGTTTAGTTTATGTTGTTTTTTTTTGGAATGGGGAAGGGGGGGGGGGGGAGTGGGGAGAGAATAGTAAGTTAATTTGCCTCTATTGGTTTATAGTGATGTGATGTATGAATGTGTATTGACATGTTTTATGAACATGTCGAATGAATTACATTTTCTAATGCAAATTTTATAGAATAAATAATCAAAACAACAACTTATGCATCTTTATTAACAACATATACAGTAAAAAAAAGAATGTGAACTCGTGATACACACAGAAAAGTAGACAAAAGAAATGAGCAGTGCCTTTTCCTTTCATAAAAAAGTGCCCTGCCCTCCACTGGCACCCTGCCCCTTTTGATTTCTAGCTGGAGCACTGTTCATGGTCTATTGACTTTGAAACTTTTGCTTAGTTTCATGTATTAGTTTGTGATTAGGTCAGTTTAAGGGGAACCGTTAGTGGTAGGTCAATGATAATTGGTATGCAGTTGTATAAGCATTAGCACATCTCATTTCCATGGAGAATATTTGGTCCCTACCCCTCAGTCATGGTCTATTGACTTTGAAACTTTTGCTTAGTTTACATGTTTTAGTTTGTGATAAGTTCAGTTTAAGATGAACCACTAATGTTAAGTCAATGATATTCGGTATGCCAAGGTATTGGCATTTGCAAGTTTCATTTCCATGGAGATTATATAACCCCACCCCGTAATTATGGTTCATTGACTTTGAAACTTTTACATAGTTTACAAGTTAATTTTTGTGTTTAGGTTTGTTTAAAGGGAACGACTTATGAAAAGTCAATGGTATTTGGTTTGCAGTTGTATTAGCATTGGCACATCTCATTTCCATGAAGATTGTTAAGCCCTGTACCTACAGTCATGGTTCATTGACTTTGAATATTTGCATAACTTAAATGTCAAAGTATTGCTATTTTAATTTCAACATTTGCATTATCAAAATAACAAATAGGCGAGACATATCTCTGTGTTAACAGTTTATTACTAAAAAGTGGCCATTTCTGAAGATGCAGATGAGCGACACAGGCTCTTTAGAGCCTTTAGTTTTGGTTTTGGTTTTGTTTTATCATAATCAGGCTGTTGGTTTTCTTATTTGAATTGTTTCACTTTTTGTCATGCTGAAGCCTTTCATAGCTTACTATACAGTATTAGTTTTTGTCGAGCCTGCGACTTTTGTCGCAGAAAGCTCGACATAGGGATAGCGATCCGGCGGCGGCGGCGGCTACAGCGGCGGCGGCGTTAGCTAACTTCTTAAAAGCTTTATATTTTAGAAGATGGAAGACCTGGATGCTTCATACTTTGTATATGGATGCCTCATGTTACGAAGTTTCCCTCAGTCACATGTCCAATGTCCTTGACCTCATTTTCATGGTTCAGTGACTACTTGAAAAAAAAGTTCAGATTTTTTGTAATGTTAAATTCTCTCTTATTATAAGTAATAGGATAACTATATTTGGTATGTGCGTACCTTGCAAGGTCCTCATGCCCGTCAGACAGTTTTCACTTGACCTCGACCTCATTTCATGGATCAGTGAACAAGGTTAAGTTTTCGTGGTCAAGTCCATATCTCAGATACTATAAGCAATAGGTCTAGTATATTCGGTGTATGGAAGGACTGTAAGGTGTACATGTCCAACTGGCAGGTGTCATCTGACCTTGACCTCATTTTCATGGTTCAGTGGTTATAGTTAAGTTTTTGTGTTTTGGTCTGTTTTTCTTATACTGTATGCAATAGGTCTACTATATTTGGTGTATGGAATGATTGTAAGGTGTACATGTCTAGCTGGCAGGTGTCATCTGACCTTGATCTCATTTTCATGGTTCAGTGGTCAAAGTTAAGTTTTTGAGTTTTGGTCTTTCTTTCTAATACTGCATGCAATAGGTCAGCTATATTTGGTGTATGGAATGATTGTAAGGTGTTCATGTCTAGCTGGCAGGTGTCATCTTACCTTGACCTCATTTTCATGGTTCAGTGGTCAAAGTTAAGTTTTTGAGTTTTGGTCTTTTTTTCTAATACTATATGCAATAGTTCAACTATATTTGGTGTATGGAAATATTTTATGATCTATATGTCAGTCACGCAGGTTTTATTTGACCTTGACCTCATTTTCAAGGTTCATTGCTCAGTGTTAAGTTTTTGTGTTTTCGTCTGTTTTTCTTAAACTATAAGCAATAGGTCAAAAATATTTGTTGTATGGAAGAATTGTTAGCTGTACATGCCTGCCTAGCATGGTTCATCTGACCTTGACCTCATTTTCATGGTTCATTGGTCAATGTTTAGTTTATTTGGTTAATGTCAAGTTTATGTGACAGTTGTAATAAAGTTTTATATTTAGGACTATCAACATAATATCAATGATTAGTAAAGAAGGCGAAACATTTCAGCGTGTGCACTCTTGTATTCATAGTTGAAAGCCATACAGAACCCTTTAGATGCTTACATCTACATCATTTGATCTCTGGTGTATAGTTGTCAGTTGTCTGATGGTTAATCATACAGCATCTTAATTTTTATTGTCGAGCCTGCGACTTTTGTCGCAGAAAGCTCGACATAGGGATAGTGATACGGCGGCGGCATTAGCTAACTTCTTAAAAGCTTTATATTTTAGAAGCTAGAAGACCTGGATGCTTCATACTTTGTATATAGATGCCTTATGTTACGAAGTTTCCGTCTGTCATATGTCCATTGTCCTTGACCTCATTTTCATGGTTCAGTGACTACTTGAAAAAAAAGTCAACATTTTTTATAATGTTAATTTCTTTCTTATGAGTAATAGGATAACTATATTTAGTATGTGCGTACCTTGCAAGGTCCTCATGCCCGTCAGACAATTTTCATTTGACCTCGACCTCATTTCATGGATCAGTGAACAAGGTTAAGTTTTCGTGGTCAAGTCCATATATCAGATACTATAAGCATTAGATCTACTATATTTGGTATATGGAATGATTGTAAGGTGTACATGTCCAACTGGTAGGTGTCATCTGACCTTGACCTCATTTTCATGGTTCAGTGGTCAAAGTTAAGTTTTTGAGTTTTGGTCTTTTTTTCTAATACTATATGCAATAGGTCAACTATAAATGGTGTATGGAAATATTTTATGATGTACATGTCAGTCTCACAGGTTTTATTTGACCTTGACCTCATTTTCACGTTTCATTTCTCAGTGTTAAGTTTTTTGTGTTTTGGTCTGTTTTTCTTCAACTATAAGCAATAGATCAACTATATTTGATGTATGGAAGGATTGTAAAGTGTATATGTCTGTCTGGCAGGTATCATCTGACCTTGACCTCATTTTCATGGTTCATTGGTCAATGTTAAGTTTTCATGGTTAAGTTTGTTTCTTAGATACTATAAGCAATAGGTCAACTATATTTAATGCCTAAATTGATTGTAAGGTGTACATGTCTGTCTGGCATGGTTCATCTGACCTTGACCTCATTTTCATGGTTCATTTGTCAATGTTAAGTTTTCTTGTTTAAGACTGTTTCTTAGAAACAATAAGCAATAGGTCAACTATGTTTGGTTTATTGAATGATTGTAAGGTGTACATGTATTTCTCGTTTGGTTTATCTGACCTTGACCTCATTTTCTTGGATCATGTTAAGTTTATGTGTTACTTGTAGTAAAGCTTTGTATTTAGGACTATCAACATTAAATCAATGGTTAGTAAAGAAGGCGAGACATTTCAGCGTGTGCACTCTTGTATTGAATTTGATGAAACTTGGACAGAACCTTTTTTATGATAAAAAAAAGTATTCAGGGCAAAATTTTTAATATTTTTTCTTTCCTTTGGTTCCGCTCCACTGATTTTTGCCGAAATAACAGGCTTTGGACTTTGAAAAAATTGTGAAAATAACAGTTATAAGGACCTTTTTTGTAAATGCCTTCACATATTGAGCTGATTTTAAGTATTTGAGTTTATTAGAATGAGTTACAGATCGTGTAAACGGTTTACGTTTGGTTCCACTACATTGATTTTTGCCGAAATTACGGGCTTTGGATTTTGAAAATTTCTGGAAAATAACAGTAATGTGGACTTTCATTCTCAAATTTCCACTTCTAAAAATGGCTTCAAGCTTTTTGTCACCCGTGCAACGCATATACATAGAAATACTGGGCATTTGTCCAGTCTTGTTAGCGCTCTCACATGTACAATTCTTTGCAGATTTTTATAAAACTTATGTCATAGGTTTATATCAGCAATGTCTCCGACAAGTTCAAAAAATTAGTGCTGATCGATTATTTTTAAAAAGAGTTATGCCTCTTGGAAACATAAATTATATGAAAAATTGCATCGTTAGCGCTCTCATGTGTACAATTCTTGCCAGATTTTTCTGAAACTCATTTTGTAGGTTTATATCAGCAATGTCTCCCACAATTTCAAAAATCAGTGCCAATCAATTATTTTTAAAAGAGTTATGCCCCTTGGAAACATTAATTATATGAAAAATTGCATCATTAGCACTCTTCATTAGGACAATTCTTGCCAGATTTTTATGAAACTTATATCGTAGATTTATATCATCAATGTCTCAGACGAGTTGAACATTAGTGCCAATCAATTATTTTTCAAAGAGTTATGCCCCTTGGAAATATTAATTTTATGGAAAAATGCCTTGTGAGCGCTCTCATGTTTACATTTCTTGCCAGATTTTTATGAAATTTATATTTATATCATCAATATCTCTTTCTGTTTTAAAGTTGTGTAATTTTTTTTGGAAACATTGAAAAATGCAATGTCTTCACTTTAAACATGCATATTTCAAGATAAGATATCTCAAAAAGTAAGTCTTGGAGGTATATTTTTCTTTGCATATCAAAATTTACTTTGTGTCAGATTCTTAAGGAAAAATCAACGAGGGATCTTTTCTGTATCGTATGCCCTTAAGTTCAACAATAATTACCTTTAAAAAACTGACCACCCGGTTTGCTGTTAATAAGACAGCTCATTTCATGTTTTTTTATTTCCATATGTTTTTGATAAATGGACTATAACTTTTTTCAAAACTTCATGGAATTTTACGAAATTAGGACATGGATCTTCACAGTTAAAAGACTGCATCCATAGCAACATGTTGAAAATATTTTCAGTCAGTTTTCTGTATTTTACTTTTTTTGGGCAGTTAAGAGTTGGATAAGTCTGAGATCAGTTTTTAAATAGTAATAACTTTGTCAAACCTTCATAGAATTTATACAACTTTGACTGAATATGTTTTATGTGAAGGCAACATCTGAAGCACAATTTTGAAAATATTTGTTTTTTTGTTCACTTACATTGCTCTTTATCTTCCTGTTTATCTAAATTTGTACACGGTTATAATTTTGTGAACAAAAGCTAGCAGTTCAACTTGTATTATATTTCTTTTAATGTTAATGCCAAAATGGGTTATAAAAGACCATTCTCTGTTTAAATTGAACTCAATAGATCTTATAAATATGGTCATAATTATATCACATGAGTTATTTATGCATTTGTATCGTTATGATATTTTTTTCCAGATAGTATTCACTTAAATGAAGGTGACAGAGTAACCTTTGGTCATCATATTGGTGAGAATCTGGCTATTGGTACAAGACGTCGCCAACCTGATTCGGAATACCAATTTATAGTGAGTATAAACCATGATGATCAGGGGGGGGGGGATCCAGGATTTTTGAAAGGGGGCGTAATTCCCGATAATTGAAGATACAATTTTTTTGGATGATATTATACTATTAATTTATGAATATACAGTGAAAAAACGTGATATCTTTAATTTTCTTACAACCTCCCCTCCACCCTTAGATCTGCCACTAATGAAATAATCGTGCTAAGACACCTATACATTAATTTATTGTAGCCTTTTAGTATTTATTTTCACAATACAAACTTTTAAGTTGTTATTCTCCACAAAATAAATTCAGAAGCATTAAAGTCTTTGCTTTGTCCATCTTTTTGTCTGTTCTTCCATCTGTGTATCCAAAATGAATGCTTTCTGGATAGTTTCCCTTGCTTGATTGGGAAAAGTTCAAGGTCACTGTAACTAAAAATTAATTTTCCAACTAAAATGATTTCCAGATAATATCTTGAAATGTCCACTGTTTTATAGAAAAGGGGAAAAAAAGTATATTTGACTTTGTAATTTTGGCATCAATTGATAGATTTAAGACTTGAGATCACTGAAGAACCCTTGTTTGAAAGTTTCTTTTGAATAATAACAAATTACACGAAATTGAAATAGGGAGGGCATGTTTTGCCTGTTATTCACAGAGCTCCAGATAAGAATTCACAAATTGGGGTTTTTACCCACCATTTTTTTATGTAATTGGGTGATAAAGTTTTTTAATTGCATTATCAATTCCAATTCACCCCTCAAGCAAATATCAAATTGGGTTTTTCACCACCAAGCTCCTTAATGTATTGGGTTTTTTCATCAACACAATATTGAATATTTAGGCATGTTATAATCACATTATATCAACCCCAGATGTGTTTCCATCTTAAATGTGTTTCTTTCTTTGTATATGTGCTTAGCTGTTTTATTTGGTTTATTCACTGACGAGCAATTGTACGTTTAATTTGTGTCCTGTTTTAAACGTTCTGTCAGTTTTGTATTTTCTCAAAACTTATGTAAACTGCAGCTGGTGTCACTAGTTGGACATTAACTAATTGCCTTTCTAGATCCCATATAATCACCCTACAGTTTATAGTTGGGGTAGGTGTGGCTAAGTGTTTAGATTTTTATGTAATATATGTGAAATTTAGGTGCTGTAAGAAAGTTTTGCCTGTCCTTTCACCTATTTGCCAGATCCACTTTTTAATAAAAATAAAAAGTAGTTCCCAGATTTAAGATATACCCCAAAACCTTGAGATTTATAGGGTGGTTTAATGATTGAGACCACATTCAACTTAAATTTACAAATAATTCTGCAACATCAAGTAAATAAATGACAATGTTATACTGCACTTGCCAATAAGACAACTATCTTAAGCATCCAGAACAATTAGACCAAAACAAAGAAAGTGTAAAGCTGCATAATTTGACGTAAAAAATGGATATGTGTATTCATTCATCAACTAAAATGAAAAAAAAAATAATATATAAACTTTTTGTTTAATTCAATTTACATAAATCTGGGTTAAGTTGTCCCTTATCAGAACTTTTGGTTTCCGATGCTTTCCAACTACATATCATGTCATAATTGATTTGGCCTTTCACTTTTTCCAACTGATTTCGTTTTTGACGAAACCCCGTGTTTATCTTTCTATAGCAATGTTCTCGTTAAGGTACACAAACACGCCCGTGCGTTCAATGGACGCTTCCTAAAATCACTAGCTGAGTCTTGTTATCATCATAACTTTCCCTCAGCTATCAAAAAGAAGCCGAAAACATGCTTATATTCAATATTTTTATCGGACATTTACTTTCGTTTTAATTCATTGTATGTTATGATAAATCCCGAGCAATTCGAAAAAAATATGACAGCATGTCACACGCTAATTGGATAAACGCCGAGAAGATCGAAATGTTTTCATAAACACGTGTACCTTTTGAGCAACGGATAATTCCAACAGGGACCCATTACAGCTACTTGATGCAGGGCTCTATTTTAAGAACGAAAGGACATTTCCAATTATAAATATTATAAAAATAGATTTACGCAACGACTGTTATCACATAAGGGTAAATAACATAAACGATAGCGAAAAAAAGCGTGAGAACTCATGGTTTTGGCATATAATTGGGTTTTCCTTTGAATTAATTGGGTTATTGAACCCTGCAATGGGCAATTGCATTGGGTTTTTAATTATTTGTATTGCGTGATCACGCAAAAACGCAGCTTATCTGGAGCTCTGTATTCAAATAAAAGATACCTGTTTCTTTACTACCTAACTTAAGGGAACCAGTGCACTCATGTATGCAATTTAAGTATGTTCAATTTTTTAGCACAAACCCGGATAAGGTATAGTTTTGACATGAAAGGAGTTCTTGAATTTTTTTTTTAGCCTGGTGGTTAATAGGACTACCAAGACGACAAATCTGGTGGTCCTGTATTTGCCAAAAAAAAATTTCTATTTATTATTTCCATATTATCAGATCATATGTTTTCGTACATCATATGAATTTGTACAATGCATGCTTTTTCAATGGAAATTGTGAGGTCACAATGCATTCTAAATAGCACGAAAACCCATAATACGAGAATACATGTAGGTATAAATACAATTAAGCCAATTTCCATGTTCTTATCTAGTTCCATATCAAATATTGCTATACTAAATACCAAACAGCCTAAGGAAGAATCAAACACACACTGTTGTTGGGACATCAGGACCACTACAACACTCAAAACTAGTGGACATACCTGATGGTCAGGACTGACAGGACCGCCAGTTTACGAGAAAAATGCATGAAATGACTGTCACGTTATTGAAACTTCAGACAAAATAGCTATGAATGCTTGAAATTGCAGAATTTAATAAAGAAAGCAATGATCTAAGAATTAAGGGTTTTATTCCAGAAGGAGCAAAATGGATAAGTGCACTGAATCGAGGCAAAATACATGTATAAGAGTTAGTAATTTTCTACAGTTTCTACCACAAAACGCGAACAAAAAATTGCATTATAAAGGTAATAGTTATATATTTATTACCTTGATACCTTTGAAAAAGAAAATGACTGTTTAACAGTTTTAAAACTTATTTTAATCAAACATTCTTTGAATTTTTTCAGTTTGAGAGATGTAATTGTGGACTGCAAAACCAAGGACGACAGACAGCCATGGGATCAGTAAGTTATTATAATACCAAAAAGTTGTATATAAAAACAAGAAGATTTGGAATAATTTCCTATGAGACCACTATCCACCAGAGACCAAGGAACTTGGATGTAAGGAAGATAGGTCACCATATGACCAACAATGAGCAAAACATATACCGTATAGTATAAAATTAGTATTTTCAAAAAATCCACTTAATTGAACAGGGAACATTTGTACTGATAATTGAATGACTTTTGCATGCTTAATGTCTAGATTTCATGCATATTCAGGATTAGAACAAATTTATATTTGCATTCACCAAATTCATTGAATTTACAGTAATTCAGATATGAAATAAAAATGACACCAGGGATGGATACTTGATACATAGCTTTGTAAGTCTGCATTCTTGGTATGTAGGGTTTTTAACTGCTTAAACATGTAAAATCCCTACACTTTTGATGTCCTGTAATGTAATGTACTGATTAACTTATTTTCAATTTCATGGATACCAATTTTTGTGGATTGAAAAAAATTGTAGTTTCGTGGATATTTGATTTTGTTGTTTTTGCCAAAATCTGCATACAAACCTATAGTAAATTTGTACTTTGTTGAAGTTTTAAATTCATAGCTATACACACTAATTCATGTTTTACATAGCTATACACACTAATTCATGTTTTACATAGCTATACACACTAATTCATGTTTTACATAGCTATACACACTAATTCATGTTTTACATAGCTATACACACTAATTCATGTTTTGCATAGCTATATACACTAATTCATGTTTTGCATAGCTATATACACTAATTCATGTTTTACATAGCTATACACACTAATTCATGTTTTACATAGCTATACACACTAATTCATGTTTTACATAGCTATACACACTAATTCATGTTTTGCATAGCTATACACACAAAGTCCATGGAAATTGGTGTCCCACAAATAACAATGAATCCACATTAGGATACATTACTTTATCTTTAAGAAAGTTAAAAAAAGAAAGGATATTTTGAAAACTTATGAACCTAAGCTTATATGGAACTTAATTCAAATATTTTTTTATTTTCAGCGAACTATGACAATCATAGACAGTATAAACAGTAATGCATGTATGCCAAGAGGTTGCAACACTGAAGTGCCAATGACAACCTCTGTACAAAGACAAGCAGTCAACAGTTCAAAAAATGAAATAGCGGAAATTATTTATAATAGACCATGTCACACAGAGATGTCTGTTGAAGGCATGCATGTTAATGACCCAATAAGTAATGACAATATCTCCAGGAACAATGATCATGCAGACCTACCCACCATTGCAGTTAGCAGTAATTTAACAGAAGCAATGGATGATAATGCAAATTTCCAAACCAATTCAGTTACCAACAGTAGTTATGATGTAACTGAAGCTGGTTCTGTTAGAGATGAGGAAGAAATAGGAACCAGTTCACTGAAAAATAACAATAGCCTTAAAACAGAAACCAGTTTTATAAATGTTCAGAGTTTGGAAACTGTTTCATTGAATGAGAATGTCAGTGATATGCCTTGCATGGGGGAAAGAATTGTTACTAATGAAATGCCTTCAGGGGATGAAAACTTGATTGATAATAATAAAGAAGATAATACAAGAGAACTCAATATTTCTATGGAATCCATACAAGAAAGTTATGAAAGACAAAGTGTGGAAAGTGTGGAAAATTTAAATGAAGAAAGAGATGGAGAGGATGATAGTCTTGGAGAAGATGGTCATTCTGCTAATTCTGGCAAAGAATGTCAAGTTCATTCTGCTAATTCTGGCAAAGAATGTCAAGGTCATTCTGCTAATTCTGGTGAAGAACATCAAAGTGATTATGCTAATTCTTGCAAAGAACATCAAGGTCATTCTGCTAATTCTGATGACGAAGATCAAGGACATTCTGCTTATTCTGGTGAAGAAGATCAAGGTCATTCTGATAATTCTTGTGAAGAAGATCAAGGTCATTCTGCTAATAATTCTGGTGACGAACATCAAGGTCATTCTGCTAATAATTCTGGTGAAGAAGATCAAAGTCATTCTTATAATTCTGGTGAAGAAGATCAAGATCATTCTGCTATTTCTGGTGAAGAACACCAAGGTGAAAATGGCATTGATCAAAATATAGAAGAAATTGTAGAAGAAAACAGGCAACTCACAAGAAATTCTAGAAGTACTGCAGATAATGAAGACAATGAATATAATGACTTGAATGTATCAGAAATGTTTGATGAAAGTTTCAGTGAAGAGGAAGATGAAGTTGATCTCAACATTTTAGAGAATGATGACAATGATGGGGAGGATGGTGATGACCAATTAGAAGATGCCAACAACAGAAGGGACAATAGTGATTCGAATCAGAATAACAAAGTAGTCCATGAAGAGGACAATGGGGAATCCTCAATTTATTACAGCAGTAGCATAGACTACAGTCTAGTAGACATCTGTGGGGAGAATGACAGCAGCCAGAAAAATGACAAAGTGGAAAATGCTGATGAAGTTGTCAGATTTGATGAAAACTCTGACCAAGGTAGCAACAAAAGTGTAGAAGAAAATGACAATGATGTTGTATTTGTTGGTGAAAATTCTGATGATGATGTCAGAGAAGTGAAGAGTATAGATGATGTTGATGGAAATAACATTAGAGATACAGATAGTGTTGAGAGTTGCAGCATTGAGTACAATGATTTAGATGGATCTGGTGCTGTGGACAGCCATTCTGACAATTATGATGATCCATCATTTATAGATTTAGATGTTTCAGTGTTGGAAAGTGAAGATGAAGACCATGAGGAAAGTGGAGATGAAGAACATGAGGAAAGTGGAGATGAAAACCATGAAGAAAGTGGAGATGAAGACCATGAGGAAAGTGATGAAGAGGGTGAAGAGGATGAAATTACAGTTTTAAAAATGAAAATAAGAAAAGAAGAAGTATGTCCTGTAAAGGAAAGCCCTGAAGGCATTTCATTTTCAGAAGAAAGTGCTGATGAAATAGAAGAGGTTGGAGATCATGTTATTTGTGATGAAAAGAATAATAAACAGTTTGAAGATAATGAAAATAATATATATGGTAGGAATATGGAAAATATTACATATAATAAAAATTCAGAAATTCAGGAAGATGAGAAAAATCCGAATAGTTCAGAAGATCATAAAAATCACGAAGGTTCAATTGAGGACAAATTTCAGGTTAACAATCAAGAAAGTAATGCCAAGAACGAAAGTCCATATAGTTTTGCAAATGATGAGAAGCAAGAAAATATTGAAGACAATGGAAAGAGAGAAAACTTCCAAGATGATCATGATCATGATGAAAGTGTTGAAGAGGAGTATGATGATAGTTTAGAATGTTCTGTAGATGATATAAATGAAGAAAGTGTTGAATCCTATGAAAATGAAGATAATGTTGTGGAAGATCTTTTGACAGTTAATGAAAAGCCAAACAGGAAAGATGATGGTAGTCTAAGAAGTATTGAAGATGATCAAGAAATTGTTGACAACTATGAAGTTAAACAAAATGTATTGGTATTTATTGAAACACCAAACATAAAAGAACAAGAAACAAAAGAGGCTCTATGTGAACATACTGAAATTTTCATCAAGGAAGAAGGTGAAAGTAAAACAAATTGTACATATGATCAAAATCAAGAAAGTGAAGAAATTGTTGGAACACAAGAAGGTGTTGAAGATCATGAAAAGCAAGAAAGTGAAAAAATGGATGGAACACGAGAAACTTTTGAAGATCATAAAATGCAAGAAAATGATGAAATTGATGGAACACAAGAAACTTTAGAAGATCATGAAATGCAAGAAAATGAAGAAATGGATAGAACACAAGAAACATTAGAAGATGAAAAACAAGAAAGTGAAGAAAGTATTGGAGATCATGAAAACCAAGAAAGTGATGAAATTGTAGATCATGAAAATCAAGAAATTGATGGAACTCAAGAAAGAGTAAAAATTGATGAAAAGCAAGAAAGTGAAGAAATTGACAGAACACAGGAAAGTATTGAAGTTCATGAAAAACAAGAACGTGAAGAAATTAAAGACTATGAAAAACAGGAAAGTAAAGAAATTGATGGAACACAAGAAAGTCTTGAAAAACATGAAAAACTAGAAAGTGAAGAAATTGATGGAAAACATGAAAGTATTGAAGATCATGAAAATAAAAAAAGGAAACAAATTGATGGAACACAAGAAAGTATTGAAGAAAATGGAAAGCAGGAAATTGAAGAAATTGAAGATCATGAAAATAAAAGTGAAGAAATTGATGGAACACAAGAAAGTGTTACAAAACTAGAAATGGAACAATGGAATAGAATCGGAAAGTCTGACATGGCAGTCAGTTGCCTGCAATATCAAGAAACAAAAATACACCAAAGAATTGATGTGGGAAATCCTGTTACCACATATAGCTCTGCAGGTGAAATATTGACACTGGTGTTGGAGGAGAAACCAAATCTAGAACTAAAGCAGAACTCAGAAAAGGGAAATGTTCCCAAAATTATGGACACTTGTATCATTGTGAATCAGTCAGCAGAAATTGAAATGACAGAGGGACAGATAAAAAAAATGGTAGCCACTACTGAAGATTCATTCGAAGTAGAAAACATTGTGGAACAGTCATCAGGGAAAGAGATGATAAAGGAAATAACATTAACTGATGATTCATTAGAAGAACAAAGCAGTATGGCACAGTACTCCGTAAAAGAAATAGCAGAGGAACAGGCAAACAAATTGGTAGCTACAACTGAAGATTCATTAGAAGTACAAAACATTGGGGAACAGTCATTGGAAAATGAGATGACAGAGAAACATTCAAAGGAATTATCAACAACAACTGCCGATTCATCAGAAGAACAAAACAAAACTGAAAAAGAAATAGCAGAGGGACAGTCAGAGGAATTGGTAGCCACAATTGATGATTCATTAGAAGTACAAAACATTGTTGAACAGTCACCAGGGAAAGAAATATCAGAAGGACAGTCAAACGAATTGGTACCCACAACTGATGATTCATTAGAAGAACAAAACATTGTGGAACAGACATCTGAAAATGAGATGACAGAGGGACAGTCAGAGGAATTATCAACAACAACTGACAAATTATTAGAAGAACAAAACATTATGAAACATTCCTCTGAAAAAGAAATAGCCCAGGGACAGTCAGAGGAATTGGTAGCCTCAACTGATGATTCATTAGAAGCACAAAACATTGTGGAACAGTCATCTGAAATTGAGATGACAGAGGGACAGTCAAATGAAATGGTAGCCATAACTGACAAATTATTAGAAGAACAAAACAGTATGGAACAGTCCTCTGAAAAAGAAATAGCAGAGGGACAGTCAGAAAAATTGGTAGCCTCCACTGAAGATTCATTAAAAGAACAAAACATAGTGGAACAGTCCTCTGAAAAAGAAAAAGCCGAGGGACAGTCAGAAAAATTGGTAGCCTCAACTGAAGAGTCACTAGAAGTACAAAACATTGTGGAACAGTCACCAGGGAAAGAAATATCAGAAGGACAGTCAAATGAATTGGTAGCCACAACTGTCGATTCATTAGAAGAACAAAACAATAAGGAACAGCCCTCTGAAAAAGAAATAGCAAAGGGACAGTCAGAAAAATTGGAAGCCTCAACTGAAGATTCATTAGAAGTACTTAACAATGTGGAACAGTCAACAGGAAAAGAAATATCAGGACAGTCAAATGAATTGGTAGCCTCAACTAAAGATTCATTAGAAGTTCAAAACATTGTGGAACAGTCTTCTGAAAATGAGATGACAGGGGGACAGTTAGAGGAATTATCAACAACAACTGATGAATTATTAGAAGAACAAAACAGTATGGAACAGTCCTCTGAAAACAAAATAGCAGAGGGACAGTCAGAGGAATCGGAAGCCTCAACTGAAGATTCATTAGAAATACAAAACATTGTGGAACAGTCATCAGGGAAAGAAATATCAGAAGGACAGTCAAATGAATTGGTAGCCACAACTGAAGATTCATTAGAAGAACAAAGCATTATGAAACAGTCCTCCAAAAAAGAAATAGCTGGGGAACAAGCAAACGAATTGGTAGCCACAACTGACTATATTTTAGAAGTACAAAACATTTTGGAACAGTCTTTGGAAAAAGAGATGACAGTGGGACAGTCAGAGGTATTATCAACAACAACTGCCGATTTATTAGAAGAAAAAAACAGTATTGAACAGTCCTCTGAAAAGGAAATAGCAGAGGGACAGTTAGAGGAAATGGTAGCCTCAACTGAAGATTCATTAGAAGAACAAAACATTGTGGAACAGTCACCAGGGAAAGAAATATTAGAAGGACAGTCAAATGAATTGGTAGCCACAACTGAAGATTCATTAGAAGAACAAAACAGCATGGAACAGTCACCAGGGAAAGAAATATCAGGACAGTCAAATGAATTGGTAGCCCCAACTGAAGATTCATTAGAAGAACAAAACAGCATGGAACAGTCCTCTGAAAAAGAAATGGTAGAAGGACAGGTAAATGAAATGGAAGCCACAACTGAATATTCCTTAGAAGTTAAGAACAATGAGGAACAGTCATCAGTAAAAGAGATGACAGAGGGACAGTCAAAGGAAATGGAAACCACAACTGACGAATTATTAGAAGAACAAAATAGCATGGAAAAGTCCTCTGAAAAAGAAACGGTAGAGGGACAAGCAAATGAAATGGTAGCTTCAACTGAAGATTCATTAGAACAAAATTTTGTGGAACAGTCCTATGAAAATGAGATGACAGAGGGACAGTCAGAGGAATTATCAACAACAACTGATAAATTATTAGAAGAACAAAATAGTATGGAATATTCCTCTGAAAAAGAAATAGCGGAGGGACAGTCAGAAGAATTGGTAGCCTCAACTGAAGATTCACTAAAAGAACAAAACATAGTGGAACAGTCCTCTGAAAGAGAAATAGCAGAGGGACAGTCAAAGGAATTGGTAGCCTCAACTGAAGATTCATTAGAAGTACAAAACATTGTGGAACAGTCACCAGGGAAAGAAATATCAGAAGGACAGTCAAATGAATTGGAAGCCACAACTGAAGATTCATTAGAAGAACAAAGCAGTATGGAACAGTCTTCTGAAAAAGAAATAGCAGAGGAACAGGCAAATGAATTGGTAGCCACAACTGAAGATTCTTTAGAAGTACAAAACATTTTGGAACAATCATCAGAAAAAGAGATGACGGGGGGTCAGTCAGATGAATTATCAACAACAACTGCCAATTCATTAGAAGAACGAAACAGTATGAAACAGTCCTCTGAAAAGGAAATAGCAGAGGGACAGTTAGAGGAAATGGTAGCCTCAACTGAAGATTCATTAGAAGAACAAAACATTGTGGAACAGTCCTATGAAAATGAGATGACAGAGGGACAGTCAAAGGAATTGGTAGCACCAACTGAAGATTCATTAGAAGTACAAAACATTGTGGAACAGTCACCAGGGAAAGAAATAATTGAAGGACAGTCAAATGAATTGGTAGCCATAACTAAAGATTTATTAGAAGTACAAAACATTGTGAAACAGTCATCGGAAAATGAGATGACAGGGGGACAGTCAGAGGAACTATCAACAACTGATGAGTTATTAGAAGAACAAAACAGTATGGAACAGTCCTCTGAAAAAGAAATAGCAGAGGGACAGGAATTGGTAGCCTCAACTGAAGATTCATTAGATATACAAAACATTGTGGAACAGTCCTCTGAAAATGAGATGACAGAGGGACAGTCAAATGAAATGCGAGCCACAACTGAAGATTCATTAGAAGAACAAAACATTGGGGAACAATCACCAGGAAAAGAAATATCAGGGCAGTCAAATGAATTGGTAGCCACAACTGAAGGTTCATTAGAAGTACAAAACATTATGGAACAGTCACTAGGGAAAGAAATATCAGGACAGTCAAATGAATTGGTAGTCACAACTGAAGATTCATTAGAAGTACAAAACATTGTAGAACAGTCATTAGAGGAAGAGATGAAAGAGGGACAGTCAAAGGAAATGGTAGTCACAACTGAAGATTCCTTAGAAGAACAAAACATAATGGAACAGTCCCCTGAAAATGAGATGAAAGGTGGACAGTCAGAGGATTTGGTATCCACAACTGAAGATTCCTTAGAAGAAAAAAACATAGTGGAACAGTCCTCTGAAAATAAAATAGCAGAGGGACAATCTGAAGATTTTGTAGCGTCAACTGAAGATTCATTAAAAGTACAAAACATTGTGGAACAGTCATCTGAAAAAGAAATGGTAGATGGACAGTCAGAGGAATTATCAACAACTGACAAACTATTAGAAGAACAAGACATAGTGAAACAGTCCTCTGAAAGAGAAATAGCAGAGGGACAGTCGGAAAAATTGGTAGCCTCAACTGAAGATTCATTAGAAGTACAAAACATTGTGGAACAGTCACCAGGGAAAGAAATATCAGAAGGACAGTCAAATGAACTGGTAGCCACAACTGAAGATTCATTAGAAGAACAAAGCAGTATGGAACAGTCCTCTGAAATAGAAATAGCAGAGGAACAGGCAAATGAATTGATAGCCACAACTGAAGATTCTTTAGAAGTACAAAACATTTTGGAACAATCATCAGAAAAAGAGATGACAGGGAGTCAGTCAGATGAATTATCAACAACAACTGCCAATTCATTAGAAGAACGAAACAGTATGAAACAGTCCTCTGAAAAGGAAATAGCAGAGGGACAGTTAGAGGAAATGGTAGCCTGCTCTGAAGATTCATTAGAAGAACACAACATTGTGGAACAGTCACCAGGGAAAGAAATATCAGAAGGACAATCAAATGAATTGGTAGCCACAACTAAAGATTTATTAGAAGTACAAAACATTGTGAAACAGTCATCAGAAAATGAGATGACAGGGGGACAGTCAAATGAAATGCAAGCCACAACTGAAGATTCATTAGAAGAACAAAACATTGGGGAACAATCACCAGGAAAAGAAATATCAGGGCAGTCAAATGAATTGGTAGCCACAACTGAAGATTCATTAGAAGTACAAAACATTATGGAACAGTCACTAGGGAAAGAAATATCAGGACAGTCAAATGAATTGGTAGCCACAACTGAAGATTCATTAGAAGTACAAAACATTGTAGAACAGTCATTAGAGGAAGAGATGAAAGAGGGACAGTCAAAGGAAATGGTAGTCACAACTGAAGATTCCTTAGAAGAACAAAACATAATGGAACAGTCCCCTGAAAATGAGATGACAGGTGGAAAGTCAGAGGGTTTGGTAGCCACAACTGAAGATTCCTTAGAAGAACAATATATAATGGAACAGTCCCCTGAAAATGAGATGACAGGTGGAAAGTCAGAGGATTTGGTATCCTCAACTGAAGATTCCTTAGAAGAACAAAACATAGTGGAACAGTCCTCAGAAAATGAGATAACAGAGGGACAGTTAGAGGAAATGGTAGCCTCAACTGAAGATTCATTAGAAGTACAAAACATTGTGGAACAGTCATTAGAGAAAGAGATGACAGAGGGACAGTCAAAGGAAATGAAAGCCACAACTGAAGATTCACTAGAAGAACAAAACATTGTGTCATCTGAAAAAGAAATGACAGAAACAAAAGAATTAGGAATCGCATCTGAAGATTCATTAGAAGTAGGAAACTTGGCTGAGCTCTCCACCTCTACATCTGAACAAACAACAGATAGAAAAACCACTGTAGGACAGTTTATTGTTAAAGGTAGACCCGATATAGAAACAATACCTGAAAATTTAACTGAAATTGAACAATTAATTGAGAATTCTGTCAATCCAAAACCAGTCATTGAAAATATTCATCTCCCAGAAAAAAATGTATCAAATATCAAACAAACAACAGACGATGTTGATGATCTTCAGGCAACAGATGATGTAAATAATCTTCAGGCAACATTTGATATTAATGATCTTCAAGCAACAGATGATGTTAATGATCTTCAGGTAACAGGTGATGTTAATGATCTTCAGGCAACAGATGATGTTAATGATCTTCAGGCAACAGATGATGTTAATGATCTTCAGGCAACAGGTGGTAATGATTTTCAGGCAACAGGTGATGTTAATGATCTTCAGGCAACATGTGATGTTAATGATCTTCAGACAACAGATGGTGTTATTGATCTTCAGGCAACAGATGATGTTAATGATCTTCAGGCAACAGGTGATGTTAATGATCTTCAGACAACAGGTGATGTTAATGATCTTCAGGCAACAGATGATGTTAATGATCTTAAGGCAACAGGTGGTAATAATTTTCAGGCAATAGATGATGTTAATGATCTTCAGGCAACAGGTGATGTTAATGATCTTCAGACAACAGGTGATGTTAATGATCTTCAGGCAACAGATGATGTTAATGATCTTCAGGCAACAGGTGGTAATGATTTTCAGGCAATAGATGATGTTAATGATCTTCAGGCAACAGGTGATGTTAATGATCTTCAGGCAACAGATGATGTTAATGATCTTCAGGCAACAGGTGATGTTAATGATCTTCAGACAACAGGTGATGTTAATGATCTTCAGGCAACAGGTGATGTTAATGATCTTCAGGCAACATATGATGTTAATGATCTTCAGGCAACAGAGATTGTGGACAAAATGGAACTCCCACATGAGATTTTAGCTAAAAATGAACTTAAGACAGAACTTGCATATAGAACAGAAGAAATTGTTGGTTTAGACCCATTGTTACAAATGGAAGTCAAAGCAGTATCAAAAGCTGAAACTGTAGACAAAACAATCTCAAGAACAGGAATAATAGACAACAAACAATTAACAGAAGACACAGGCACCTCTAAATCAACAGTGGAAAAATACGCAAATGCTAAAGCAACAATAGAAAATGAAATCACAAAAGAATCACTGACAAAAATGGGATCGGGAAATGTAGCATTAATAGTGCCACCTATAGAAACTGAAGTTGTCAATGAGCCAACAGCAGAAGTTAAAGACTGTGTAAATCTTGAAACAGAAACTCCAAAAATTAGAAATTTAATAAATCAAACTGAAGCTGGAACTAAACCAATGACACAATTTATTGCTGTAAGGGAACCAATCTCTACAGAAGTTGGAATAGAACAGAGAAGAGAAATTGTTGTTAATATTGAACCAGCAACACAATGTTTAGGGAGTAAAACAGATTTTGACAGTGATGAAGAGTCAAATAATGAAATTGTAGGATCAAGATCTGTCTCAGAACAAAACACAACCAATCAGGATGCCACATCAGTAGATCAAGATTTAGAACTGGAGAACAGTGAAGATCCACAGATAAATGGGATGGAAAATAGCCATAAAAGCAAAGAAGACACACAGAACAGAAATAAAATCAAATCCCAAAGATACTTCATTAAAGAATCTGCACGCAATCAAGCTGGGACATCAGTTGAAATTAACTTTTTTAACAATAGTCAAGAATGGTCAGATAAAGTTGCAACAGTAGCTGACAAGTTTCCAGCAGAATCTACCAGACAAACAGATAAAAGTACAAGTAATGTAATTAGCAGAAAAAGAAAATTACCATCAGAGTTTGAAAGTACATGTCCAGTTAATAACAAAAAGCTTATAAACGACATTAATGATACAGTAACAGGATATTTTAAGATTAGAGATTATATTAAGAAAAGGTCAATTGAACCAGTGACATTGAAGAAAAACTTGATTAAAGGATATGTGCAGAATTTTTTCCATAGAAATAATAATATAGCTTCAAATCTTGAACAAAAGGATATCTTGATTGATAATATGGGAAACTTTGATGCTGCAAGACTTCTGAAAAAACAGCAAATCAAGTATTTTGTGCATGAAACCAAGAATGATGAAATCAAAGACCATGTCAATGCTACAGGAAAGGCTATGTCTGAACATTTGGAAGCAGATGCTACAGATTCTACTTACATAGATTTGCGAAATGGACTAAATATAAAGGACCTAACAGATGAAAATGTAAATTCCATTGAATTTGAACATTCTGAGGTTGCTGTTTATGAAAGTGATGAGGATTCTGACAGCCATCCTGGCTATGAAATTGTCATCTTCGGTCAACAGAATCTGGATGAATGTAAAGTTCACCCAACAGAAAATGATAATGTCTCTAGTAAAATAGACCCAAATATTGATTCAGAAGTAACAACTGTTATTGATTTAGTACAAGAAGAAACTAACAGTTGTACTAAAATGGAGGAATCACAGGATGATGATGACCAGGAATGTAATATTAAGAACAAAGCAGATCTTAGCAACAGACCAAACAAGCAAATTGAACCTGTGTTGCAAACCAGTGAATCAGAAAAGGACAGTTACAATGGGACTGCAAGAGAAGAAAAAGTCAAGGAACATATATGTCAAAATCTGGCAGATGAATTACCCAGGAAAGATTGTTTTAGCCAGATGATAAATGATGAAGTGGGAGGGGATAAAAGTATTATTACAGATAATGATCATTGTGTCAAGATAGCTGATATTAAAATAATTGATGTAAAAGGATTAGAAGATCTTGATTCAGTAAAGCATGAGGAACAAATGAAGGCCCTTACAGATGATGAACAAGACCAGATATTAACACAGGCAGAACCAAATAACATTGTGGACATTGATGACAGTGGAACAAGTGATGAAGACCTAATACAAACACAAACTGGACTAGAGGAGAGTGAAGAAGCTGATATACAGGTCACTGATGTTGAACAAGATCTTGTAGCAACACAGACTGAATCAAAAAATTTGGAGAAAAAATATACAGAGGAAATATTAGAAGAAGGGGTGAATGTTGAACCTAACATGGCAGCAACCCAGTCTAAGATGAATGAAATAAAGGAGTTAGGAGAGACCAAAGATATAATGGCAACAGATGATCCAGATCTTATAGCAACACAGCCATATACTGATGAATCTGATGTTAAAGAACTGGAGGAATCAGTAACGATTGTCAAGCATGATGAATTTGATGAATCTGTTGTAATTAGTAATGTTAGTCATGGCAATCTGTTTGAGGACACACTAGTAAATGTTGATGAAATAAATAGTGATGACACCACTGGTGAAAGTGATTTCAAACAACCCATCATTGAAACATCAAGTACTTGTACAGAAAATACAGATAAATCTGAATGCAGAACACAGTTGGACACTTCTGTTGATCTTTTTTCTGAAATACAGAACACTATTGATAGGGATGGCAATCTGAATAAAGATGAGTTGACTAAAGATTGTCAACCAGTTATGGATGAAACAAATAATGAAGAGACGACAGTATTGGATGTTCATAGTAGTGAGGATTCTGTCAGCATATTGGACAACTACCAGGAAGACATTGGAGAGGATGTAGGGTACAAGTCAACACAGATAAAAGAAAAAACATTAAGCTGTGAAGATGAAAATAGCAAGGATCAGTCAGACCTGGCTGAGAATGATTCATTTGTAAATGAACAAATAGATGAAAATAGCAAAGAAAATTCTAATTCTAATGATGGCTCCCTAACAGAACATGATAAAGATACTGTGGAAAAGAATGATTTGTCTACAGTATTGAATGAACAAATAGATGACTCTAGCAAAGAAAATTCTAAAGATGGCTCCCTAACAGAACACGGTAAAGATACTGTGGAAAACAATCAAGAAAGTGGTTTATTTGGGAACAAAGATGACAACAAAATTGATGATATTCGGCAAGAATCACTAAAAGTTGCTGTAGATTCATTTGTCTTTGACTTTAGTAACAACTCTGATTTTGAGGACAGTGAAAAATTGATGATAGATCTTCAAACAGGCAAGGATGATACTAGTCAATATGATTCTGATGAACAAGTTGATCTCCAAGCAGGCAATGATGATACTAGTCAAGCAGGCAAGGATGCTACTAATCAAGCAGGTAAGGAGGATACTAGTCAAGCAGGCAAGGAGGATACTAGTCAATATAATTCTGATGAAGAAGTGGCTGAAGATGTTGATGTTTCCAATGAAAGTTTAATAATTGTTTCAGACAGCACTGAAAATGGTAAATCTGACTTTGAAGAAATTGTTAGGGATATTACCAACAAGTATGAGCTTGACGTTGATAATAAAAGCTCTGTCAGTTTGAATCAGGATGACACTTATACAGGCGATCATCTTGAAGGAAAAGTAAGAAAAATCTTCACAAGTTTTATGAAGTCTGAATCCAGTACAGAAGAGATTGAAAGGGTACGCAATACATCTGGTAACTATGGAGATGACAAGACAAATCATAGTACATATGCATTGCCAGACTTTGAAATTTCATCTGATGGTAGCTTACTGAAATCAGAGAGCAGAAGTAGAGAGAGCTCTGTAGAGTTTGTTTGTACAGTTCCTGTAACACCAAGTGCTGATTTATATAATGACGATTCTGATTCCCTGCCAGAAGTTGAATTTCTTAGAGCCAGTCCAGCAAAACATCCTATTGTTAAAGAAGAAAAGTCTGGAGATGATTCTGGATTAGAAAGTGGCATTGATGTGGTAGATAAGGTTGATGACTTCATTGATCAGAATTGTAAAACACTAATAGTCAGGTTGCCATGCACACCTACGAAAAAGAATGAGCAAATAAAGGCTGTATTTCATGTCTCCTCAGACAGTTCTAGTCTTGAAAATAATACACCTATTCAGCGGTGTGTTACCCCAGTTAAATCCCGAGAGTCAACTCCGTCAAAATTAAAACTTAAGTTGAAAAAACTTGATGCAGGTGAAGAAAGTCCAAGAAAAAAACAATTAAGAAAGAAGAAGAATGATCCTAGTCCTAAAAAGCAAAAATCCCCTGTAAAAATTCCTGAAGAACCAGATGATAACCATAAAAAAAGACCATCTAGAAAGAAAAGGACTGATACTAGTTCTGAAAAGGTAACAACACCTGTTATTGATGGAGAGGTTCCAGTGAAGAGAGAAGGAAGAAAAAGGAAACTGGATCAAAGTTCTAAAACACCTGAAAAGAGAAGAGAAACTCCAAGCAAAAAGAAAAAACAAAATAAAGAAAAACGAAGGTTGAGTGATTTGATAGAAGTTTTTACTGATGATGACTCTGAATCGGAGATGGTGTCAACGTCATCTAGAGTCATAACTGAACGGAATGAAGGGCTTGCTCAAGATAATGGTGAACCAAGTTATGAAGTGGCAACTGCTGAGAGTAGCAGTCTTACAGACAACACAAGTCAAAAAGGTATACCTTAACACTTGTATAAACTAAACCATGTGTAAATGGTGATATATGGTATTTTGACCCCTATGACCCCAATTAACATTCTTTAGTTTAAAGATGCAAATAAAACTCATGGGAGAATTTGAAATACAGTTGGAAAAGTACCATGTAATTTTTATGGGGATTATTATAATGTCTATAATGACATCAGAAATCCGTTTAAACTTAAATCTTGCATCAGAAAAAAGTCCATATTCTTTAGTAATTTAACATGCTTGATCCAAAGAAAATCTTCAGTTCCTGAGGGGTTCAGTTTAAATAGGTTCATTTTTTTTTATACCTGAGGGGTTCAGTTAGAATAGGTTCATTTTTTATAAGACAAAACTGACAAAAAACCTATAGCTCACAGTAAATAATGTTTTTATTTGTTCAAAACAACAAATATTTTTCTATGTGTTATCTTTTTGATCAAGATAGTATGCAATTGAAACTGTTTTCGTTAAGGGGGCGCCAGATAACTTAAAACCTACCCCACAAAAAAAAAGTACATTGACATTTTGAAGTTTTAAAGTTAATATTAGTCTTTTAAAATTATTTCTTTTCTTTTAACGTTAAATTCTAAGTAAAAGTTCAAAACAACAAATATCAGGAAATGGTCTAGATCTCTCCTGGATTAGTGGTGATGAAACACATTTGCATCTCTGTGACTAGGCAGTTTTGGTGCTTTTGCAGACTATACAGCATTGCAATCATCGCATTTTATTTTCCGTTAGATTTGTCTTAATAGTATTTAGAAGTTCAAAAATGGATCTTAAGTTAAGGTTTTAGTTTGATGCTTGAATGTGGAAGTGGTCTATTTTATAAGTAGGTAAAAATTCAATATGAAAGGGTCTAATTTGTGCCTCATTACAAATTATTTTGCGTTTTGATTTATCAAACTCATGTACAGTAATCATTACATTTAAAAGCCCCCAAACTCTCCAGTTCTTGCATTAACCACTGAATAGACTGGGAAATGTTTTATTGTTTCAAGGTTATGTCTTCCAATTTAGAAAGTGGTAGATTCTTTATACAGTCAATATGCTGATTTCTGTTCAATTTGATTTCAGATAGTACTGATAGATTGGAATTGTGTAGTCAAGAAACCAATACTACAGAAAAGGTACTTTCATACAATTATATCAATTCTACTTAGTTAAAATCCTAACTATATATTAATGCCTAAAATAAAGAATTGTTTGTCTGTCCATCTTTGATAGTATAAAAAATCATGAAACATTTTGAAAAAGATCATAATGCATGATGCAGTTTTCTTGCAATTGAAAAAAATACATCTGTAAATGTAAACAAATATCCCAAAACACATGTTATAATGTGAACTTAACATGTTTTTAATTGTCAAGTAATATTTCTTATTATCCTGACACATCTTCAACAATACAATATGTGGAGCTCTAAATTACTCCAGGTCTAGGAGATTTTGAAATAAATTTAAAGGAATGTCTAAAATCTGCCATCACTAAATTCCATAAAGAACAATTAGGTAAAAAAGATAAACTAAAGACCATCACTTGCAAAGTTCTTGACTGGGGATAGCACATGATCTAAAGGCTGCGTTAACTATAGTTTCTTAAATCCACATCATTTAGACTATGTGGGATAGTTTTATCCTTGGCAACCATACCATGTCTCCACAAAGAAGTCCGGGGGCCATATAGTTTTACCCTTATCTGTCATTCTGCAACAAACAGTTGTACAGGCTTTTCTAAACAGCTTCACATTTTAAGTTGATTTTTAGTATGTGAGTCTACTTTGATGAGTTTTAGATCGAGTTCATGTTTGGTTCCACTCCATTGATTTTTGCTGAAATTACAGGGTTTGGACTGAAAAATTTATGAAAATAACAGTTATACAAAGTTTTATAAACGCCTTCAATTATTGAGCAGATTTTTAGTATGAGAGTCTTCAATGATGTGTTACAGATCGAGTTTACTTTTGGTTCCTCTCTGCTGATTTTTGCCGAAATTACAGGCTCTGGACTTTGAAAATATTTTAAAAAATAACAGTTATAGAGACTGTTTTTTCTAAACGACTTCACATATTGAGCTGATTTTTAGTACGTGAGTCTACTATGATGAGTTACAGATCTAGTTTACGTTTGGTTCTGCTCCGCTGATTTGTGCCGAAATAGGGGCTTTGGACTTTGAAAACATTTACACAGACTGTCATTCTCAAATTTCCACTCCTAAAAATGGCTTCAAGCTTTTTTGCATGCAGGGCCATTCGTGTTGTTCTGACACATCTAGTTTTATATTTTATTAGTTTTATTTTTAAAACAAAGCTGTTGATAAAATCTAACTTCAATTAGTTAGATGAAAGAAGTTTTCAACAAATGATTAGTTTTCACTGTAAACCTAAATCTCAACATGATTGAAAGAGATGCAGGTAATCCTTTTTGAGACAGCAACCTAACAGAAGATAAGTGAAGAACACATATTTAAAGTAACAATATTCATTGTGCAGTGAGCTAATAAAACACTCTTTGCTAGGTTCTATATTTTCCAGTCTTGAAAATCATGTTCTATCAATTAAATTGTTTTACTACAGGATGCCGTACAGGGCACACAGTCTAGCATCAGTGATATTGATAACATACATAGTGAGGATAGTACAGACGGGAATACACCACCGTGTCAACAAATGATACTGCCAGATGAGGAAATATCAGAAATCTCTTTTTCAAATACTGTTGTAACCGATTCAGTGACGGAAGATGAGAGCATCTGTTTGGAAAGACTACCAGGTCTAGTTCCATCAGATCAGACCACTGCAACTTCTAATGATGAAAATGAAGCCGACTTTGATGATGACCATACCTGCGGAGAAACGTCTCCAGCAAAGGAAATTGATCGCCATGATATACAATGTACATTTGAAGATATTGCAACAGATGATGATGACAATGAAGATATTGGTAACATTGTAAATTTTCTTGAAAATGAAACTGTATGTTATAGTGACCTTCATGAAGACCAGAGATCACTGAGTGGACAGTCTGACACAGGGGATGATTTTCCTACTGTTGATAGAGAATTCCTATCACCTACATTTGAAATGGTCAGGGAACCAGAGTCAGGTGAAAAGAATGGTTTCCTGCCAGAATCAGAAGAAAACAACATAGACTCTGATAATCTACACAATAATGGTGAATGTGAGTATTTTCCAAATGGCATGGAAACATCCACACCAAATGAACTTGAAACGGTGTCATTGAGGAGGCTGCAAAACTTGGAAAGAAAATTGCAAGAGAAGTCATTGAATCGACAACTTATGACAAGAATGCAGACAGATACTCCTGATATCTCAAGAAATGATGAAACTGTATTGTATCATGGGGAAGATAGTAATGATAATGACCAGACTAAAGTTACATCAGAATCTAGTGGGATCCAACACGAGAAACAATATGAGCAAGATGACGACCAGGCAGTAAACATAGAGGAAGGGTTAATGAAGAGTTACGAAACTAATAGATTTCATGAAAAGACTGCAGAGGAACATGTTCCGACACCCCTGCTGAATGATGATTTGAATAGGAACACTCAGTGTCCTCAGACTGATGATAATAGACTTATTGATCATGACAATGTTGTGATGTCTCAACCAATGTATTCAGGAGAAGCAAGTCACAATGACTGTGACTGGGCACAGCTGATGGTTGAGAAAGATGGTGAAAATGGTCCTGCAGTTTATATAGAAAATGTGGGGGCAAATTTTAGTGGTGATTTTGATCCATTTTCAGGTGAAGAGGACAATGATGTGGACAATGGAACACCTTTGTCTTTACAGTTTAGTAATAGTAGTTTGACCATGCCTGCAAATTATGATGAGGAAGTTGGGGATGATGAACCAGAGAGAATGGAACAAGCTACCAATTATAGTGCTGCAAATAAAGAAAATTTTCTTAAAGATACTGGACACCATAGGATGAGTCAAGACATCTCCATCAAGAGAGATCACTTTGGGAGTTGGAAAGGTAGTTCTATAGATTACCAAGAAGATGAAGGAAACTTTGATCAAGGCCAAAATAAGGGTTATAATGAACAAAATTTTGATATTTTATATGAAAGGAATTCAAACTCATTGTCTTCATACCCACAAAATATCAAAGAAGAAATAAAATCACCAGAAGAAATTATGCCTAAAAGAAAAGCCAAAGATTTACTGGAAAAACTGAGGGCCAAGAAGATAAGGTTATCACTACCAAAACCAACGGTGCCATTAGAAGTCAACCAAAATGATGGACAAGTAGCTGGTCCAAGTCAAGGTCGACCTCCAACACCTGCCATGTCTGGAGATTTAGAAAGGTATGATATGTACTGTGTATTAGCTATAAGTGGTATCAGTGCTATTTTTGTCTCAATTTGATAGATTGAATTTGATGATATTTAAACCATTATGATATAAATAGATATTTTGAGGAGTCAAAGTTTAAGCTTTTGAAACATTCTGTTGCAGAATATTGCAAAATGCAAAAGAAAGTTTCCCATACATTTATACTGTCCCAAGATATGGGCCAAAATAAAACCACAACCTTTTTAAAATGACTTGACTGACTGATTAGTCCTTTTTGCATGACACATTTGGTCTCTGGTGGAGAGTTGTCTCATTGGTAATCATACCACATCTTATTTTTACATAGTCATATTTCATTGAACTGCTGATTCTTGGCATTCAATTATTTGGGTCACCACAATATAGCCTTTTGCCGTGATCAGGGCTCATGCTACCATGCGACTGGGGCGACAAAGTCGCTTTCCTGGTCGTCACTTCGCTTTGGCCAACCGTCAAAAGCGAAATCTAGTCGCCCTGTTGTTTACGATACTCGCTTTCAGTCGCTTTCGTCATCGGCAGTATTCAATTTTTACCATGTCAATGAAGCAGCAATTTTGTCAGTAAAAAGTAAAGAAATTCAAAGACATAAACGATTTATTTTCTTTAGAAAAGAGGTTAAAGCATTGATTTTAAAGTTGGTTGCATGTTATTTCATAAAAACAATTTTTTATCACTTCCGGTACTTGTTAGAGAGCGTACATCAAATCATTCTAATTTTCGGCAAAATAAGTTTGTTACTTCATTTGAACGTGATGAAATTTGCCTGAAGTAAATTTGTTATCCATGTATTGCATTAAAAACGTCATATTCCTTTCCAAATAGCGTGTCAAACAGCGTTTATTTTTGTAAATTTTTCTTCGTCCGCCATTGAAATATTTGTACTAAAACTACTGATCGGAACCGGACCAGCTATGACCGAATTCCGGATTCTTACGATAATGACTACTGAAGAATGAATGGCACAGCTGACAGAGGAATATTGATCCCAAAAGGAAAAAATTACGCATTCCACGCGCATTAACATACTTTTGGTTAGATCTACTTGATTAATGTATATATTTCCATGTATATGAATTGTTTCGATTTATTAATTAAAATTGCTCAACTCTGGGACTACTATACTATGTCCAAGCTTAACTGTGTTGAATTTATATATCTTTTAAATGAGAATTTTAACCACTGAATTTCACAAACATAACAGAGTACATTTTAAATTGAAATAACAACTTTCTTTTCCTTTTTGATATAAAAAAAATCTTTTTTATTATTGCTAGATATTAAACTGGTTTTTTTCTGACAAGAGGACTAATATGATTGTGCAACTAGATATGATGAAATTAAACATTAAAACAGAATTTGAACTGTTACTTTTATTTTACTCCCAGGTACAAATTGAACTATATAAAAAAATAAGATACATGTACATATGGCCCTTTGTATTATAGTAAAACCAAACATTGTAGCGCCGCAAGCGAACGAACACTTCTCTCTCAAATCTCACCACTTCTCCCTCTCAGTTTCAAAAAGAGAAGTCACTTCTCCCTCTGATTCTGAAGTAGTGTGAGCCCTGCGTGATGCGACTTAAATAAAAGATCAATCAAGCAATGATGCGACTTAAATAAAAGATCAATCAAGCAGTCACTAAATATTGGGGGAGAGGAGGTAAATTGCACAACCGTCATATCGTTTTAAAATGGGTGTGGCCTAACAGGTGCTTTGATAGTTGTATGATAGAAATGAACAATGTTTAAATTTGCTAAAATATACATGGGAAAAAAACAACAATTTTCTTGTGTTTAGTTCAAATTTCATTATTTTTCCTATTCCGTAATGGTAATAATTTTTGCTCGTCCTGAACATACACAAAATTTTTGCCACTGGACGTTAAGCAACCAACAATGAATCAATAATAATTTTTGGAGATAAAGGTTAACCATCAGTTTAAGTTTTCTTAATTCATGTGAGCAGAAATGTTTAAACCACCAAATCAAACAAAAATTTAACTTTTGCTTAATCCAGGAAAATAAATGATTCCAAAGTATTGTAAATCTGTGACCATTCTAAAAATATTTAAGAACAAAAATAAGTATACCTTTTAGAGTATTCTAAAATGATATTCTTCTTTTGCTTTGAAAAGAAAGCCATAATCTAATTGCAATAGAACATGGGCTGCACGTGTTTGACATCACAATTGAAATTGCAACGTCAGTTGTATTTTGAACCAACGCAGGAGAATAAAATGGACATTTGTGTTGGTGTTGCTTGCTAGGAAATTTAATAAAATCATTCTAAAAGTAAGCTTACATGTATTTGTTCATTTTTTAGCTCACCTGGCCCTTCGGCCAATTGAGCTTTTCTCATCACTTGGCGTCTGTCGTCGTCGTCGTTAACTTTTTACATTTTGAACTTCTTCTAGAGAACCACTGAATGGAATTAAACCAAACATGGCATGAATGTTCCTTATGAGGTGCTGACCAAGTGTTGTTACTTTGAAGCCGATCCATCATCCAAGATGGCCGCCAGTGGGGGACTTAGTTTAACATAGGACCCTATGGGAAATACATACAAATGTCTTCTTTTATAGAACCACTTAATGGAATGAAACCAAACATGGCATGAATGTTCCTTATGAGGTGCTGACCAAGTGTTGTTACTTTGAAGCTGATCCATCATCCAAGATGGCCGCCAGCGGGGGACTTAGTTTAACATAGGACTCTATGGAAAATACATACAAATGTCTTCTTTTAGAGAACCACTGAATGGAATAAAACCAAACTTGGCATGAATGTTCCTTATGAGGTGCTGACTAAGTGTTGTTACTTTGGAGTTGATCCATCATCCAAGATGGCCGCCAGCGGTGGACTTAGTTTAACATAGGACCCTATGGGAAATACATACAAATGTCTTCTTTTAGAGAACCACTGAATGGAATGAAACCAAACATGGCATGAATGTTCCTTATGAGGTGCTGACCAAGTGTTGTTACTTTGAAGCCGATCCATCATCCAAGATGGCCGCCAGCGGGGAACTTAGTTTAACATAGGACCCTATGGGAAATACATACAAATGTCTTTATTTAGAGAACCACTAAATGGAATGAAACCAAACATGGCATGAATGTTCTTTATGAGGTGCTGACTAAGTGTTGTTACTTTGAAGTTGATCCATCATCCAAGATGGCCGCCAGCGGGGGACTTAGTTTAACATAGGACCCTATGGGAAATACATACAAATGTCTTCTTTTAAAGAACCACTTAATGGAATGAAACCAAACATGGCTTGAATGTTCCTTTTGAGGTGCTGACCAAGTGTTGTTACTTTGAAGCCGATCCATCATCCAAGATGGCCGCCAGTGGTGGACTTAGTTTAACATAGGACCCTATTGGAAATACATACGAATGTCTTCTTTTAGAGAACCACTGAATGGATTGAAACCAAACATGGCATGAATGTTCCTTATGAGGTGCTGACTAAGTGTTGTTACTTTGAAGCTGATCCTTCATCCACGATGGCCGCCAGCGGGGGGGGGGACTTTCTTTAACATAAGACCCTATTGGAAATACATACAAATGCTGCTTCTAGAGGTGCACTGAATGGAATGAAACCAAACATGGCATAAATGTTTCTTATGAGGTGCTGATGAAGTGTAGCTAATTTGGCCTCACTCATTATTAGGGTATCTGTTATGATTTTAATCTATTTTAACATGATTTCCAAAACCAAAGTAGAATCAGGTGAGCGACACAGCCTCTAGTTATTGGAAACGGTTGATTTTCAATGTCGTTTTGGCTTCATAAAATTCAAAATGAATGCCTTTCGAACGAGTATTATAGGCCTGCTTCGATGTACAAAAGTTCTAAATTTTCCTATTAGATTCGAAATAATTCTCATCATGCCATGCTCTATGCTCATTTTAACATGTGTAGGCATTATATTTGTCAATATTTTACACCTCGGTAAAGCTCGGTATTAAGATATTGACAAATAATATGCCTACCCATTTTAGAATGAGCATAAGAACATGGCATGAAAGAATTATTTCTTAATTTTATCGATAAATGATTTTTTCAAAGACTAACATCATTTATATGCTATTTAATGCTGTCAATATATTTTAATACAGGTGCAGGGATGTAGTATTGAAATTAAGGAAGTCTTTGACAAAGGAGAAGAAAATGAAAAACCAACAAAGAGTTGAAGCATGGAAGTAAGTGCATAAAGTTCACCATGAAAGTACTTGTGATTTTATGGTACATTTAGAAGCTTCTTCATGATCAAGATATAGCATCTGAAGAAACCTTAATTTAAGATAAAAAGTGGAAAAATGGATTTAGTTTTGGACAGTGAATATTGCACTTTTACACTAACAGCAGCAATCACAGGGGAGACCCACCTTTAGGAACGATTTATTTGAATAGTCTGAAACCAAGTGATTTTTTATCTGCAAAATTGTAAGCAGTGGATGCTGTATAACCATAAATTTGCAAAGGCAAGACTGAGATGTGCTATTTCCAGCAGAGATATTTCATGGTGTCTGCCATGTAGTGCTAATTAAATATTGTAATTTCAAATGCTTAATTATTGTAGGCAAGAATTGAAAGAGCTTGAGAGTAAACTGTGTTCGCCCAAGGTAACAGTGGCTGTTGTAGGAACAACAGGTGCAGGGAAGTCCAGTCTAATGAATGCCATTATAGACCACTACAATGTATTACCTACATCAGGGACACAGGCCTGTACAGCTGTTGTTGTCAAGATAGAAAGCAACAATACAAGTGATCTGTTTGAAGCTGATATTGAATTTCTCTCCAGAGAGGTAAAAAATTACCCTTCAAAAATTAGATTTCTTATAACTTGTAAGCAAAACAAATGCTTTTATTAATCTAGCAGCAAATGCAACCATTTAAAAAGAGGTTTACTTTCTTCTTTTGCATCAACACTCTTTTTACAAGTTGTCTCCAAATTCTTTGAATACTTTTGAACACTTTGAATACATATCTTATTATATAAGTAGATACAAAAATGATAAAATATCACAATATTTTCTTGCTTTGATAGTTGATATTGAAAAAAAAATCAGATAGAAATTATAAGTTTCACCAAAAACATGCACCACGTTGTAGGATTTGTCCAACCAGTTAATAATAAGAGTGGGATAACCTAGGTCACATTATTAAACAACTGAAATTAAATTATTTGAAAAGTAGACTTGTTAACAATACAAAAAAAATTAAACTTACATTAAGTTGCATATTTCCTGTAGAAGGTCATGGTTTTCTGTGAGTACTCTGGCTTCCATCACCTACAAATACTGGCCGGCGTGATAAAGCCAAGGTGGCTGACTGTGGCATTAAACCCTAACAATCTGGCTTTCATCACCTACAAATACTAGCGGTCATGATAAAGTCAAGGTGGCTGATTGTGGCATTAAACCCCAACAAACATCAATTAGCTTAATAATTTATATTTTGTGTTTTGCTTTTTATTCATGACTGGATATAATTAGGTAGACTTAACAGATGTAAGAAACTTTAAGATGTGAAGTCACTTGCTGTTAATTACTTAATAAATGGACTATGATACTCTAACACTTTTGAAAATATTAGTATTCAATTTCAGGAATGGGAGAATGAACTTCAACTATTGAAAAAGGACCTAACAGATAAAAATGGAAAAATTAAGAAAGTTAAACCTGACCCAGAAACAGAGGCAGGAGTAGCTTTTCTGAAGATGAGAGCTGTGTATGGAAAATTTGAAACTTTTGAACAGTTGTCCAGACCCACTCCTGTGACGAGATGTTTGGGAAAGACTGAAACTATCAAGTCCAGTAGTGTAAATTATACTATTAATTATATTGTAACCCACTCTCGTCCTGGGGGCTATATTTCATTCATCTATCTTCCAACAGTTTGTTCAACAAATATTTCTTTCACACTTTCTCGCGTACTATTGAGCAGAATGACTATATTCGGTAAGCTGTTTGACAGTGATGTATTGCAAAGTATAAGTACTTTAAAGGTCCAAATACTTTTCTGGTCTGTCTGACACCTACTTCCTTTTAGTCGATACTTTGAATTTTTCTATATGTTGAATAAACTTACTGTAGATTCATTTATAGTTCATGGATATCAATTTCAAAGTATTGAGGAAAAATGGTATTTTTATGAATATTTGATTTAACCTTGGTTTTACCAATGCCTGTATACAAGTGTGTAGACAGTATGTACTTTGTTGATCATTGTAAATTGTGTTTTACCTTTACCCATGAAATCCATGAAAATTGGTATCCACCGAATAATGATGAATCCACAGTATTCTTTTTGTCACAAATTTCTCCATTTACTGAACGGAAAGACTTCATATTTGGTTAGCAGCTAGGTAGTGATGACTTCTTGTTTTATAAAACAAATATGGCTGGGGCTTATTGATTTACCCTTGTTGATCTGAATGTTAGCCTAGGTTGGGTGTAGTGTAATTTTGTTACTTTATAACCCATAATTTAATATATGGGTAATTTTTCACAATGACAGTCCTTATGTGCTGTACAAATTTTATCAAAGACATTTTATTTGCCCTAACATTCATTTCATGTTTGATTGACATTGATGAATTTTTGTATTAGCTTTGTTTCTCAGAACCCATGGTAATGTAAAAATGAAATTGTAATAGTAAAGCTTAATACATTTTTTAACAACAATATATGTAATATAAGCACAAGATGAGCAGCAATTTTATTGATAAAAATCGTCACAGTAGTCATGCATGTATTTAAAAACCAAAGTGTTATAATACCCATATTTGTTAAAGACTAATTTATTTACCATTTTCCTTTTCAGTCATCGACATTCAGAAATAAGATTGACAAATATATAGAAAATACATCATCGAAGACAGGTGGACAGTATTGGCCAATTATTAAATCTGTAACAATACGTATACCACATTGTTCAGTTTGTAGTAATGGTTGTACATTGGTAGACTTGCCAGGTGTGAGGGATTCAAATGCTGCCCGAGATAGGATAGCTAAAGATGTAAGTCATAACTACAGTCAAACCTGCTATAAAGGTCACCTCTATTTAGAAAAAAGCTGTCTTATCAGGTTACCCTCTTCTAATCCCACTACTATAGTACTACTACTACTAGTACCTTTTCATTTTTATACCCCCGCTTTAAAAAAGTGGGGGTATACTGTTTTACCTCTGTTGATCCGTCCGTCGATCCGTCCGTCCCATGAATATTTTCTTTCTCAAGAACTACATCATAAGGATTTCTGAAATTTGGTTTCAGGGTTTATATAAGTCAGCTATACTGTGTGATGCGTTTTCAGATTCATCACTCAACAACAAATGCATATTTGGGCTGGGGGTATCATCAGTGAGCAGTAGCTCACAGTTTCACTTGTTAACCTTGATTCAAAGGTTACCTTTCTTATACAGTCAGTTGTCTTGGATCTCCCAAGACGACCGTTATATACATTTGACTGCTGTTGATTCAAACTACCATTATTCAATTTTTTGCGATTTTTTTTATTTTTGCAAAGAGATGGGTGTTGCAAAATTAATTACATTTAAAATCAATTTTATGCAGTGTTTTTCAAATCACAATAATTTATCTCTCATTTGTGTCCATTGTTCAACATTCTCGATAATAAATGCATATGCATGTCATTTGGTCTCTGGTGGAGAGTTGTCTCATTGACAATCATACCACATCTTCTTATTTTAATATTTATATGCAATAATTTCTGAATTTACAGTATTAAGACAGGATGTTATTAGGTAGACTTAACAGGTCTAAGGGACAATGGTATGAACTACAGTAAAACTCCATTATAGGGAAACTTTCCAATAAACCCTGACAAAATCTATCAAAAATTCATGGCAAAATGTCTGGATATAATGAATTCCCTTGCAGCAAAGTTTCTGATATTACCAATCATTTCTTAATCCCCAATATCAGTATGCACATGTAATGACAGGCGGTTATTGCGAAATTTAAATGACCTGCAGGTAAGATGTTTGATTAACAATCTTGACAAGCCCTAATCCCCATAAAATCTTTTTAGAGGAGAAAAGTTGTTTTTAACCGGATTTTTGTGTAAAAAATGTCGGTTATTGATTTGGGGATGTACGGCGGGCGGGCGGGCGGCAACCAAATGTTGTCCGTGCATTTACTCATGAACCATTCAACCAAACCTTTTAAAATTTTAATATGTTGTTACTGACAACAAAATGGAGGTCAAGTTTAATAATGACGATTTTGACTTTTACCGTTCAGGAGTTACGGTTCTTGAAAGCTTAAAAAATGTCGTGTCCGTGCATTTACTCATGAACCGTTCAACCAAACCTTTTTAAATTTTAATATGTTGTTACTGACAACAAAATGGAGGTCAAGTTCAATAATGACGATTTTGACTTTTACCGTTCAGGAGTTACGGTTCTTGAAAGTTTAAAAAATGTTGTGTCCGTGCATTTACTCATGAACTGTTCAACCAAACCTTTTTAAATTTTAATATGTTGTTACTGACAACAAAATGGAGGTCAATTTCAATAATGACGATTTTGACTTTTACCGTTCAGGAGTTACGGTTCTTGAAAGTTTAAAAAATGTCGTGTCCGTGCATTTACTCATGAACTGTTCAACCAAACCTTTTTAAATTTTAATATGTTGTTACTGACAACAAAATGGAGGTCAAGTTCAATAATCACGATTTTGACTTGTTCTGCTTTTCTTTGGTAAATTGTTAGAAGAATTTTGTGACAAGTTTGTTTGTTATTTGTAAAAACTAATTTTCTGAATGCTGTATATTTCTTTTTTGATGAAATGAACTCCTTTAAAAAGGAAGCTTATATTGTCCATCAATAAACATATATTTAGATTTCTGATTTTGGGCCCACTTTTCAAATCGGTCCAAATAGGGGTCCATACTTGCTCATCTTTTCAGGATTCGACCTCTGCAGGAAAATCCGGTTTGCTGTCACTCGACAGCCTCTTGTTATTGCAATAAAGTGATATAAACTTGTTATTTTAACTATTTTATTAGAACGGGTGCCGGTTCATGTAATTCACAAAATAGAAAAAAGAAAGCTTCATCTATAGAAACAAAGACAACGATTTTCCCTTGATAAACCTCATCAACATTCAAGGCAGACTCTAGATCAAATTGGGGTCACAAGTTAATGTTGACAGTGAAGTTATCACGACCGAATCCAAGTCAGATGATTCAATTGTCAAAAATAATTTAAACAAGGATTCTTGACGACGACAATTATGAAATAGATGTCGAACCAACTGAGGAAATACCAACAAAAAGTGATGGACTACTAGGATTAGAGACAGTTCAACGAGATTTTGAAACACATAACGACATTGGTGAAAACGTATTTTTGGCACTCATAGAAATTAAATAGAAATCGTTGAAGTTGGAATTAATTTTCTTTATGAAATCATTCTTGAAATTTGCTTTGCTGTAGTAGTACTTGAATGGTTTGAAATTAGCACTTGTTTTAAAGTTGCTTACTGATATATTAGTGCAAATTGACCTGACTTAGAGTCATAATGTACAAAAATTTGTGAATTAAACTGAAGAAAACTTTTGAGTATATTTTTGTGTGATTTTACAAGAATTGTGATGAATTAGTTCTTTTTATCAAATAGTTTCTTACTACAAGTTTTAATAGCTATTTTAGAACATAGAATTTACCTTTATTCATTTTTAAAAGATCCAAATTTTATATTTGTAGTACTTGAAAAACTGTTCTGTTATTCTGGTGGTGGCAGAGGTCCATAGAGCTTCAACAAGTAAAACTGCCAAAGAATTACTAGGGGATAACTTTCGTCGCCAGCTACTGATGGATGGACAGTATGGAAATGTAGCATTTGTTTGTACCAAAAATGATGTACTGCAGCCTTCAGAACTTATAAGGTGAAAATAATACCCAAAACATTTATATGTTAGACAGTATTCTTGCTAGTGCTAGATCAATCAGGGGTGGATCCAGCCTCCCACCCCCTTATATATTGTAAGTGCATCTTGATGATTTTTGACTGCTTGTCAGGTGTTTAAACTAAAATTGCTCTGATACAGTAGAATTCTGCCATACCAAGATGTTTCACATTAATCAATATTGATAGACATTTCAGAATCAATACATTCTGGATAATAAATTCAAAGCGTACACCAGAACATGGCAATGGGCTAACCATGTCCTAAACAATGGAAATTCAACCAATGACCTGACATTGTTTTCATTTTGGTGTACAACAATGAAAATACCCATAATCCTTTAGATTGTGAAATGGCAAATTGTTTGAATAGTCTTTTATTGATTTGACATTGAAATCATCAGTTGCATGATATTTGGTATACACATGATTATTGCGGTAAAAAGATATTAAAAATGACAGTGTTCTATCTATTTATATTGTTTAGACCAAAATGTCATTTATATCAACAAGGAATAGTTAGCGAAAGTTTTGGTTGTCAGTGGGGTTGTGCAGGTAAAAAATTGAGGTGTATTGTAATAATGGTAACTAGTTAGGGCTAATGGAGAATGATCTAAAGGAGTGGTGGATTAAATGACAAATAAGATAGAAATTTAAGAATACAATGCCCCCCTCCCCAAACAAAACAACACAACCACAAAACATAACATAACATACAACACAAAACCAAAACAAGAGACAATAGAGGAGATTTCAAAAATACTTCATTAAACCTTTAAATGAATCATTACTATTCATGTATCTTATATTTCTTATACTATAGAGAGTTGGAATTAGATGATAAGACTGACTGTATTGATAAAAATTTGACTTTGATGATGATTAAGATGGATGAGTTAAAACAGACGGAGAGAACTTTAAAGGAAGAGATACAATGTTTATTGGTAGACATTAGTACTCTGACCAATGCTGTTGATGAACTGCAGAAAGATATCACTGAAATTACTGAACTTGTTTCACTTGTAGATACACAGGTAAGCAAAATATCGTGATCCTGTGTATAAGAATAACTATGAATTTATTGTCATAAGTTATAGGATTGGGAAGAATAAGTATTGTTACCCTGTCATTTTTGAAAAACCATGCATGTTTTTTTTCAAACAGAATAGTGGCAGCTCTGACTGGTTCTAACCTTAAGGAATGGAAAATTGCATTTTACATAAAACAGTGTTTTCCGTTTTTTTTTTTTTAATTGAATGGGAAAGTACATTGACAACTTTTAATTAGATAACATTTCCAAGTTATAAGTAGCTGTTTTCCTGTAAACAGTGAAAAATGTAGCAAAATAATTATTGATGGCAAAACAAAATATCAGTGTAAATAAAAATTAAAAAAATACATCTGTGTAGTTATAACAATCAGCAGAAGTATGACTATAATGATAATGTTTGAAAATAAATATCTGATATGTAAGTAGTAATTATGATTACAATGTAAGATAAATGCATGTAGTAAACTGATTTTTTGTGGCAAGTAAATATGAGTGAATCTTTTATAGGAAGAAAATGAGCAGTTAGAAGAATTGAGGTCAGATTTACAGAGAAAAAGTGTAAAGTTATCATTGAAACAGCAGGCTGTGGAAGCAAAGGGGATAAAAGTGGAAAACATCAAGTCACAAAAGAACCAACTAGAAATTGAAATGAATCACAAACGGAAAACAATAAATATGATCTGTGCTAAAGCTAGAACCAACTTTGCCAGGAATGCCATTAAGAAGGATTATAAAGCTGGAGTCAGGGTATGTATCAATTGTTAAATTGTTTTGGAATTAGTTAGATTTCAGTATTTATTTTCCTTTTGACTCCACTTTTGTCACTACTACATGTTAACAAATACTTGATTTTTGACTGGCCTGCGACGAAAGTCCCTTTAAGCGAGACACAAGGATTGCTTTTCAAGTGTTGGCTCCAGGGTATGTATCAATTGTTAAATTGTTTTGGAATTAGTTAGATTTCAGTATTTATTTTCCTTTTGACTCCACTTTTGTCACTACTACATGTTAACAAATACTTGATTTTTGACTGGCCTGCGACGAAAGTCCCTTTAAGCGAGACATAAGGATTGCTTTTCAAGTGTTGGCTCCGGCTCCGGTGTCAACAATTGTTAAGTTTTTTGCTTAAGTTAGTTTGATAGGATCTACTTGTGATAGATCAATGATATATTTTATGAAGTTGCATTACTTTGAGTACACATCAGTTTGACGACTATTTTGAGGCCCTGTCCCATAGGACATGGTCCAGTGACTTTGAATTAATTAGCAATGTTGCTGTCCATCAGATTTTCATTTTTCTGAATTTTATGCCGATAGGTGAGACATATCTCTGTGTCAACAGTTCATTTTCTATTTATATAACACAAACAAATAATCAATAAAAGACTAGAAATATGTATATTGTTTATAATTTATACCTTGAAACTATTTAGTTTGAAGGACCTTTTCAAGTTTACTGTCGAAATAACTAAAATTTTACCTTAGGATTATGTCCTTAAAAAAACAATGACCTTGTCCGTCCACAACTTATGTAACATGTTACTCAGCTTCTGTATTCAGGAATGATTCTGATACTTTGTAATGTTGAGTTGTACCATGTAAGTGAATCTCAGATCTTCCTGGCAGTCACTTCATGTTTGAAAACAATTTGAATTTCTATTAGACCCAATGCACATTAAATTTTGTCATTACAAATTACTAAACTTCTGTAGTATGAAATGTTTTAGTATTTGGTCAGGAGCTTCAGAATGTCAAGTTGTACCATTTGAGGGAATTTCAGATCTGCTGAACAGACCCTTTCTGTTTGAAAATAATTATAATAAAAAGATCCCATTAGGTCCTTTTATTGGTATCATTCTTCAACAAATAAATGCCATTGGATATAGTACTTTAGGCAAAAATGAGAGAGATTTTGGTAGAGAGAAAATGTAGTAATTGAAAATTATAACTTCTTTCTTTACTTTAAAGATGTAAAATTGTAATTTTTGTTGGTAAATGCAGGAAATGAAGAGAAAAGCAAAGATGACTCAAGAAGAAATAGATGAAGACGAGGAAGATGACTATGTCAGTGATGAAGATGACAATGATAAAGACTTAACAAGGTCATGTGACAATCTTCAGGTCTTCTGTGTTAGTTCATCTGAATACCAAAAATTGAATAACAGACTAACAGATGATGGACCACCTATGGTATGTATTATTTAAAAGTATAATAATTTTCAGATATGGATACCAGCATTTTTGAACTTCTTCATTCAAATAAACAAAAATGATACAAAAGTTGATATAATTTTATTTTACTTCAGTGCATTATCATGAAATGGGGAAGTTTGTAATATGATCACTTCCAATTAAGTTAGAATTCTGTCTACATAGATAAAAGAATGTATGTGCAGTTATTTTAAAATATAACATTTTAAATTGAAAATAGCAATGACCTTTTGATGATAACGGGTTTTAAATGAAAATTGGGTCATACAAATTGTGCAGAGAATGCAGAAAAAGGATTCAGACTGCATTGTCTGACATTGGATCTGATATTTTGATGTTTATACCATTATTGGTTTGAATTTGATGGATCCTAAAATGTATGTTATAATAAGTATTCAAGTATTTTATGGTTCCTAGTCACTGTCTCACTAGAGATGGATATGCTCGTAGCACTGTCTGCTGATAAGGGGCATATATGTCCAAAGTGAGTTCAAAAGGGTCAATACAACCAATAAATATTATTTCAGGTATTTGATGATGAGGAGGATACAGAGATTCCAGCAGTAAGACAGTTCATTAGACAGATTACTAATCAGAAGAGAGAAGAAGCCACGAAAAGACTCGTACAGAATCTTGCAGTTTTTATCTATGACATACAGAACTACTTAACAGAAAATGGTCTTACAGTATGTGTTCCTTTTGCCCCTTATTAAGCTGTGTATATTTCTAAACTAGTTTGCTATGACAGTGTCTGTAGTGATATTTTAGATTTGAGTGTATGTAATCTATGTATAATGGGTCAATTGTTACCACAAATGTCTTAAAATGACTTACCTTCAACTTTTAGTGTAGAAAAAACATTTCATATACCCCTTCCCATTAAAGTTTTTGATAAGCATTTGAATTTTTTCTATTCTGGTAATTTTTCCTTCAGGACTTGATATAGCTATAATTTAATTTGATGTGTTTTTAAGAACAAAAATGACAGATTCACAGTACAATCAGCAGTAGCAGATTTTTCCTCACGGCTACAGGAAGAGTTATCTCCAGTACTTGACAGTTTACAACAGGATGTTGGCCATGAACTAGACAGTAGTATAGCAGCACAATTAAACAGAGGTGTAGAGGTTGCTGTCAACAGTGCTGTAGATACCTGCAAAGGTTGGAGCTCATCTGTAAGTGTACTGTCATATATAGACAGAAAATACATTTCCTTAATGGTGATTCCTTTATTCAAATTTATAACTTTAAATACATGTTCTTTTAAATTTGGCAGCTTTGGTTGGTTATACAGTCGACTCCACTTAATTGCATACCGCTTAATAGCATAATTCGGTTAATTGCATAATTTTCTCCTGCACAAAACCATTTCCCATTCATCTAATGTTAAATTGTCCGGTTATATGCATAGCTCTACAAGTGGCCTTTCAGTTTATTGCATAGAAAATTATCGCCATCTAGATATGCTTGGTTAAATCTGTCGAAATTTTTGACCGGAAACGACAATGGTGAGTATATTTTTCTTGAATGCATCATTATTTTCATTATTATTTCATATTTACTTCTGTGTGTTATTCAAATAAAGTTTTAAAACAGTTTCTTTAGTGTTTATATGATTGAATTTGATTTAAAAATAAACCTCGATATCTACACAGGTAAAGTTTCCCATGTTCTATTTTAAGCCTCGAGGTCATAAAAATGTCAAACAGGTAATTGTTGTAAAAACACTGACCATTCTATCTAAAAAGGTGTAAATAATTGATTGGATTTCAAACATTGTCCATAGATTACATTTGGGGTGAAATTAAAAAACAATAACGCCTGCTAATTATCGATCATTATCCAATGTGAACTCTCGTAATTGGGCTTGGGGTGATCTGCATTTATGTTAGATATTACAGGGCATTTATATATGGTTAAAGAATTTTATACATCAATCATTTAATTTTGATATATTTTGAAAAGAGCATTTACTTCTAATTATTATATTTTCTCACTTTCAATACTCGTGTCCACCCAATAACCCGTACAGGGCCCCATTACTTCTTTGCATATACGAAACTAAGGAAGTTAAATAAACAGTGTTACTTCACTCTGCAAGCTGTAAATATTGTATATCAAAGGCAGTTTAGTACACATCTATTGTTAAAATGATTATAAACCGTGTAATTTTGTTAAACAGTTTATTTTAATCAAAGCGTAACAATGTACATTGTACATACAGGTCATAGAAACAAATCTATTTTTAGAACGAATTTATTTTCGTATCCCAGGTAAACTGGTAAAGGAAACGTCGGTACGCAAATAAACTAAAACATAATGTGTTTATAATCTTTATTGAAATAATACAAAATAAAATAACATGTATGACACAAGACATATAACTTTTATTAGAATAAATCAACATTCAATATGTTGTAATTGGATTATAGACGTTCATCTTTCTTCAGGGATTTCCTTTACTGATCTGTTCTATCGATGTTATTTGACTCCGTAATTTGGCATTTCGGATATAAGCATACTCCGCTTTATTGCATAATTTTGTCTGACAAATAGGCTATGCAAATAACCGGAATGTACTGTATTACTATAATTACAATTTAATTCTGAGCATTGCTTCAAATAATTAAAAAATTTCCCACAGGAACATCATATTTACCTGAAATGACAGGCACTTTTTTTTTCTTTTTTTTTAAACTACAACTACTTGAAAACCAACAAGAGTTCAATATAACACATTCAAGGAACATTTCTGATTTAATTGTTTAATCAAATTTACTTGTGGTTATTTATATCAAAACAAAGACTTCAATGATATCTATATGCATTTAATGGTAATAAGACTAGCCTTTTATTTTTATACACAATGCTTATTACCACAAAACACAGATCAAGTTCAAATTTGGGTGGCATTCCTTTTACTGTTCTCGAGTGATGCCCCTTTATAACGTTATCATCTGTGTCCATCTCTAATTTTCTTTATATTAATGCCCCGCTGTATACAATTGGGGCATTAAGTGTTTCCCATTGATCGTCCGTCCGTCCTTCCGTCCAATTTTGGTTTCAACACTCCAACTTAAGTTTTCTTTATTCAAATTTTATGAATCTCACACACAATGCTAAGAACCAAAACATACAGACATAGTTTAAATTTGAGCAGTGAGTCACTTACTGTTCTATAGTTATGCTTCTTTTTAACTTGGAAAATTGTAAAGTTTGAGCAGGGGCATTTGTGGCCTCGGACACATTCTTCTTTTATTTTGAATAATTATTTCAGGTAAAAAAAGATGAGAAACACAAAGGAGGATTATGTTTCTCAACATACAATGCAACAGTCCGTAGATATGGTAATTTTAAGTCACCTACATCAGGTTTGATTGACTTCAATGAAGATTTGGCAGAACCACTCACTACCAGCATTAGTATAGTATGGACCAAATTCTTTAGGTAAGGACCATATCAGATAGATGAATTCATTATTTGTATTAAGGGCAAATACTACTATCCTTTTTTTATAGGAACAAGATATTGGTATTTTAAATTGCTATAAAGAAGGAAAGTCATAAAAATAGATTACAGGGGGTTGCAGATTTTTTTACTTCTGTACATTATACATATCAATCTGGTTATTTTATTGATTTATAAAAGAAACAAGAGAATGCACCTTGACACTTTGTAAATAAATGGTGTAGGGGAGACATATCGGTAGGCTGAACAAATCTTTTCAGGTTGAAAATATAACTTTTTGAAAGATTCACTGCAAAAAATTAGACACTTGAAAAGATGTTCTGGACGTAATAGCAGCAATTAATTAGTAGATATAACAGATAAGATCAGATTTAAATAAGACATAATGGTGGATTTGCATGATCTATATAAGAAATGTAAGCAGGTATATTAAATGTATATAAAGAAGTAATTGATAGAAAAGTCAGGTTAAGAGAAGAAAAGTCAACTTATGATGAAAGTTCCATATATATTCATGGCTGTTCCATTAAAACACACATGGCACCCAGGGAAGGCACTCTGGAAATGGGATAACCATCTATATTATCAATTTTTATGGAACAGCCCTCATTGTTAATTATCTATAAGAGATACAAATTTTCCTATTGCTTTCTATAATTTCTTCAGTTTCTGTTGTATATGACATCCGTAAATAAAATGACATCCGTAAATAAAATGACATTCAATGTTCACAGTTATGATATTTAATTTTGCTCTGCCAGAGAGAATTTATCTGTGCACACACACACATGTACATGAATAGCTAGATTTCAGCTCATATTGAAAATATTAAAGTTATCCAATTTTAGTGTTGATTTGTGGGACCTCCTTGAGAGACACAAGCTGAGAATCCTGAATACATTACGGTCCTTCACTGGCAGACTTTGTGATGAACTGCTGTCTTTAAATGTATCAAGAAATCAGCTGGATACAGCACAAAGACAATTTCATTTGATTTCTGAAACAAAGGTAATGTATAAGAATACTATTGTTTTCATTCCAGTAACATAAACATATATTTTTATAAGAGTAGTACTATCTGTTTTCTTTTAAGCATAACTAAGAACTGTACTATCAACCATATCAAAAGCTGAACGTACTATAAATAGTACCAGTATAGTGATGGAGTATATATATATAGATATATATGTCAGTGTGCACAATTCATTTCAGTATGGCAGAAATAGTTATTCCTATTGTAAACTAGGGTGTGTATGATGGTTTAATGCCCCCTCCCCCTTTGAATTTTTTTGCTTAGTTTAAATGTTAAAGATTCCGATAAGGTCAGTTTGAGGGGATCAGTAATGGTAAGTCAATGATATTTTGTGTAGTTGTATCAACATTATCAGGTATCATATCCAGGAAAATTTTTAGAAATTATTTTTTTTTTACAAATAATCTTTTATTTTAGTTAATAGAATTGTATAGGGATATTTTTTCTTAATAAATAATCTTTCATTTTAGTTGACAGAAATGATTAGGAATTTGAAAGAGTTTGTAATAGAAAGACAGAGAGATATGAACAGGATGTTTCCACCAACTATTCAGGTAAAAGAATGTTAGTGAAAAAATGTATGAGATCAAATTCAATGCAAACAACAAGAATGATCTTCAAAGGTATGCTTGAGACTAAAACAGAAAGAGGCCAAAAATATATTAAGATTGAGGCCAAAAAATAGTCCTAAGCAGGACATTTTTTTATTCTTTAATAGGACACTACCTAGCAGTTAAGCTAATAGAGTTGTGTGGAAGGGTTGTAACTTTTGATATTCCTAATTTACAACACACAAAAAGACTTGTTATTGATACCATGTATTTAAAATTTATTTTCCTTTACTGGACAACTTAACTTAAAAAGTGATTTTTGTTATAACTTGAACTATTTTTGGCAGTTCTATAAATTTTGCCTTTAAGTGTAAAGATGAATAAAACTATTTATCCACCTCCCCTCAACTTTCACATAATTAGCATCAAAATGGTTAGTAGTATAGAAATTTTCACCAGAAACAACTGTTTGTAATATAATGGGACACAATTGAGTAAAATTTTTGATTTTTCGTAATTATGAATATGTATAATGGTTGGTATCTATTGTATTGTAAATTATGAATATGTATAATGGATGGCATCTATTGTTTTGTAAATTATGAATATGTATAATGGATGGCATCTATTGTTTTGTAAATTATGAATATGTATAATGGATGGTATCTATTGTATTGTAAATTATGAATATGTATAATGGATGGCATCTATTGTTTTGTAAATTATGAATATGTATAATGGATGGCATCTATTGTTTTGTAAATTATGAATATGTATAATGGATGGTATCTATTGTATTGTAAATTATGAATATGTATAATGGATGGCATCTATTGTTTTGTAAATTATGAATATGTATAATGGATGGTATCTATTGTTTTGTAAATTATGAATATGTATAATGGATGGTATCTATTGTTTTGTAAATTATGAATATGTATAATGGATGGTATCTATTGTATTGTAAATTGGGTACATGTTATTTTTATAGGAACATCTTAAGGCAACATATGAAAATTGTAAGAATGACAGTGGGAAAGGACTTTTCCAACGCATGAAGAACAAAATGGAAGGAGGGGTTGATAATGAACGACCTAACATGTTCCAAAGTGCATCAAGTACATTATTGACTCAATTGGAACAGTTAATGGTAAGTGTTGCTCCATCGATGGAGTAGGTTCAAAATGATGTCCTGTTTCTAGTTAACATAACCATTATCACAATGGATGATAGTTAAAACAATGACTCAATGTGAAAAAGGGTTTTTTTTTTCTTCCTTATAATTTTTAGCTCACCTGGCCCAAAGAGCCAAGTGAGCTTTTCTCATCACTTGGCGTCATTTGTTGTTCATCATCGTAGTTAACTTTTACAAAAATCTTCTCCTGAAACTACTGGGCCAAATTTAAACAAACTTGACCACAATCATTATTGGGATATCTAATAATGATAGTTTAATAAATGTGTCTGATGACCCATCTGGCCAACCAAAATGGGCAACATGGCAAAAAATAGAACATAGGGGTAAAATGCAAGTTTTGTCTTTTATTTTAAAAAACGCTATAAATAAAGAAAATCTGACTTGTCAGAAATGTTGAGCTCTACCTATTGTCTATTCATGTCAAAAACTGGTAGATGACTTCTTTTAAGAGTTATTGCCTTGAACCCTTTCACCGATAGCCGGCCTGACAGAAGCTACTCTGAGACGATGGCTTCCCTGGCTATTATGACACAAGTGGGAGATCTTCATATTAAATATTAATAAAAACTTGTCTGTAGTTATTTATGTCTTTATATTATTCACTTACACTAGGACACAGTTTTGTTAATGTTTTGATCATTTTTTCTTCATAAAAAATCAAAATTTGCGAATTTTCGGCATTAGAGAGATGAAATTCTTGAAATTTGACTTTTTGACCCAAAATCCTAATTTTTAACCCAAAATGGCAAAAGTTTGAACAATTCAACAAGGTTGTACAAATTCCTTATACTGAACGATGTCTTTCCAAGTGTTTTTGTACATAAAACGGCATTTTATGTTAAAAAAATATACAAGTCTGGCTTCAATTCTTCCATATTCTTTCAAAAAAAAAAATGTTTCCTTATTTCAAATTCTAGTAAAATCCGTAAATTTCATCTGATTTTGACATGCTTTTCAACAAACGGAAGCGCCATGTTTACACTTTCATCTGGGTATTCAACAAAGAAAGATAACTTGTGTTTTCAATGTTTTTAGCGGGAAATGTAAAAGAGGTATTCCGATCCGGGACTCATCGTCAGCTGTCTGAAGGGTGAATCCCGGTAAACGGAGTTTTGTCGGTGAAAGGGTTAAACTACAAATTTTACCATTTTTTTTCATTTTTCCCTATTATCTTGAAATCTATAGATATAGAGAGAAACTTCAAACAGCAAAAATGATCAGCAAGTCAAAATCTACAAATAAGTCAACAAAGCTGAAATCATCAGATGACTTCTGATTAGAGTTATTGCCCTTTAATGACAATTTTAATCATTTTTATTGCGTTTTTTTATTAATATTTTACAAAAAATCTTCTCTGAATTACAGGGCCAAATTAAATCATACTTGGCCACAATCATTATTGGGTAATCTAGTTCAAAAAATGTGTACAATGACCCCACCTGCATGGCTAAAAACAGAACATAGGGTAAAAAACAAGTTTCGTCTATTATCTGGAAAACCACTATGAATAGAGAAAATCTGTTCAGAATGTTGAGCTCTTCCTGTTGTCCATTTACGTCCACCGTCAAATGTTTTCTTATAGTACTTATTGCCCTTAAATATCAAATTTTACCAATTTTTTGAATTTTTGCCTGTTATTTTGAAAACTATATTAGATAGAGAGAAACATTAATCCGGAAAAATTAATCAGGAAGACAAGATCTACAAAAAAGATGAATGGCTTAAATTGTCAAGAGAACTAGTTATTTAAGTTATTGCTCTTTTATGACGCTTTTACCAATTTTTTGGGGGCAATTTTGCCTTTTATCTTGAAAATTATAATAGATAGAAAAAAAAACTTTAAATAGCAAAAATGATCAGCATGACAAGATCTACAAATAAGCCATCATGGCTAAAATCTCAAGTCAACTGGTTAATGGAGTTATTGCCCTTTAAAGAAGATTTTTACCATTTTTGTCGAGCCTGCGACTTTTGTCGCAGAAAGCTCGACATAGGGATAGCGATCCGGCGGCGGCGGCGGCGGCAAAAGCTAACTTCTTAAAAGCTTTATATTTTAGAAGATGGAAGACCTGGATGCTTCATACTTTGTATATGGATGCCTCATGTTACGAAGTTTCCGTCAGTCTCATGTCCAATGTCCTTGACCTCATTTTCATGGTTCAGTGACTACTTGAAAAAAAAGTTCAGATTTTTTGTAATGTTAAATTCTCTCTTATTATAAGTAATAGGATAACTATATTTGGTATGTGCGTACCTTGCAAGGTCCTCATGCCCGTCAGACAGTTTTAACTTGACCTCGACCTCATTTCATGGATCAGTGAACAAGGTTAAGTTTTCGTGGTCAAGTCCATATCTCAGATACTATAAGCAATAGGTCTAGTATATTCGGTGTATGGAAGGACTGTAAGGTGTACATGTCCAACTGGCAGGTGTCATCTGACCTTGACCTCATTTTCATGGTTCAGTGGTTATAGTTAAGTTTTTGTGTTTTGGTCTGTTTTTCTTATACTGTATGCAATAGGTCTACTATATTTGGTGTATGGAATGATTGTAAGGTGTACATGTCTAGCTGGCAGGTGTCATCTGACCTTGACCTCATTTTCATGGTTCAGTGGTCAAAGTTAAGTTTTTGAGTTTTGGTCTTTCTTTCTAATACTGCATGCAATAGGTCAGCTATATTTGGTGTATGGAATGATTGTAAGGTGTACATGTCTAGCTGGCAGGTGTCATCTTACCTTGACCTCATTTTCATGGTTCAGTGGTCAAAGTTAAGTTTTTGAGTTTTGGTCTTTTTTTCTAATACTATATGCAATAGTTCAACTATATTTGGTGTATGGAAATATTTTATGATCTATATGTCAGTCACGCAGGTTTTATTTGACCTTGACCTCATTTTCAAGGTTCATTGCTCAGTGTTAAGTTTTTGTGTTTTTGTCTGTTTTTCTTAAACTATAAGCAATAGGTCAACTATATTTGTTGTATGGAAGAATTGTTAGCTGTACATGCCTGCCTAGCATGGTTCATCTGACCTTGACCTTATTTTCATGGTTCATTGGTCAATGTTTAGTTTACTTGGTTAATGTTAAGTTTATGTGACAGTTGTAATAAAGCTTTATATTTAGGACTATCAACATAATATCAATGATTAGTAAAGAAGGCGAGACATTTCAGCGTGTGCACTCTTGTTTTTAGTTTTTGCCTGTTATCTTGAAAAGTATTATAGAAACAAATGTGAATAGAAACTTTTAAAAGCAAAAATTATCAGGAGAACAAGATCTACAAGTACGTCAACATGACTGAAATTGTCCGTTAACTCTTAGTAGATCTTGTCCTTTCATGATGATTTTTACCTAAAAGTGGCCATTGTTGGAGTTGATTAGGTCTATTTCTCAGATACTTGAAGCAATAGGTCAACTATATTTGGTGATAATAATGAAAGGAAATAATGGTAATTAATGTAAGTTGATTAAAAAACTAATGATAAAGTTGAAAGAAGTAAAACAGAAGAAACATTGGAAGATCAAAGGTCAATACTTTCTACCATTTTCTTGTCTATTATTAGAATGATGTGATTGATAAAGTAAAAGAAGTGTGTTCTACATTGTGTAGCAACTTACAGGCAGTATTTGAACCGTTGTGGAACTCTTGTGAGGCATCAAAACAGCTTAAAAGTACATTATTTAAAGGTTAGTCATTGATTTTCATGCTCACCACAGCTTTAAAGTACATTATTTAAAGGTTAGTCATTGATTTTCATGATCAGAACAGCTTAACAGTACATTATTTAAAGGTTAGTCGTTGATTTTCATGCTCACCACAGCTTTAAAGTACATTATTTAAAGGTATAAGTCGTTGATTTTCATTGAGATTTTAAGCTATAATATGTATTTATTTACTGATTTTGGAAATTACGAGCTTAGTACATTATGAATACATTTCAGAATTGGGTACAAATGCATAAAAATGTGTAAAGTAAATGAGGATGTGATGAGACAATAATCCAACAACACTGGGTAATCAAAGTTGGAAAATCTAAAAGTATACAATCTCTAGCAATTTGTAAGTTTCCACAAGATATAGCAAGTTTTATATTTGATCAAATATTTTTAAATTTGATTCAAATCAAATGAAGCACACAAGCTAGCTTTTAAACAATTTTTTTGGCCTGTGCTTTTATTTGTGATTATTAGAATATACATATACCTTGTTGAAACTCCAAATTAGCCATATGTTGGTCAAACCGGACTTTAAAATTTGTATATAGGAGAAAGGTGAAATACACATTTCAGTAAATATGAATCGGGCTATTTTGAAGTTTTCTATTTAGCATAATATTGCTATGTTTCAAGTGTAATGCAGTAATATGTTTTTGTTTATCTATTTTCTGGCTTTGTAGAAGATGCATATTAGTTCGCTGAAAAAGTTAAGTCCATTGCCGACAGCACCGTTATATTAAGTCATAAAATAGATAATGATTTCATTGATTTCTCCATACTTCCACATGTCATTTTGTGTAGTACAATTAACATGCTTAGCACAAAACTATTATTTCAATCTTTTTTTCAAATTATTAAAGATGTTTATATGTTAGATGAATAAACAGGTTTTAAATATATATTTTTTAGACATCACTGAGGCAGCTTTAGAAATGTCAAGTTTGTGTCAAACTGCTGGTGTACAGTTACCTATTAGGTCAGCTATGAGCACAAGGGAGGCAATTCATTTACCAAGGACAACTACACATGGAACTTCAGGGTTGTCAGATGTTGCTACGATGGTATCTTCTACAAGTCAACATTCACTCTATGCCAACAGAGTTGTAGAATTACCTGGCTGTTCTGCTACAAGTATAGCATCTAATATTTATGATCCAGGGCAACAAGATCCTTTAATGCCACAAGCCAGTCAAGCTATGAATAAGGGTATTCCAGGGAAACTAGTGAGGCATAACACTGCAGTGGAAATACCACATTGTGGAAGAGGAACAATCAATAGAATCCAATCAACAAGTACAGTTACAAGAGCCACTAATGTCAACAAACAAACTTGTTCATCTGCAGGATATCAGTTTGGATTGCCTGAAAACAGCCCTCTTCATATACAGCCTTCTCCAGCTAATATTTTACAAATTAAACAAGTTGAGGATAACTGGGAAGAAAAACTTACTCATGGAAAAGAATCTTACAATTTCATGATGAATACATCAAATTCAAAACCATCACAAGTAGCTGTTCAACAGCCCAAGACTTCAGTTGCACAAAATAATAGGACCATTGCAGAGAACCAATGTCAGCAGTCTGGAAATACAGCTCCAAAGTATGTTTCTATTTTAACTGGTCATGTGACATACAAGAAACAAACTGGTAATAAGGACCTAGCCAATAATAGCACACAAAGGGGACAAGGCAAACCAGGAAACAATAAAGTGAATGAAGGTAATTTTCGGCCATTGATTCCTACTCCTGGAAGAAGGTCTGTTGATGGAGGACATGGAGCATCTTCATTGGTTCCCCAGAGTTCAGGTATTTATTGCTACTGATTTCATGGTCAAAGGTTATTGCAGGTGTATTTGCTCTAGGGTGTCTAGAGGCACATTTTGCAGTCCCCTTTCTGTAGGTAAAATGTTAAAATACCTCAAACCAAAAAAAAAAGAACACCACTATTTTAGTAAGTGTTTTGACCTTCCCATTTGGTCATGTTTGTAAAAAAAAAAATTAAACATATATCAAATTTTGATATAGATAATTCCTACACAGGCAAAATAGTTTTTCAAGTGTTGATGAAGTTGTTTTTTTCTTTTTAAATGTTACTTTTAGTGTATTTTTTTGGAAATATAGCTAATAAATAAAGTTAAATAAAGGAGATACTACTGATTCATTGTTATTTGTGGGATACCAAGTTGTGTGGGTAGATCACAGATTTAAATGTTGAAAAAGTATAATTTTTCCATAGGCTATTATACAGACTGTGACAAAACCACATAGTCAAATGTCAATGTAAACACAACTTATCCTCAATTCATGAAAATAAATGAGCCCTCAGTATATGAGACACCTACCCAACAACACTAAGTTTTGTTAACCACAATGGATATTTAGAATTCAAAATATAGTCTACAACAACAATGCACAAGTGCCAATTATACATATATACTTAAAAATAAGCAGATACAAAGCTCAAGGCAATTGCAAAAATGTAAAGAAGAAAGAAAAAACCCATATCAAAATAAAAAAATGGCTTTTTCTTCAGTAAAACTAAACAGAATGCTTTCAAATACTATATATGATATCTCTTTTGTACAGAATCAACAATGCCAGCAGTTTTTCCTACATTTGGGAGATCAAGAAGTGTGGGAGGAAATCATACTGCTGGACACAGTACATCCTCAATATCTAAACCTGTTTCTACAATCTCACAAACACATGAGACCAGACACTCAAACCAAGGTACATCCACGACATCTATACCTGTATCTACAATCTCACAAACACATGGAACTAGACATCCAAACTCATTGCTTGTTTTACAATCACCTGTGAGTGGAAGACAGAATGCTTGTACTCATCTTGTGTCGCAGCCATCTCCTATTGGACAATCTGTTGTTCAAACGTCGCGCATGAATTCACCCATTCTCACTATTCACAGTTTCTCTCAACCATCTGATTTTGTACTGGAGCAAAAAACAAACAACTCGTATGTAATGAAAACGCCTTCATGCATTTCATCTCATCATCCATTAATTCCAGGAAATTATGTGCCTGTGACTACTGATGTGCCCTTGCCTTCCGTTAGAGCTAATCCTACTCTGAGAACTGTTGCACCAACACAGATGACTTCAGTACATAAAACTAATACACAGCCTTTAGACATTGGTCAACATATAGCAAGGTCAACAACACACAAGTTTACAAAATATCCTAATCATTCAACTGTCAGAAATACTTTAGAAATTCCTGTCACTTTGAATGATCAAAGGCCACTTACCTCATTTGTGCAGACAACAAGAACTTGCCAAACAAAAAATATGACACAATCATCTGCTGTGCCAAAGTCATGCAGTTCTCAAAATGTTTCTCATGTGAGATCTTGTATTAATAGATTACCATCTACAACCAATGTCACAAATTCAAAGACTTCTAGAAATTTAAACCCAGTCACATCTACTGTTGCAAGTTCACCGATCTCCAGATTACCTGAAGCAAACTATGACAGCCTTTCACGTAATACAAAATCCTTACATGAAAAAGCAATGATTGAAGACATAAGAGGAAAAGTTTGGAGACTGGGAAAAAGAAAGCAGAGTGACTATAGTCAAGGTTCAAAGCCATCTTTAAACCCAAATATCTCAACATCTGTTGTCTTCACTACTCCTGTACAAATAAAGACAGAAGCAATGGAGGAACCAGGACCACCAAAGCGAAGACGACCTCAAAAAGGTATGACAGTAAAAGAGAACAAATTATGTTTTGCTTAAAACTTCATACTATAAATGCTGACCAATTTTCTCTTTTCTCTATTTTAGCAATATCTGAGCAGAGCAGCAAATTGTTTGCATAGGCTTATATAATGAATAGTATTCAGGGTTATTGTTCAATCATTGTGTCAAGTATTTTGGGGGATTAAAATCGAATTACTAAATCTTATATTAAAAAAAATCTTCAAAGATATTAGGTGTTTTGTATGCCAGATACACGTTTTGTATGCCAGATACACGTTTTGTATGCCAGATACACGTTTTGTATGCCAGATACACGTGTCTACACAAGACTATATAACAGTATGAAGGCCACATTCTGCATTGATATTATATCACACTTTAGAAGGACAACATAAATTATCAAAATATTGGGTAGCAAAACAGACAACACAAACGAGCAACATTCATAGATGCCAACAGTTACACTTTTTTTTTGTAACTGAGAATCGTAGTTGTCATAAATATAGGAAGACATTTGTTTGTCACTGTGTGCCTAGTTGTCAGCATGATTATTATAAAATTTATGGTAAAAATATTATTACTGAAAAAAATCGTAAATTACAGAAATATTTATACATTTTTACTGATTGCAACAAAGGGGGGTTGGCATCTGTGAACATCCCACTCCTAAAAAAAGAAATACCACAAACATAAACAAAACAACAAACAAAAACTTATCCAGATTTTCTGACTTGGTACATGCACAAAATGTGGTGGTTTTAAATCGGTGTTATGTGTGCAAAACCATCCATTGGCCTATATGCCATATGTGTTGTAAAAATAAAGCACAAGAAAAAAACCCTGCTTCGAGCATTTACCAATCCATGCCCACTTATTTGAACAATGAATTAAAAGACAGCAATAAATTTTGTACAATTTTTGTCTTGGCCTCAACAAAATATTTTAATGCAGGTTTAGCAAAAGAGCCAACTTATTTTTTTAGCTATTTGTCCTGACGTATAAATTTGACTGCACATGATAATTTTTGGGCAGAACTAATATACATTAATTCTGACTGAGAACACACTTTTCTGTATATTGACTTTGTAGATATTTATTTCAGGCAAACCAGTAGTGATAACTATTAGTGATTCAGACTCGGATTGAAAGATGTGAAAGTTTAGATACTGGAAAAAATGTACAACAAAGATTATTATAAAGAATGCTAATGACTAAACATATGATGTTTTGTATGGTAACACCTTAACATTATATGGTTTTGTATGGAAACAATTAAACAAGTCATGGTTTTGTATGGTATCAACAAAACACATTATGGTTTTGTATGGTAACACCTTAACATTATATGGTTTTGTATGGAAACAATTAAACAAGTCATGGTTTTGTATGGTATCAACAAAACACATGATAGTTTTGTATGGTATGGTATCGTAACAATGATACACACCATGGTTTTTTATGGAAAAAATTAAACAGATTATGATTTTGTATGGTAACTATGGTAGCTATTAAACATCATTATTTAATGTAAAAAGATAGTGCATTTAAAGGATATGTGCTTATATAAATTTAGTGCTTAAAATCTAAGAATGAAGATTTTACCATTTTTATTATTTTAGATTTCTGTTTTATGTATAAATTTATATTTTATGCATGTTATTGGTATGAAAAATAAAAACTTGTATGTTATCTGCCAAGAAATGCTATATATTTGATGTTGAAAAAAATTACGACCTTTTCTCAAACAAAATATGATGTTACCGGTGTACATGTATATATATATTTTTTTTCTAGTCCACATGTTGTGTTCTTGTCATTTTGTTGACAACTTATAGTGCTTTAAATATATTAAAATGATCATGTGTTTTAAACAGTAGCATCTAGTCTTAATCAATGCTTCTGTTATGTGAAATCTACTGCAAAGCCATTTTGCAATGTTTTATTGTCAATTTTTGTTTAGTCAGTGATTCTTAGAACAAGTTGAGGTTACGGGATATTTTCAAAATTTTATATTGATATCACTTACCAGGAGTCTATTTGGAGAATCCCTCAAAAAGATGGTACAGACTTTTGTTAGCAATAAAAGTTTATCGTGAAGACTGGTCACATGTCCTACATTGTCATTCAAGACCAATAGAAGCTAATATTGTGTGTTTAATAAACGTATAAAATTACTTAAGGTGCAAAAGTTATCTGGTGCTTAGATTCATTTCAGTATTATTAAAAAAGTTATTGTACTGTTTGTTTAGTCAAAATTATTCAAGATTCTATAAATAGAATATTATGTTCATGTAAATAAGAAAGGTGGGAAGATTACCTAAGTTGTTGTGTTTTGTTGAAAGAAAAAACTTTTTATTTAGAATTTCAATGTGATTCAAGACTAGTAGAAACTAGTATTGTGTTTTATAACTGTATGATAGATACTTAATAGGAAAATTATGAGGTGCTAGGGTATATTGCAGTATTGACGAAAACTCCTGTATTGTAGTGTTTGTATATTGTATTGTAGTTTTCCTCTTAGTTAGTAGCTCACTTTTAAACTTTCAGTTTTTTGTCTTTACTCAAATTCTGCAAGTAATATATGATTTGTTATAACTTACAAATAAAAATGATTTATGATTTGGGTCATAGAATTTTGGCACAATTTCATATTAAAGTTTAAACAAAATTTATAGCTATGCAAACTTGTTTAATTGTTCACAAATTCTCAGGATTTTTTTTATAGATATTTAAGCATTCAGATATGTTTTAAAAAAAAATAGTTCAGATACATCTTGCACATTGATAGTTCTTTTTGATGCCATTAAATCAAACTTAGTGTATTTTTTATACATAAACATGTGTGCTTTGTTACCTACTTTTGTATTTTTCCTTATAAATGAAATGTGTTTTTAAGGCTTGGTTGTGACTGATGAAGAAATCAAAAATACATTTATATGTAATTCCTCAATCAAAGTTGTGATATATTATATGTTTAAAGAGAAAACACTTGTTCCTTATCCATTTTTCCTTGCACTTGTAATAAGTAACTTCATTTTATCAAGACCTATTTGAAAAATTGTTACTTAATAAAATAAAAATAGCACTGGTTTCAAGTATACGAGCTTGATTCAATAACTCGACCTGAGTTCAGCCTGGGCAAGTTCACTTTCAACTTGAGCATTTTCAGTTGCAAGGAAATATGAACTAGGATGAGATGTTTTGATGTTAAGTTTGATATATCTGTCCGAATGTTTTTGTTATTTTGATTATGTGAAATACAAGATTACAGATTAGCAGAGTTTCATTTTACTTTTTAAAAGTAAGATGTTTTATTTGAAGAAAAACTTACTTCAGATGTTTATAATTGTTTTGATTTTATACCAAAGATGTATAAATTATATAGACAATTAAAAAAGGAAATGCACAGACAGTTTCTTTATTTCATATTTCTAGCTTACAATATAAATAAATAAAGATGTTGATTAATCAGTGAGACAGCATTCAAATACATTTTTGTACCGAAATATGAAATTTGACTTTTTGAGGGTGACCTTTGGAAAAAAAACTAATGTAAGTTTTACTTTCAAACCAGGGTCTATGGTAATAAAACTTCACTCAGTACTCGGAGTAAAAGATTTGAGCATGAAACCCCAAATCTAGCATTTTGATTGGTTGAAATCTGAGTCGCGAGTACAATAATCTTACTCCAATTTTTTATGACAGCAAGACAACGTCTTATTTATTCATATGATTTTTATGCTCCCGCCGTCACCATCCGTACCTACATCCCAAAATTGGTTTCCACTCTCTAACTTTAACCAAATGTTTTGAAACTTATATACAATGCTTATTACCACAAAACACAGATCAAGTTCGAATTTGGGTGGTGTCACTTTTACCGTTCTAGAGTTGTGTCCCTTTATAATGTTATATGCAAGCGGGGGTATCATCTGTGTCCCATGGACACCTTCTCCATTTAATTTATTATGCCTGGCCTGTGATAGAAGAGGGCAACATGTTTTCTGGTCTATGTGTCAATCCGTGTAGTACTAATAGAGACAAATGAAGGGAGATGTGAAGTACAGGTTTTAGCCATTATAGCAACTTATCAAATGAACACATCAATAGGTCTTCTTACAGCCCAAAAACTGACCAGTGCCAACACTTTATAACCTGCTATAGTGATCACTAGCCTGTCAACTATTGAGGTCACGAGTTTAAATCTTGCCTTTTGGAAGGTGTGTTTTAATATTGATCTTAATTGACAAGGACTTCGTCATCGTATACTTTAAAAAAAAATATCTTCTCTGAAGAAACTACTGGACCAAATGTTACCACACGTTATCTGAAATTCTGAATGTTCCAAAATTGTATCTGGGATTTGCCTAAAATGGAACATAGAGGTACATAGCTGTTTCTAGCTTGTATCTCAAAAACTAAAGCAGTTAAGAGCAAAACTGACATTAGTAAAAATGATCAGCAGGTCAAGTTTATCTAGCATATTTTCAGTTGAACCAGACAACCTGATTTTTTTTTTTTTTTTTTTTAGAAATTAAGTTTTGGTTATTATCTTGAAATCTATTATAGATAAATACTTTGAATTGTAAATATGACCGAAACAATCAGATCTACAGATAAGTCCATGTGACTGAAATTGTCAATTGACAGCTTATGGAGTTATTGATCTTGAAAGACAATCTTGACCATTTTTGCATAAATTTCAGAAGATGGAGAGAAACTTATTGCAAAATAAAATCTACAAGAAGGTCAACATCCTGAATGACAATTTTTACCCATTGTTTGAGTATTTTTGCAGTAACTATTATAGATGGAGAAATTGAATCAACATGACTGAAACATCAATTGAGGCCCTTAGCGGAGTCATTGTCAACTGACATCTTAAAGGAGTTATTGTCCTTAATTGATTTTTACCCTTTTTTGAGCTCACCGGGGCACAAAGGGCCCCATGTGAGCTTATGCCATCACTTGGCGTCCGTCGTCGTCGTCTGTCGTCGTAAACTATTTAAAAAATCTTCTCCTCTGAAACTACCGGGCCAAATACCTTCAAACTTTAACTAAATGTTCCTTAGGGTATCTAGTTTATAAATTGTATCCGAAGTTTTGATCCATCAACAAACATGGCCGCCATGGCTAAAAATAGAACATAGGGGTCAAATGCAGTTTTTGGCTTATATCTCAATAACTAAAGCTTTTAGAGCAAATCTGACATGGGGTAAAATTGTTCAATTGGTCAAGATCTATCAGCTCTGAAATTTTCAGACGAATCGAACAACCCATTGTTGGGTTGCTGCCACCGAATTGGTAGTTTTAATAAAATTTTGCAGTTTTTTGTTATTATCTTGAATATTATTATAGATAGATATAAACTGTAAACAGCAATAATGTTCAGCAAAGTAAGATCTACAAAAAAGTTTTATATGACCAAAATTGTCAATTGACCCCTTACGGAGTTATTGCCATTTAAAGACAATTTTACACAATTTGTTCAAGTCTGCTAACATTTAAAAATCTTCTCCTCTGAAACTACTGGGCCAATTACCTTCAAACTTTAACTAAATGTTCCTTAGGGTATCTAGTTTATAAATTGTATCCGAAGTTTGTATCCATCGACAAACATGGCCGCCATGGCTAAAAATAGAACATAAGGGTCAAATGCAGTTTTTGGCTTATATCTCAAAAACTAAATCTTTTAGAGCAAATGTGACATGGGGGTAAAATTGTTTAATTGGTCAAGATCTATCGGCCCTGAAATTATCAGACGAATCGAACAACCCATTGTTGGGTTGCTGCCACCGAATCGGTAGTTTTAACAAAATTTTGCAGTTTTTTGTTATTATTTTGAATATTATTATAGATATATATAAACTGTAAGCAGCAATAATGTTCAGCAAAGTAAGATCTACAAAAAAGTTAATATGACCAAAATTGTCAATTGACCCCTTAAGGAGTTATTGCCCTTTAAAGACAATTTAACACAATTTGTTCATCAAGTTTGCTAACATTTAAAAATCTCCTCTGAAATACAGGTGAGCTATTCAGGCTCTTGAGAGCCTCTTGTTAAGCTCACCGTTCCGAAGGAAAGGTGAGCTTTAGCCATCACTTGGCGTCCGTCGTTGTCGTCCGTCTGGTGTAAACTATTTCAAACATCTTCTCCTCTGAAACTACTGAACCAATTCCAACCAAACTTAAGCTGAATGATCCTTAGGGTATCTAGAATAAAGTTTGTGTTTTATTTTCTGTTTCGTCAAAAAACATGGCCGCCATGGCTAAAAATAGAACATAGGGGTAAAATGCAGTTTTTGGCTTATATCTCATAAACGAAAGCAGTTAGAGCAAATCTGACATGGGATAAAAGTGTTCATAAGGCAAAGTTCTATCAGCCCTGAAATTTTCAGATGAATCTAATAACCCATTGTTGGGTTGCTGCCACTAAATTGGTAATTTTAAGGAAATTTTGCAGTTTTTGGTTATTATCTTGAATAGAATTAATGATAAAGATTAACTGTAAACAGCAAATATGTTCAGCAAAGTAAGATCTACAAATAAGTTTTATATGACCAAAATTGTCAATTGACCCCTTAAAGAGTTATTGCCCTTTAAGGACAATTTTACACAATTTGTTTATCATGTTTTCTAACTTTAAAAAATCTTCTCTGAAGAAACCACTGAACCAATTCCAACCAAACTTAAGCTGAATGATCCTTAGGGTATCTAGAATAAAGTTTGTGTTTTATTTTCTGTTTTCGTCAAAAAACATGGCCACCATGGCTAAAAATAGAACATAGGGGTAAATTGTAGTTTTTGGCTTATATCTAAATAAAATGCTCCGCTGGGCGCAGCTTGATACGACCGCAGAGGTCGAACCCTGAACAGTTGGGGCAAGTATGGACACAACATTCAAGCTTGATACAGCACTGAATTTGGATTGTGATTAAATATTTGACACAGCATAGGGTTTCTGACAGAATGAATGTGGTCTAAGAACTCAAAAATTTTTAATTTACCTATTCAAACCATATCATTATTATTTGCTTTTATATATAAATCAGAAATAACCAATTTAAAATGGAAAATTTTAAAGAAAAAAAATATCCCTCCCCCAAATTTTTTGAACCCCCTTATGATTCATCACCCCCAAACTCAATCCCAGCCTTCCCTTTGTGGTATGGTACCTTGCAGTACAATTTCAGAGAGATCCATACACTTGAACACAAGTTATTGTCTGGAAACTAGAAAAATGCTTGTTTTTAGGCCCCTTTTTGGCCCCAAATTCCTAAACGTTTAGGGCAATTACCCCCAAACTCAAACCCAGCTTTCCCTTTGTGGTATGGAACCTTGTAGTACAATTTCATAAAGATACATACACTTACACACAAGTTATTGTCCTGAAACTAGAAAAATGCTTGTTTTTTGCCCCTTTTTGGCCCCTAATTTCTAAAATTTTGAGGCAATTACCTCAAAATCAATCCCAGCCTTCTCTTTGTGGTATGGTACCTTGCAGTACAATTTCAGAGAGATCTTTAATTAAACAGCATCGTCCGCCTGGTGTAAACTATTTCAAACATCTTCTCCTCTGAAACTACTGAACCAATTCCAACCAAACTTAAGCTGAATGATCCTTAGGGTATCTAGAATAAAGTTTGTGTTTTATTTTCTGTTTCGTCAAAAAACATGGCCGCCATGGCTAAAAATAGAACATAGGGGTAAAATGCAGTTTTTGGCTTATATCTCATAAACGAAAGCAGTTAGAGCAAATCTGACATGGGATAAAAGTGTTCATAAGGCAAAGTTCTATCAGCCCTGAAATTTTCAGATGAATCTAATAACCCATTGTTGGGTTGCTGCCACTAAATTGGTAATTTTAAGGAAATTTTGCAGTTTTTGGTTATTATCTTGAATAGAATTAATGATAAAGATTAACTGTAAACAGCAAATATGTTCAGCAAAGTAGGATCTACAAATAAGTTTTATATGACCAAAATTGTCAATTGACCCCTTAAAGAGTTATTGCCCTTTAAGGACAATTTTACACAATTTGTTTATCATGTTTTCTAACTTTAAAAAATCTTCTCTGAAGAAACCACTGAACCAATTCCAACCAAACTTAAGCTGAATGATCCTTAGGGTATCTAGAATAAAGTTTGTGTTTTATTTTCTGTTTTCGTCAAAAAACATGGCCACCATGGCTAAAAATAGAACATAGGGGTAAATTGTAGTTTTTGGCTTATATCTAAATAAAATGCTCCGCTGGGCGCAGCTTGATACGACCGCAGAGGTCTAACCCTGAACAGTTGGGGCAAGTATGGACACAACATTCAAGCTTGATACAGCACTGAATTTGGATTGTGATTAAATATTTGACACAGCATAGGTTTCTGACACAGAATGAATGTGGTCTAAGAACTCAAAAATTTTTAATTTACCTATTCAAACCATATCATTATTATTTGCTTTTATATATAAATCAGAAATAACCAATTTAAAATGGAAAATTTTAAAGAAAAAAAATATCCCTCCCCCAAATTTTTTGAACCCCCTTATGATTCATCACCCCCAAACTCAATCCCAGCCTTCCCTTTGTGGTATGGTACCTTGCAGTACAATTTCAGAGAGATCCATACACTTGAACACAAGTTATTGTCTGGAAACTAGAAAAATGCTTGTTTTTAGGCCCCTTTTTGGCCCCAAATTCCTAAACGTTTAGGGCAATTACCCCCAAACTCAAACCCAGCTTTCCCTTTGTGGTATGGAACCTTGTAGTACAATTTCATAAAGATACATACACTTACACACAAGTTATTGTCCTGAAACTAGAAAAATGCTTGTTTTTTGCCCCTTTTTGGCCCCTAATTTCTAAAATTTTGAGGCAATTACCTCAAAATCAATCCCAGCCTTCTCTTTGTGGTATGGTACCTTGCAGTACAATTTCAGAGAGATCTTTAATAATGTACACAAGTTATTGTCTGGAAACTAGAAAAATGCTTATTTTTGGCCCCTTATTCCTAAACGTTTTGGGCAATTACCCCCAAAATCAATTCTAGCTTTCCCTTTGTGATATGGAACCTTGTAGTACAATTTCAGAAAGATCCATACACTTACACACAAGTTATTATCATGAAACTAGAAAAGTGCTTGTTTTTTGCCCCTTTTTTGGCCCCTTATTCCTAAAATTTTGAGGCAATTACCCCCAAAATCAATCCCAGCATTCCCTTTGTGATATGGAACCTTGTGGTACAATGTCAGAGAGATCCATACACTAACACACAAGTTATGTCTGGAAGCTACAAAAATGCTTATTTTTGGCCCCTAATTCCTTAACTGTTGGTACCATAACCCCCAAAATCAATCCCAACCTTCCTTTTGTGGTATTGAACCTTATGGTAAAATTTCATAGAGATCCATTCACTTCAACTAAAGTTAGAGTGCAAAAACCAATGTGTCTTCGGACGACAACGACGCCAACATCATACCAATATACGACCGCAAATTTTTTTTGCAGTCGTATAAAAACCAAAGCAGTTAGAGCAAATCTGACATGGGGTAAAAGTGTTCATAAGGCAAAGTTCTATCAGCCCTGAAATTTTCAGATGATTCTAATAACCCATTGTTGGGTTGCTGCCACTAAATTGGTAATTTTAAGGAAATTTTGCAGTTTTTGGTTATTATCTTGAATAGTATTAATGATAAAGATTAACTGTAAACAGCAAATATGTTCAGCAAAGTAAGATCTACAAATAAGTTTATATGACCAAAATTGTCAATTGACCCCTTAAGGAGTATTGCCCTTTGAGGACAATTTTACACAATTTGTTTATCATGTTTTCTAACTTTAAAATATCTTCTCCTCTGAAACTTGGGCTGAATGAGTTTCAGAGTATCTAGTATAAATTTTGTATTTTATTTTCTTGTACGTCAAGAAACATAGCCACTATGGCTAAAATGGAACATAGGGGTAAAGTGTATTTCTTTGCTTATGAAGAAAATATTACAGATCCAAAGAACATCTCAATGGAATTTTTAAGCCACTCATTAATATATATTAAAAAGCAAAAATAATCATTGATGAAAGATTTAAGCATAAAATTACAGGTGAGCGATTCAGGCTCTTAAGAGCCTCTTGTTTGTAAAAGACAATAGTAGAGACAGAGAAATTTTAAACAGGAAAAATGATCAGCAAAATAAAATCTACAAGAAAGAGAATCTGATTTAGATTTATGAATTCAGCTCTTTGTTCTGCAGAAGGTAAGTGGATCTCAGGTGGTATTCCAGCTTCTGATACCAAAAACTGGTGGCAATGATATTTGAAAATGATGTAACCAAAAAACAAACCAAACAACCATAGCTCAGTGGCGGATCCAGGGTGGGGTTCTGGGGGTTGGAACCCCCCTTTTTTTGACGATCAATGCATTTGTATGGGGACATATTTATGGAACCCTCCTTTTTTTGACGATCAATGCATTTGAATGGGGACATATTTATGGAACCCCTCCTTTTAAAAATGGCTTGATCTACCCCTGTAGCTTGTGAGTCTAGATGTGCTGTGAAAGATGACCAAACTGCTGACACCAACAAAGGTTTATAAACAAACTTATATCTGTTATAAACACATTGACCAATGAAATAAGAAAATAAGGTCACGGTTAGATGACACCTACCAAATGCCTACAATTGCTTACATCCACTTCATTTGAACTTCAGTGAATAGTTGTCTCATTGGTAATCATACCACATCTCCTTATTTTTATATCAAGGTTAGGTGACACCTACCAGTCGCACATTACACCTCACAATCATTCCACACATCAAATATAGTTGACCTATTGCTTCTAGTAAATGAAAAACGGACCAAACCACAAAATCTTAACATTGACCACTGAACCGTGAAAATAAGGTCAAGATAAGATGACACCTGCCAGGCAGACATGTAAACCTCACAATCATTCCACACACCAAATATAGTTGACCTATTGCTTATAGTATATGAGAAATGGACTTGACCACATGAATTGAAGTAGAGGTCAGGTGAACCCTGTCTAATAAACATGTAGATTATCCTATTACTTAAAATTAGTGAGTATTTCACAGACTGAAACTTTGTAACATAAGGCATGTGCATACAAGTTATGAAGCATCCTGATCTTCTACTACCTTCTGAAATATAAAGCTTTATACAAATAGTTTATGCCACTGCCGCAGCTTGATTGTGATCTCTATGTCTTGCATTCTGTGACTTTTGTGGCAGGCGAGGCGAGATAATAACCTATTGAGTTAAAACACATCCTTATTCATAGCGATATATATAGTTCATTAATGGATACTTTGAATCTAATTCGAAACTTAATGAGTAAGAGAAAATAAAAGTTTCAAATCTTGCACCTAGTTTATGATTTTCACTCATTTCAGAAATCTTATGCCCAAGACCTAAAATTCTGTTTTGTAAGCAATTTCAGATGTCGGAGATAAAAATACCATTAATCAAATCAAATTTTATTGATAACATTGTTAAACTTCATATATAAAAGCTTAATAATACATGATGATAAAAAAAATTTAATTGCATTGCAATTATAAATATTTGGTCAAACAATAATGTAGATAATAAAACAAAAGTGTCATCGGAAGATTCTAAAATTACTGTGGATTCATTAATATTCGTTCGAAACCAATTTTCGTGGGAACAGGCGAACCACGAATTCAAATGTTCAACGAAATACAAATTTTCTAAAGGAATGTATGCAAATTTTTTCAAAACCACGAATTTAAAGATCCACGAATATGCAAGTTTTCCTCACTCCACGAAAAATTGGTACCCACGAAAATAAATGAATCCACAGTAAATATATAAAAATTTAAACACAAGTGAACCAACGCCTGGTAAATCTTCTGTCAGTAGATTCCATAAAGTGGATACCTCGGGTACGCAGGGTCGTTACGATAAAAACATAAAATGTAGAAGGTCCAGTAACAACAACACTTTAAGGAATGCTCCAGTAATTTATTGAGATCGACATGTTTCGGTGGCTAGCCACCGTCATCAGGATAGAAAACAATACATAAAATCATGCTGAGGTACAAAATCGGGTTGAGAAAATTAAAACGTCACAATGTTGCTATGGTGAAGACGTTATAAATAGCAATTGAAAGAGAAAGTGAAAGTAAGTATATATGGAGGTAAACTATTAAAATAAAATAAAATAAAATAAAAATACAATATTTTTGTTGTTAAAATGTTTGTTAAAATTATTCTGCCATCATGTGTTAGCACTCTTGCACAGTGGAACGAATTATACACTAAATTATTGTCAGTTGTGTACTGTGTAAACTTTGTGTTCAATTAACGTCTTTATTTCCAAATATAGACGACATTTTACTGGCAATTCCGTACCATTTGACTGGCTTTCCTTACAAACATTTTAACAACAAAAATATTGTATTTTTATCTTATTTTATTTTATTTTAATAGTTTACCTCCATATATACTTACTTTCACTTTCTCTTTCAATTGCTATTTATAATGTTACTCACCATAGCAACATTGTGACGTTTTAATTTTCTCAACCCGATTTTGTACCTCATTATGATTTTATGTATTGTTTTCTATCCTGACGACGGTGGCCTAGCCACCGAAACATGTCGATCTCAATAAATTACTGGAGCATTCCTTAAAGTGTTGTTGTTACTGGACCTTCTACAAATTAAATATATAGTTTTAATTATGCACCATATAGCAACCTCAAAGTACATCAAATTGTACAAATTTTTATGAATACATGTAATAAGGTGTTTATACAAAAAGCATAACTTCTGAGCAGCTATTGAAAAATAATTGTATTATATATAAAATAAATGGAAAATTACCTTATGAGATAAAAAAAAAAATTACTTCAAAGGTAAAAAAATATTGAAAATAAAATCACTACCTATGAAATTATTAACAGGGTTTTAAAGGGTAAAATACGTTTTAATAAAAGTAATATATAATACTGAAATTTAATGTATTTTATCTGTTACAACTCTATAGCTACATTGTACCAATTCTGATCTATTGGTTATAAGTTGATGATTGTTGATTGCTTAATGTCCAGTGGCAAATATTTCATGCATATTCAGGATGCGAACAAATGAACAATAAATACAAAAGGTAATAACATTGCACAATATTTCATGTGTATTCTATACAATCCATCTTATGATTGAAATTAAAAAAAAATCTTTGAAAGAATTGTTATAAAAGTCACATCAAAATGTTTTATTTTACAATATTTTGCATCACGAGTTCATTTGATTCAAATACCATGGATCAATCCTGGCAAACGGAAACAAAATATTACATATTGGAACAATTTTTCAAATACTTTATGTTTTTCTGATATTAATTTTTATCTGAATGATTTAATTATTTATAAAATGTTACATTACTATACATTTGCATTAAGAGTTCAATGTTTCAAATAAAAAAACATTTCAGTTTTGACAACAGATCTAATGTATTATATTAAAGAGCACATTCTCAAACATTAAATGTATTTCAATATTACTGATGATTCTGAACGACTTCATTTTTTCTTCAATACTACCTTAGAATTAGGGTGATCTTAGGTTTTGGACTTAATAATAGATATGAGCTGCATAGGATAGAAATCAACCTTAGTTATGCAAATGAATATTAATACATCTGTTATCCTATTTCGGGTTGAAAAAATTTCTATGTTAAGTCTGTAACTGTTGTTTGAGTTGATATAAGAATCCTACAAAACAGACCAAAATTTATCTTTTACTTCGTATTGGAATGATCCAAAATCAATCAAAGTCTTATCATGTACATGTATACATGCACTTGCATAAGGTTGATTTCTATCTGAAGCAGCTCATATCTTTTTTAATCACTTTTGTTGTATCTCCTTTTAAAATGTAAATGAGAAAACTATGTTTTATTTTTTCTAGTAAACTTAATACTGAGCAAGGGTGAGTAAAAAAATATAATTCAGACATATCAATATAATCAATCACTGTAAATTTTGTCAAGACCATTTTAAACATCGCATAATTCACATTTCCATGTCAACACGTTTCTATTGTCTTAATACAATTCTAAAAGACAATTGTGGCACTTCCTTTTATGTCTTTATAACATTTTAACATTACTATTTTTGCATTGACTATAAAGTTTTATTTCAAATACTGTATTCAAAGAAAATCAATCTAAAAGAACATATCACAATTCTTTGTCTGCACACATATATAAGCACATAATGCCTAAAAAAAAAATGCCTGCCATATGAAGCATTTCCCCTAAATGACCCTAGGTCAACAGAGGCAATTAAGTAATAAAACTGAAATTGGAATTTTGTGTATTTAGCAAGGTGGAACTTTGGTAAATTTAAAGTAAAGCTACATGAAGTGTTTCATTTGAGAAATATTAATTTAAATAGTTCTAGCTAATATTCAAATTGAACTGATCAATGGCAAGAAAATTAGTCAACAACTGTAATTAAGGAGTAACAGCTATGAAAATAATGCCCAAAATTTTATTGTTTATTGGAATTATATAAGTAATTCCATCAAAGAACAAGAACTTGTGTCTATAGGACACAATGCCCCACTTGCACTATCATTTTCCTTGTTTAGTGAACTATGAAATCGAAAATTTGCACAAAATATAAAAAGTTCACATTATAGTGATTTCCTAAGATTGATTAATTGTTGTTTCTTAAAGTCATGTGACAAATACTTTAAAATCATAACGACTAGTAGTTTGTTTAGATCCAATCTGTCATGTGATACTCAATATTCTATCATACAAAGTATGATATCAGCACCAAACACAAGATGATATTCCAAATGTCCATTATGTCACACCCTGCAGTGCAAATCCCATCTGCATTTGGAAGTATCTGTAAACCTGTAATACAAATATTTTAACTTACAATGCCATTTGAAAAATACTTGGAAAGAAAGAAGAGAATTCACACAATTATAATTGTTAACTTGGATATTTTTTAAATGATTATGACTACTAAATATTTCATACTGGTGTATTTTTAAAACTCGAATATAACTACCAGTAGATATCTAGATGGGAACAAATGCATCCATCTGTGGAATAAAGGAAGGACTCTTCAATTATGTGAAAGTAATTTATCTGGAATTAAACATGAATATTATCTAAAGCTCAGAATTATACACTTACAAACCAATGCCACATATGCCCCATGCTTGCTGCCAAACTGTAAAGGCCATATTTCAATGATTAGTTGGTAATTCAAAATAAAATAAAAACATTATCTGTTACTGTAAATTCAGAAATTATTGTGTGCATTTATTATTGCGATTTTTCAAGAATGGACAAAAATGCGAGTTTAATTATTGCGATTTCAAAAAAATCTGCATACAGGTCTATGTTTCAGTTATCAGAATGTGAGTTCATATTACTGTGATACTCACCAGGTCGCATTATTTGCATTAATAAAAACCAATCAATAATATCTGAATTTACAGTATTCACCATCATTCACTTATAAACCAAAAAATCTGCTCGATATATACAGGAATTTCAAAAAAGTCTGGACAAATGGTGATATTCAGAAATAGGGAAGGACGGACATGTGTAACTGAGTGGGGCATAAAAACTAGTGATGGCAGGCAGAATATCTGGTTTTCATTTATTGGTCTTAATTTAAACAACAAAAAGCTAGAAAACAGGTATACAGATATATATTTTTTTCTGTTATGACAGTAATAACTTTATTCCACTAAATATTTGTGGATTACTATCTCAAAGACTTTTCATTTTTCCAACTTTTGACTCCGGAGGATATAATTTTTCGACAGGTTGCCTACTCTGTGGTAGGACATTCTGGTACTCAGTCAAGTAAGAGCTACTAAAAGAAATAAAATCAAGCTTACAATTGTGCACATTTGGGGGAAAATTAACTGTTTTATGTTTCATATACAAAACAAAATCATTAGAAAACAGTTGATTTTTCACCAATATTGCACTGGTTGTAAGCTCGATTTTACTTCTTTTAGTTGTTCTTACTTGACCTATTGAAAAATTTATATAATCCAGAGTTAAAAGTTGGTAATATGAAAAAAGTTACCTTTATTTCTTTATCCTCTGACCCTGATAACATAAAATCCCCAACAACTATCACTGTGTTAACACTACCATCATGTCGCTGTAATGTCTGTATAGGTAGCATGTTCTCTAAATCCCAAACCTAGAATACGGATAACAGATAATCTTAAATAAGAATATAAAAAGGTGATTATGTCAGACTTAATTTGATCATAATAGTCACATAACTGTAAATCCAGAAATTAATGCATGCATTTCTCAATTTTCATCAGCATGAACTTTGAGCTTTGACCATACTTGAGCATCTAAATTACTTCTATTTGAAAATTGGAGCTGGTAACAGGTAAACAATATACAATATATTGGCACAACATTACACAATAAAAATCTTCATACAATTAATGCAGTGAATATTGAATTAAAAAAATAATGTCTATAAAATATCTCCTAGTAAACTGAAATCTTAACCTGTATCCATACTTTATATTTTCTCCAAAGTGTAATGTCATTATTGCCTTGTAAAATGTAAACTGAAATCTTAACCTTATCCATAATCTATGTTTTCTTCTAGGTGTCATGTCATTATCGCCTTGTAAAATGTAAACTGAAATCTATACCTTACCCATACTCTATATTTTCTCCTAAATGTAATGTCATTATCGCCTTGTAAAATGTAAACTGAAATCTATACCTCATCCATACTCTATATTTTCTCCTAAATGTCATGTCATTATCGCCTTGTAAAATGTAAACTGAAATCTATACCTCATCCATACTCTATATTTTCTCCTAAGTGTCATGTCATTATCACCTTGTAAAATGTAAACTGAAATCTTAACCTTATCGATACTCTATATTTTCTCCTAAGTGTAATGTCATTATCGCCTTGTAAAATGTAAACTGAAATCTTAACCTTATCCATAATCTATGTTTTCTTCTAGGTGTCATGTCATTATCTATGTTTTCTTCTAAGTGTCATGTCATTATCGCCTTGTAAAATGTAAACTGAAATCTTAACCTTATCCATACTCTATATTTTCTCCTAAGTGTCATGTCATTATCGCCTTGTAAAATGTAAACTGAAATCTTAACCTTATACATACTCTATATTTTCTCCTAAGTGTCATGTCATTACAATGGCTATTGCTATAGTGAATAACATAATAAACAATATGATGCAAAAAAATAGTGAAAATTGAAAAATGGCCAAATTAAAGCACATTTTAATCCTCTTTTTTTTTTACATCATTGTAATTGAATTTGAGGTTTGCCAGATTGGCATGACTTTCTAGAGTAGTTATTTGATTATTTTTTTCAAAATAAAATGATTATATGATTACACTATGGATTCATTTATTATTGTGGATACCAATTTTCGTGGATGAGGGAAAATTTGTATTTTCGTTGATATTTGATTTTGTGGTTTTGCCAATATCTACATACAAACCTATAGAAACTTTGTATGAAGTATTAACATTTAAATTTCTGGTTCATCTGCACCCAGAAAATCCAAGAAAATTGGTATCCCATGAAGAAGAATGAATCCACAGTACAAGAATCAGCTCTTTACCATTAAATATTTTGATATGATTAGGGCTATTCCATTAAAATGTATGTGGGAGGGTATGAAAGGAAGTTTAATTATTGAATGTGGGTCATAGGTCTTTTTTCAGTATGCGTCTATTACCATTATGCAAAATTATCTAAAAAATGGTTCTTGGTTGTAGGGATATTTTGAAAGTCCCTTCCTACCCTCCCACATACATTTTAATGGGATAGCCCTTACCAGATACACAATGCAGGGCCTCAAATTTGAGGTATGAAAACAGATTTTTATTTTTATATTTTGAACATATTGCTCAAGGAAGTCTCTGTAAAAGTGGTTTATTTTTTTTTATTTAAGCTAAAGCTGATTGACTAAGCTTTAATGTTGAATTATTAGCATATGCAGCTTTGAGTAAGGAGAGTTTGTCCATTCACTTTTATTTCCTGACTGAAAATGATAGAAAAATTTAAAATAAAACATTTGATGTTTTAAAAATTAGAGCATGCCAAAAAAACAACAACATATTTATAATATCAATGTTCTTTAATTCTTAGTTTTATAATATCTTGTTGTGTAAAAACATATTATAAGATAACCTGCTGGTATATTTATATAGAGTAAACATTCACCTGTATACTTTTATCAACAGATGCTGAGAAAAGGAAGCGACCAGAAAGGGAGGTAATTAGACTGTGAATGGTTCCAATGTGTCCTGACAAAGTCTGCACATGCTGATAACTAGTACAACAAAACAGCTGAATACTCTGGTTATATGTGCCTTGGGAAAAACCGAAAAATACAAAAATAAAATACAAATATTATATAGCTACGTCATAAATACAGACCACAATAATCTGACAACTAGTTCTATTACTTACAGAAAAATGGTGGAATTTTTTTAGATTGCTTTTAAAAGTCTTCAAAAATGGGAGTTGTGACTAAATTTCTGAAAAAAAGTCAATGCATGTTCACACAGATTGCAACATTTTTAGTAGGTGACATAGAACTAAGTATCTTACTATAAATGGCCATCTTATGTATGAAAGAATTGCTACAGTTGTTAATCACATAAGAAAATGGATTTTTTTGTGCAATAAGTGTGGTCTAACAAATATGAATGCAAAAAAGCACAAATTCAAATTTTCATTCACAATCGGCCGAAATGTCCATAGAATATTATATTATATTTGTCCATTAATGCAGAACAACTAGTGAAATTAACAGCTAACAGCTGAGGTTTTTTTCAACATCCATCAAAATCGGCAAAAAAAAGCACAGAAAAATTTGTATTATGTAACCTAAAGCTGTAGCATTTTTTTCCAACATAGTTTACAACATTTATTTTTGAACTCTCACCATAACTTTCAAATCAGCCGAACCAGAGATAAGAAATCGTCCAGAGTAGGAAATGGCCATACTGGTTACCGTGGATATATGGCCCTTTAATGTGGATACATGTTTGTAAGTGGATACATCAAAAACTTGAATTAATCTATTGTATGTCCCTGTATAGAAATAATATTGTAATAAAGTAATAATCACAATATTTCTTTAGGGGGCACTTGTTACAGTTGAAGGATAACCCATCCCAGTTAAAAATTTCAGTTTTATTCTAATACAATTTTATCCACAAACTATATTTCTTTAAGCACATATTAAGTATTAATTACTCTAGGGTTATTCTAATTCATGAGATATTTTTATTAGATTTTAATAAGAGCAGATTTAAACCAAAATTTCAAATTTTTATCAAATGAAAACCATAAAGTCTAAGTCTCACATAATTATCCCACCTGCACTTTGTCCACATGATATTAAGTTCAATTATCTCCCCTTAATGATGTCTGACCAGGTATAATTGATCACAATTATAGATTACATTTACCCATCCCTGGCATTGTGGAGATGCAGCAAATGCCAATTTTCAAGTCTTTGGTTTGACCTTGACTGGGATGAAACCAAGAACCTTTAACAGTCAAGACAAGAGACACTATGAGACCAACAAGGCATTGCTTAAAAGTGGAATGTATTCATCTGTGCAGTATAATTACTTTGATAGAAACAGATGACAATATCAAGAAATTAAGGATTCATTTAACTTTTTTCCCCAGTGAAATGGAAAGCCAAATTTTATCAATCTATAAAATCAGGGTTTTAACTAGGATTTTGAGGGCTTTAGTCACGTTTGCACGAGATGAAAATCAACCTTATTTTAGGTAACAGCAAAGAAGTATATAACTAGCCATATATCTTTGAAGGAATTGCATGCTAGGCAGTTATTGCATGTTTTGACTGATGTGTTGCTTAAATATGAAGATAATGATATAGGATTCGGAAATCTAGTTCACAATTTCACTTCAGTTATTTTCAGGGGACATTCCTGATCAACAAAGGTTGTGTTCCATTTTTTTAAAACCAGGAATCACAGAATAAATGAACTTGTAACGACTATTTCACTGCATAATCACTATCCTTGTAAAAACGTTTAAATCGATATTTGGAATTCATTTCTATAAAGTTGGAATGACTGTAAATTGTCAATTAATCAAGAATATATCGATTTCGTAGCATCATTGATTTATATAAATTATAAACTTCAATCTTACCAGCCACAACATATTTTGGTGTAACAGTGATAGAATAGACAGATCCAAACGTATGGTCAATTTTTCCCTTCAGATTGAATGGTTCTACTGTATTCCATATATCTATAGTGTTATGAGATCCACTAAATAAACTATCCTAAAAGCAATACAAAGAATACACTTAATTAGGAAGTAAAATTTATGGCCTTCGTTGATGGCAGATCTTTGATTTCTTCTGTTTAATTTGTTCAAAACTTTTATAGACCTGAGACAATTAAGACATATCATATAGACCTGAGAAGATTAAGACATATCATATAGACCTGAGAAGATTAAGACATATCATATAGACCTGAGATGATTAAGACATATCATATAGACCTGAGATGATTAAGACATATCATATAGACCTGAGATGATTAAGACATATCATATAGACCTGAGATGATTAAGACATATCATATAGACCTGAGACGATTAAGACATATCATATAGACCTGAGATGATTAAGACATATCATATAGACCTGAGATGATTAAGACATATCATATAGACCTGAGACAATTAAGACATATTATATAGACCTGAGACGATTAAGACATATCATATAGACCTGAGACGATTAAGACATATCATATAGACCTGAGACGATTAAGACATATCATATAGACCTGAGAAGATTAAGACATATCATATAGACCTGAGACGATTAAGACATATCATATAGACACTTGTCTTTTCTTGAAGACTGTATGTTTCCCTTTACATATCTTTAAGTTTTTTTTGGCTGTTTTGTTTGCAGTCTTATTGACATATACATCACATATACCTAACATTTCCTTTTGTTCTCATTTCAATCAATACTCAAAACTTTGGACTTAAAATTTGTATTTCTATATTATCATTGTAATCTTATTTCAATCATTTCAGAAAGTAAAGACCTTCAGAAATCTGTTACTGTTTTATATTTTAAGAATAGGATCAGATAAATTTAGAAAATTGACATCCAATAAGCACAAAAAATTAACCAAAAAAAAAATACCAGAAAAAAATCTCCAGTTAAATGCCTTATGTCCTACTTGCATTATTTAACTAAATACTTTTAAATATTTTTCTTTAAGCATATAATTTCCTTGTTGTTTTCTTACCTTTGACATAGATATAAAGCTATAGCTCGAACCTAATGGTGTAATCCTAATATAACTTACCTTAGAAATAGATAAAGCTAGAGCTTTAACCCAATGGTGTAATCCTAATATAACTTACCTTAGACATAGATAAAGCTAGAGCTTGCACCCAATGGTGTAATCCTGATATAACTTACCTTGGACATAGATAAAGCTAGAGATTGACCCAATTGTGTAATCCTGATATAACTTACTGTAGACATAGATAAGGATAGAGCTCGAACCCAATGGTGTAATCCTGATATAACTTACCTTGGACATAGATAAAGCTAGAGCTCGAACCCAATGGTGTTATCCTGATATAACTTACCTTAGACATAGATAAGGCTAGAGCTCGAACCCAATGGTGTAATCCTGATATAACTTACCTTGGACATAGATAAAGCTAGAGATTGACCCAATGGTGAAATCCTGATATAACTTACCTTGGACATAGATAAAGCTAGAGCTCGAAACCAATGGTGTAATCCTGATATAACTTACCTTGGACATAGATAAAGCTAGAGCTCGAACCCAATGGTGTAATCCTGATATAACTTACCTTGGACATAGATAAAGCTAGAGCTCGAAACCAATGGTGTAATCCTGATATAACCCAATGGTGTAATCCTGATATAACTTACCTTGGACATAGATAAAGCTAGAGCTTGAAACCAATGGTGTAATCCTAATATAACTTACCTTGGACATAGATAAATCTACAGCTCAAACCCAATGGTGTAATCCTAATGTAACTTACCTTGGACATAGATAAAGCTAAAGCTCGAACCCAATGGTGTAATCCTGATATAACTGTCTTAAATGTCAGACTTCTTATTTCCCAGACCTATCAATTAAATGTGTACAGATAAGATAAAGTATAGGAGTTTATTGCAGTAAGCATATTATGCTATAGCATCTTTCATTCTTTCAATTGTAACAATACCTGTAAAAGCAACATGAAATTTATAACAGTATAAGTATAACAGCAGAGGTTAATTACATCTCTAAAAATGTGTTCAGCATCGTTCATAAATTTTTAAAGATTTTTTTTTTATAACAAAGTGAATGATGAATTTGGCTATTCTTTTTACATCCCTTTTGGTCATTTAGCTATAATCTTATTCCTGTTTTTATACATCCCTGGCTTTCTAATTTATGGGTTTGAACATTCCTGATGGAAGATTTATCCAGAAATCACTTCAAAAACACCAAATTTATAAAGTATTATTTTCATTTTGGTACCAAACAAAAATAATGAATTAGTAGTAAGCTCAGCTAATGGATGATGTCGCTCCTACCTGATTCCTACATATATTCAGACATAGTCACAAGGACTCTAACATCACCCACAGATCCATCCTCTGCATAAGGTAATAAACTGCTTCGCCAAGCACAGCTGGATACGACCGCAGAGGTCCAACCCTGAACAGTTGGGGCAAAAATGGACACAATATTCAAGCTTGATACAGGTCTGAATTTGGATTGTAATTAAATATTTGACACATTATAGGTTTCTGACACAGAATAAATGTAGTCAAATTACTTGAAATTGGTTATATGATTTGAATTTATATTCAATTGAAGATTTCTTGCTTTTGTGCAATACACTGTGCTGTTGCGCAATACTTATTAAATCTGTTTTCAGACTACATACAAAGAATTAGAAAAAATAAATTGTGACTCCAAATTTTTTCTTTGGAAAACTGACAATTTCTTAAATCACCCCCCCCCCCCCCCCCCCCCCCCCCCCCCCCCTCAAATGTCTTCGGACGACAACAACGATGACTTGATAGCAGTATACGACCCCAAAATATTCTTGTGGTCGTATAAAAAGTAGGACTACAGTTTATTATTATTACCTTTATCAATGAAAATGTTGAGGTGAATAAATACTCTCCCGCTACTATCATGGCACTTATAATATTATCATGAGCATTCTAAAATAAATAAATAAGGTAAGCTCAAACAATCATTATCATGGATCTTTTAATATTACAGCATTCAGGAAATAGATATCCTAAAAAGGTCAACAGATATCATGTTTTGGCTTTCCTTAAAAACCACTGACATAATAAAGGATGGTTTGAATGGCACATATTTCATGACATGTCTGCAAAATTAATAACAGAATAATAACTCCATGTGAAATTTTATAATTGAATTGAAATTCAACAATATATATTCATATTCAAAAATTTTCCATTTCACAAGATTTCAGAAAATTTTCATCTTTGGTTAACATTTATAAATACTTTATTAGTTCAGAGAAAGTCCGTTTTCCATGTCCAATATCATTATACACATAACAATCATGTGATAATGTCCCAAATCATATGATGTGTTGGGATCAATACAATGTTGTCTGTATGAAAACATCAGCTTATAAGTGTGAGGTTTCATTAGGATAGAAGAGTCAAATTAGAAAAGTGTGGTTAAATTTTGAAGTGGAAATCTATTCAAATCATTAATTTTGTTTCATTTGCCTGTGTGAAAAACTAAGTGGATGCATAGAAAATGTCATCTGATATGATTTTTTCAACCTCCACATTGAAACGACTATCTAATTACTTTCCTATGGAAATCTAACCAATGATGCTCACTTATTTTTACTTTCCTGACAAAACCAACAAGTTTATGCACATTAGGAATATTTAAAAATCTCTTTTTTTTAAATTGATTTTTGTGAAGTTTAGTAATCTATGTACATGTATATCATATACCTCAACACATTTCTCTTCTTCAAATGTCTTAGTATTCCACAACCTGATAGATCTATCGTCTCCAGCTGAATATAAACTGTCTTCATGTACTGCCATTGAATGTATCTTAAATGACAAGACAAAATATGATAGATAAATATATAGTTTTACACTAGTAATTTTTTGGGGCCCTTTATAGCTTACTGTTTGGTGTGAGCCAAGGCTCCGTGTTGAAGACCGTACTGTGGCCTATAATGGTTTACTTTTATAAATTTTGACTTGGATGGAGAGTTGTCTCATTGGCACTCATACCACATCTTCTTATATCTATAGATAAATTCTAAAAAGTTACCCAAATAAATAATGGCAAATAAGAGTTAATAAATATTCTACAATTACCTAGCTTGACTTTTAAACATTAGAAGGAAGGATGTATGATAAGAGACATTCAATTAAAAAAAAAATTAAAGATATTCAACCCTTTTAAAATTTCCTTATCCATAACTGATAAGTGATAAAAAAAATCCTTTTGCGGTGTCAATGATAAACATTTGATACAAATTTAATATGTATCTGGCAAGATTTGTAAACATGAGAGAACTTAAATTGCAATTTCCATATTATTTATATTTCCAAGGGGCATAACCCTATTAAAAAAATTATCGGGCATTGATTTTAAAACTTGTTTGAGATATTACTTTTACTACAAATAACGATAAATTCCATGTCACATGTCACCTTATTTGAAATAGTTTTGCTTCTCAGCCAACCAGCCTTTAATCTTTCTCTTTAATGGCATGTGATTAGGAAACCAGCAGCAAATATCAATTCTAAAGTCTTTGATTTTTTCATGGGAATCAATTTTTGTGAATTAAGGAAAATTTTTATTTGTATATTGATTTTATGGTTTTGACAAATTGAACATAAGCCTTTAGTATATTTATACTTTGTTTAACAAATTCATGGTTCAGATTTATCTATGAAATCCACAAAAATTAGTATCCAATAAATAGTAACGAATCCATAGTAGTCACTAGACAAGATAATATCTTAGGCAAATACTCACGGTTCCTGTATGACCTTCCATTGTTTTGATACACCCTTTGGCTAAATTTTCCATGTCCCAAACCTTAATTGTACTATCAGATCCAGAACTAAATACTTTATATCGCTTGGTAGCAAGACACCAAACTATATCATTGTGACCCCTGTCAAAAATGAAAAACAAATTAAAGTCCAAGAAATAACATGTGGACAAATTCAGATGTGAGTATTCAACAGATGACCATTAGAACATCCTCTCCTCATTTTACTTACTTAGATCTTGCATTGCAGTTTTAAAAATTCTGAGCATGATTATTGTACTCAGGCTCAGAAATCAACCCATCAAAATACCTGATTAGGTGTTTCGAGGAAAAGTTTTGAACTCTGAGTACTGAGCAACATTTTATGACCAAGAACCCTGTCCTCTATTCAGTAACTTAAAGCTTACAATACAATATGCAACATGTATGAGTCATTTATTAGCATGGAAATCAGAACTTTCCCACCAGAAAACCTAATAACAGGTCTGCCATATCCAAAACAACTTGCATGCTGAGTTTACACTACAGAATAGGCAAGGGAATTTTTCAGATGGTGAAACAAGGCATGTTTGACAAATCTTTGACAAATCTGATAGAAGTTATTTAAAATGCTTTACAAGTTTGACTGAAACATATTATTTAGGTTTAAAGCCTAATCATTTTCAGAGATCATTTTGTTTTTAAACTGATGTGTACAATAAATGTAATTGGTTAACTAAAAGAATTTGTAAGGGTTCCGCGGAACCCAGTGTCTCGCCTACTTTTGCTGTTAATCGCAGGCTCAACAAAAATGAGGAAAACAATTAATAAAAATATTCCTCTCTATACTATCTTTTGATTGTAAGTAGCTTCTGTCCAAGTTTGGTAAAAATCCAGGATAGTTTATGAATCTAATAAATGTTTTAAAAACTTAAACTATAGACTGTATGTAATGTTAACTGGAAGAAAAACTAAGTCCATTTATAAGTAAAATACGGAAAAATGGAACAAAATTTTAACAAAATTTCCTTCTAAATAGTAGCTTTTAATCATAAACAAGCTTCTGTCCAAGTCTAAGTAAAATACAGAAAAAATGGAATTTTTTTTTTACAAAATTTACTTCTGGATACTATTTTATGATCATAAACAAGCTTCTTTCCAAGTTTGGTAGAAATCCAGGATAGTTTAAGAATGTTATTAAAATTTCAAATACTTTAACCACAGAGTGAATGTAATGTTTCCTGGCAGAAAAACTAAGTCCATTTATAAGTAAAATACGGAAAAAATGGACTTATTTTTTTACTTTACTTTTGAATAATATCTTATGATCATAAACAAGCTTCTGTCCAAGTTTGGTAGAAATCCAGGATAGTTTAAGAAAGTTATTAAAATTTCAAAAACTTTAACCACAGAGTGAATATTTGTGGACGCCGCCGATGACGACGACGCCGATGGAATGTAGGATCGCTATGTCTCGCTTTTTCGACAAAAGTCGAAGGCTCGACAAAAAGGGGTCAGGCATTCACATGTCTTTATTTTTTTATTCTTCATTCAGATTCACAACCTTAGGTCACACTATATACATTATATTACTATACTATTCAGTATGGGTTTCGCTCATTTCTGAAGGCTGTATGGTGACCTATAGCTGCTTACATCCATGTCATTTGGATTCTAGTGGATAGTTGCTTAATTGTCTCATTGACAATCATATCATATCTCCTATAACATATATATAGTATATCGTGGCAGTATTTTCATATTCATGTGAGGAACAAAAACACTGATTGCAATTTATTAGTTGATTGAAAAGACTAAATGCAACTATCAATTTTCAACTTTACCAATTATGTCAGTTTGAAGCAATACATTTGTCTCTAAGTTATACAATTTTTTTTTTTACTTACTTCAGAGTACCTATACATTTGAAAACAAAGGGCATCTGCCAATGTTCTTCTCTAATAGAACTTGAAGGACTTCTTTTAGTTCCACCTACAAAGATAAATAATATTATCATTCATTAAATGCAACAGATAAAATGTGGAAAGCTGGCTAGATTAGTCTCCAAAGATCTATTATCTACTGAATGTAAATTGAAACCTCTTTATCTAACTAGAAACCATTCTAATCTACCAGTTATCATAATTTAAACACCATTAATGTGATGGTGGTAAATATGAACTTATTGATTTGATTTGTAATTTTACCCCATACATGTACAACATATTTTTAGTAACAGTGGCTATGTTGGTTTGTGTTTAATAGGTCACCTTATTACAATCAACAAAGTAATACATTACCCATTTTTGACTGAAATCAATTCCATAAAGAGAAGATTAGTCTGTAAGCCAAAAAGGGTATTAAGGGACTCAAAACGACTAGAGAAAAAATATTGGACCTCTTTTTTTTTCAGTAAAATTAAAATCGTACATGCTGTATTTGTTTTATTCATGCTAACTATGCGGTATGGGTTTTGCTCATTGTTGAACCATACAATAACCTATAGTTGCTAACTTTTACATCATTTGGTCTCTGGTGGAGAGTTGTCTCATTGACAATCATACCACATCTTGTTATTTGTATGTTCACATCAAAGTTAAGACCTTGAGGAAACAATATTTAACTATTTTTTTTTTGGGGGGGAGGGGGGGGGGGTTATCATTCAAATACCAGTACATTGTTTAACAATAATGCTAATTATTCACACTTTTATGCTTTGTATTATTTACACTTTAATATCATGCAACAGAACCTGATTGAATAAATTTAGAGAAAGTCTAATCAGCATCAGCTATATTTAGTATTTTATGTAATGACGAATTGAAAATAGACATAAATCAAAGTTCTGAATTAGATACATATAGTATCAAAATGAAGATACTAGAGTCTTAAACAGTTCATGCTTATTTGACTGATGAAAACTTTTTCAGGCAGATCTAGAAAAATATTTCTGAGAAATAAAGTAAATAAAGTTTTACACATTTTGAAAGAGAAGTTTATAACAAAATCAGTTAATTACCAAATGAACTAGGCCTTTCATATCCTAGAATGATCAAAAAGTGCAATACATTCAAATGCCAAAAATTTAAGGCAAACATCACAATCAACTGAAACACAATGGACAGCTCACCTTTCTGTCTTCAGGCTATTTTAGCAGTAAAAAAAAACCACTTACATTTGGAATTTGTGGCTTCAAGTTATCTCCCTTTGTTCATTAAACAGAAAAGGTCTGAATGGCATATTAAATAGTGATTTTGCAATAGAATGACACAGTTGACTGTCACATGAATTAAATGGAAAACAACTCATATATGAATAAGAGATTTTAGGTGAAGTAATTTTTGGCACATTTAGACCACATGAAATTATGAATGTAAGTGTAAAAAATTATGTGTCAAAGTGTTTTAGCTGAAAATGCACCAAAATTTAATTTCAAATAATTTATTTTTAAATATATGACCATTTTATTTAAATATCACAAAACGTGAATAAGATTGTATGACACAGAAATAAATTGTGCAGATATTTATTGGTTCCATAACAGCATTGGAATTGGTGGATATAGCTTGATATCAACTCTGGTTATTTTATTTCAAAAATGTTGAGTTTTTTTTTATTATTATCTTTGAAATTAAATTTCAAGAGTTGATATCAAGCTATATCCAATTCTCACAAGTTGTTAAACCTGTTTCTCTTCTGATAAAAATTATCTTTGTGTAAAAGAGAAAAATCAGCTAAACATTGTTCTTGTCTTTTGCACCTACACAGTTTGACATCATAAGCGAGTGGTGTCAATCATTAACATCAGACTTTTTCAAGCTTTTTGTACACTTCAGAATGCAATCAAATTTGACAAAAGGAATATTTTCAAGTGAAACATGTAAGTGTTTTGTTTATAATTGAAGAAATAAAAAATAAAAAATCACTGTTGTCAAGGGGGAAAAGAAGTATTTTGTAAATTTTATATACGACAACACTTATTCGATTTCCTAAGCATTGTACATAACATGACTTACTTAAATTACTAGAACTGTTTGACCTTGACCTAAGACTGTAATCTCCTGCATTTCCTGGGGAACTTATTGATCTTCTATTTCTTCCAGACATCAGATGGTCAAGAGTGGACTGTAGATTGTCATATTTTGATTGTAATGAAGTTATTTCCCTGAAAAAAAAAGAAATACATGAATTTAGAAAAGTTTTCCCTACTCTGTGTATCTGATACATGTATGTAAAAAAAACATAACAACATAAGAAATATTGATATTAAAAACCACAATGTGCCCAAAGGTAGTACATGTATAAAAGTTGTTTCCTTGGTAATATTTTACCTGAATTAAAAGAGAAGGGCACATATCATTTAGGATAAATTTACTCTAAAATCAAAACTATTACGAAATTTCTTCCATTTACAGAGCATAATGTTGAATATTTGCATTGTTCTTTAATGAAAGAATGCCTTTTATTTAAAAAAAAAGTATTTTCATTTCATAGTCTGTACAGCCATGAGATAACAGTAAACTTGGTAAACAGGAAATTTATGCAAAATCTTACAAAAAAAAAGTTATTTTTAAAGGAAGAGTATTTTGTAATTATCTACTTGCTGGCATAACAAGAACCTATTTTCTGTCCTGCTTAGATTACACCTACTCATAATTCAAAGGTTCTGCACAAATATGAAATAATTCTGTTCAATAGTACTTGAAAAATGTGTGATGATATTTTAAGGTCATTCAACATATATATTAAAGGTGTCATATTATAAGAGCTACCTGACACACGTTTCCAGTTGTGTTTGTATAGATGTTTTACTTCCCTCTAACAATACCACTTTGTTCTCTAATAAATTTACATGTTCTCTTAGTTCCTTGTTATTTTCTTCTAAAAGTCTGGTCTGAAAATAAAATCATGCCACTGTAATTGTAGTGTGCTAATATATGTCTCAATGCCATCCAGGACAGCATTATGTATGATTTAGATAAATAGAATGATGTAAGAAAAGTAAACTGGATTCAATCCTAATAAAACTACATCTTATTAGTGGCCTTGGGCTGTTTTTTGCTCTTTGGTCGGGTTGTTGTCTCTTCGACACATTCCCTGTTTCCATTCTCATTTTTATCTATGGTTATTGGTTCTAGACAGAAATTAACAAGCACATATCATGATCTTAACTTGACAGTTAATTCTTTTGTCTACAATAAAAAAAAATCCTCCTACTGGAAAAACAGAAATTGTAGTACAATAAATACATTTTTTCTACTTTGAATTATTGTTGTACAATATGGGGAAATATCAGTGATTAAGAATTATTCTAGAACTACCGAAACCATACCCGATCAAATACAAAAGTAATCTTGGCTTAGATTTACTTATTGTTTAATCTACCATTAGGATAGATGTTTATATTGGTCTGTCCCAGAATTTTTGTTAAATAAAATCTCCTATGTAACAAATACAAATGGAATGAAGCTAAGATTGAATACAACTCAATTACTGAATATGCCAGAGACAAGAATAAACACATTTAAGAGGTTTTGTTTAATTCTCTTGTCCAACTATATAGAATATGCTTCAAGGAGCACATTTACACAATAGAAATAATTTTAATTCAAAGTGTTTTAAGTTTTTACTGGATAATCAAGGAATTATCAAATAAATGTATTTAATATTAATATTTTTTTCTGTATAATTTATAATGATATCTTGGTAATTTAAATTTTTGTGTGATACATTGTGATTGATTTAGTGAGTGATTAATGATTAAAGTCAGTTTCAGCACTATTGTGCTATTTTGTGGCGGTCAGTTTTTATTGGTGGGGAAAGCCGGAGTGCCCAGAGAGAACCACCAACATTCGGCAGGAAAACTGACTATCCATATCAATTAAGATTGGAGTCGAACACACCTGCCACGTGTGGGATAAGAACTCACAACCTCAGTGTTGACAGACTAGTGATACAGTAGTTTGACCACCAAGGCCCCATTGTGATGCATCGTAAGTGGAGTGTGACAGCCTCAAGCTAGAATAATGTTGGTTCTAATTAAGCTTACCCTCTTGAAATAAAGATAATTAATATTATTATTATTATAATAATACTCAATAAAATGTTCTGAATAAAACTTTTTAGACCAGAACAAAGTCATTCCACCATTGTTTCAAATTACGAAATTCACTTGAATATCAAATAATTTTGGTTATTTCTTTTGGGTTATTCATTGCATAAAGCAATCAAATTGGTTTTTGTTACATTTGTATCATATAGCACAATTGTAGGGTCATTTATGCTTTCTGGTCTGTACATTAGTTCCAAAATCCATCCTGTATAAAGTTAAAGTTTTTTAAGCTAATTTGCCATGAGATTGTGGTCACATCAACTTGAAACTCAGAACAGATGGTCATTTTGATATATATGAACTTTTTAAAGCACATGCTAAATAATGGCTGTGACCCAGATTTCACTGTTCACTGAACATGGAAATATGATAGCCTGAGTGTAACATGGAAATATGATAGCCTGAGTGTAACATGTGTCCTGTGGTCACATATTCTTGTTCTAAACTAATTCAAGACTAATTAATATCAATTGTCAGAAGTTTCATTGTAATAACTCAATGAAGCAATATTTGGGAGGAAGACATGAACCAAATCAATTTTTAAAATGAGCTGATAAACTTAAACAGCATGTGCAATCTAATGCAGCTTGCTCGCTCAAAAATGTGTTATATTCATGTCTGTCATATTTGTTTTTTTGTTAATTGCTGTGTTATATATTAGACCGTTAGTTTTCTTAATTGAATTGTTTCATATTTTTCATGTTGGGGCCTTTTATAGCCGACAATATAGTATGGGTTTTTCTCATTGTTGAAGGCCGTACGGTTGCCTATAATTGCTTACATCCACTTTATTTGAACTTTGGTGGATAGTTGTCTCATTGGCAATCATACCACATCTCCTTATTCTTATACGCATACACAGTTTGACCTATACATTTTTTGGAAATTTGTGATTTTGTGGTTTAAAAAACAGTAAGGAATAAATTTGTATAATTCTCAAATGTTTACCTGTAGATTAAAATCTTTTATGCTAACACTATTCTGTAATCCTCTATAACCACAATGATTCAAGTGCTCTGATATTTGGTCTTTTGTTCCTGTAAACTCACATCCTGAAATAATAACCAGAGTTAAAAGTGGGTGAATGATCTATTATTGATATAAAATCAGCCCTTTAGTGATAAAGTCAAGAGTAATAGGCAAGCAAAGAAATTTCATTTTGGAAAAGATTTGTATTTTCTTTTCATGATTGCAGAACTACTGTTAACTAATTTTCGTGAGCGATTTATTTTTCTTGACTTTCGTTAGTAGGAAAATAACGCAAATATTTAAAATTCGGGTCTTCCATTATAAAATTACATCAAGAAACTTAGAAAATCAGAAGATAACTCGCTGGGAAGTCAACTGGAAAGGCCTAAACATGAAACACAAAATAAACTATTCAGGAAAATAAGTTTGTTAGTATTTCCTGTCATTGTCATGCCAGTTTGTCTATGTAATTTCTATATAGTCCACTCAGTCACTGATTATCCTTGAAAACAATGAGGATAATAGTGGATCATTATTCTTTACTTAATCGGCCAAGTTTTTATCTTTAGATGACACTAATAAAAATTTAAATATGCCATGGTGGATGCAGAAGTTTGCCTTCATCTATCTAATGTATAACATCAGCATATCACAACAGCAGAAAATGCTGAAATCTCACTACAATCATTCACAATAAGATGTGACTAGGTCAACAAGAATACCCTTCCTTCTTCCAAATTCCAAGGATCGTAACTCTCTGCAAAGAAGTTCATCTAAAACATAACTTGAACTTGAGCAGTAATTCACAATTTTACACTGATTAAGCAAAATTCAGCTCATTAGATATTAGTAGGACTATAGCAGGGACATTGGTGTCACTTAATGCCCATGCCACCAAGGAACGGGGCATGGAAAATGCAAAGTGCACTGAAAAAACTTCCTGTTCACTTAGACACCGGTGGATAGTTGTCTCATTAACAATCATACTACATCTCTGTACTTTATATAGTATGTGACTTAATTATTTACTGGTCTAAGGTTGTTGATTTAACCCCCTTAGGACTATGATTTCCTCCATATAAACACTTACCTCTATTCTATGTTGTATGAATATCTAAAAAGTGCCATGGCCTATCATTAAATTTTATATACATCTATAAAAACTAGTTACTTATAAGGATTGTAATTGAACTGACACTTCAAAAGAATGAAACTGCAACTGAAGTTACTCAACTGAATTATCTTTCTAATTGAAAAACTTAATAATAAATTCTTACCTTTGTTTCCATGACTACAAGGTAAATAAGGACAAACTTCTGTATGAGATTCCAACTCTAATTTACGAAATCTACCACAGTGAACCTCACTATTAGGACATGGCAAAGGTGCAAATGAACATTGAGATTCATGTTCACTTCTCTTTCCTGTAAATAAATAAAGTCAGTAAAATTAATGGTCAATATATCAACATTAACTTTAACAAGATATATGTATTATCAGTTCAAACTCTGCATATACTTCTACAAAATTTCCCAGTATGTATTATGCAGGTATGGTTGAGATTTTTAATCAGAACTCTATTTTGTGAAATTAATTTATGTTTCATAAGTTGATGCACTTTAATGGAAAGGTAACTGAATGCACATGTATGAACATGTTAATATCTGCAAGTCTAAAATATACATTATCTAATGTATGCAAAAATTTAGAAGTCATAGGTTTCCTGGAATTTCTGTAAACTTTGAATATTTAAACTTAAGAGTGGTTTTCACAAAGTATGATTTGTTACACCCTAAAACAAGACATTTGTATCTATGTTGGCCATTCTCTTTTATGAAACAAAGTAAGACCTGCTCTTTCAATTTGTCTATAAGTTTGGAAAGGAAAATACTTGTGCAAGGGTAGAAAAGACAAATGTTTTTATACTATTGTAAGAGGAAATAGACTTGAATTGAATGTATTACATCCTCTTACATTTTGTAGCTATAGGGACATTTTGTAGCTATAGGGACAATCATTTGATATTCATTTTCACTTTTGTACACATTTGTATCCTCAACTAGCCTGCATTTTATGTTGACAAATTTTCATTTTCATCCTGTCTTGTGCAAAGTCATTTATTTTTTAGTTCTTACCAGACCAAGTTATTCATTTTCAAAATCCTCCTGCCCCCCTCCTCCTGCCCCCTCCTGCCTTTCAGAACTATAAAACACAGAAAATCTTCTTTCACTTCCCTTTGAACTGTATACAGAGTACATTGATACACATGAACACAAAATGTATATAATATAAGCATATTGATATACATGTATATATAATAAACATATAGTTACAATTATCATTAATCAATATAATTTCAACTTGTCTATTATTTTGTAAAAGTTTCGTCAAAATTATATATTACCGATCTGGATTTTTTCTTGGCATCCACTGGGATCAGAAACAAAGTCTCCATTTTGTTTCATTACACCATATTGACAATAAATCAGTAGGTCTTCTATCTGGCCAACAACTAATCTAAAATGTGAAAAAAAATATCAACTTTATTTTCCTATCATAATCTTTTATCTGAGAGAATAAACACCATATTGCATTACTAATCCTTACACAAGAACTTAAATTTGAAATTCTTAACCCTGAAACTTAAATAAAGATTAAACAAGACTGATGCCACTAGTGGAGCAAGAATTGCTATCCCTTTCATAACACATGATTTCACCCCGATTATAGTGGGTTTGGGCCAGGGGTTGCTCAATCTCTAGTTTTCTTTGTAGCTTTTTGTTGATTGTTTTTAGTCTGCTGGTCTTTTTCTTATTGCAATGGCATGGTCTGTCTTTTTTTTACTGCCATGGTGTGGTCTGTCTTTTTCTTACTGCAATGTCGTGGTCTGTCTTTTTCTTACTGACATGGCGTGGTCTGTCTTCTTCTTATTGCCATGGCATTGTCTGTCTTTTTCTTACTGCCATGGTGTGGTCTGTCTTTTTCTTACTGCAATGTCGTGGTCTGTCTTTTTCTTACTGACATGGCGTGGTCTGTCTTCTTCTTATTGCCATGGCATTGTCTGTCTTTTTCTTACTGCCATGGCGTGGTCTGTATTTTTCTTACTGACATGGCGTGGTCTGTCTTTTTCTTACTGCCATGGCGTGGTCTGTCTTTTTCTTACTGCCATGGCGTGGTCTGTCTTTTTCTTATTGCCTTGGCATGGTCTGTCTTTTTCTTATTGCCTTGGCATGGTCTGTCTTTTTTATTTCCATGGCGTGGTCTGTCTTTTTCTTATTGCCATGGCGTGGTCTGTCTTTTTCTTATTGCCATGGCGTTGCCTGTCTTTTTCTAATTGCCTTGGCATGGTCTGTCTTTTTCTTATTGCCATGGCATGGTCTGTCTTTTTATTATTCCCATGGTGTGGTCTGTCTTTTCTTATTGCCATGGCGTGGTTTGTCTTTTTCTTATTGCCATAGCATGGTCTGTCTTTTTCTTATTGCCATGGCGTGGTCTATCATTTTCTTATTGCCATGGCATGGTCTGTCTTTTTCTTATTGCCATGGTGTGGTCTGTCTTTTTCTCATTGTCATGGCATGGTCTGTCTTTTTCTTATTACCATGGCATGGTCTGTCTTTTTCTTACTGCCATGGTGTGGTCTGTCTTTTTTCTTACTGCCATGGCGTGGTCTGTTTTTTTCTTATTGCCTTGGCATGGTCTGTCTTTTTTATTTCCATGGCGTGGTCTGTCTTTTTCTTATTGCCATGGCATGGTCTGTCTTTTTCTTATTGCCATGGCGTGGCCTGTCTTTTTCTAATTGCCATGGCATTGTCTGTCTTTTTTTATTGCCATGACGTGGTCTGTCTTTTTATTATTCCCATGGTGTGGTCTGTCTTTTTCTTATTCCCATGGTGTGGTCTGTCAATATGTTTGACTGGTGGTATTTTATTGTTCCCTTGGTATCTTTTATCCTTCAACATAAAATAAAGTCAAAACCAGTTCTCCCTATCTCAATTTATGTTAGTGATTTGTTCTAAAATATGATTTTAACTACCAAATACAAAAACAAAAACATTTTATGATTAAAAATTTGATATAAAGTAACTAATGATTTTTGCAAATTAACTCTTAGTTGACAGTTTTCTAATATCTAATTGACATTTAAAAATACATATATTTCAATCTCAGATGTAACATAAAAACTATTAATGACAATTGTAGTATATTGATTCATATATACAGAAGAATGACTACAGAATATTTCAATTTTTATGTTAATGATTTATTACAAAAACAATCATATTAGTTCAGTGTCAAATTACCTGTCAAAACAACGTTTTTATTTATCTGTGGCACTCAGTATTGCAAAAATAATATTACATGTACCTTAAAAAGGTAAACCTGAAAAACCTGTATACAGAACATGTTTTTGTCAGGCTTGGTAAATTACATTTTTGGCATTGATATTAATTTTAAGGTTGTACCATATCTACTTTTACACAGAAGAGAAAGTTTTCACAAATTATGAAATAGCTATTGCAAAATGATTTAAATAGTTTAAATATATCAGGATTTATCAATTTTCAAGGAAACCATAAATTTTCTTTGATAGAGGAAGAATTGTTTTTTTGTGGATATTGTATTTTGTGGATTGACCAAAGTCTGCATACAAGCCTATAGAAAATTCATACTTTGTTGTGCATTTAAATTCCTGGTGTACTATACCAAAAAAATCCACAAAAATGGGCATCCCATGAATATTCATGAATCCATAATTATTTGTGAGAATAGCCATTTGTTACTGTTATTGTTTATTTATTGACAGAATAGTACTGTTGACATGGTATGCTGGTAAAATTGTACATTGTATAACAGAGAATGTTTCTTTCAAAAATGAAGAAAAATTACATTTCTTGTCCTATACAGTTTTGAAAACACAATGGCTTTCTTGGAAATATCAAAACACATTATTAGAAAAGAATATATAAATAAGAAGATGTGATACGATTGCCAAAGATATACCTCTTCACCAGAGACCAAATGACATAGAAGTTAACAACTATAGGTCACTGTACAACCTTCAACAATGAGCAAAACCCATACCGCATAGTAAGCTAATAAAGGCCCCCAAATGACAAATGTAAAATAATTCAAACAATAAAACTAACAGCCTGATTCGTGTACAAAACGGTGAATGAAGAACAAATATGATATACAGCAACAAATGACAACCACTGAATACAGGCTCCTGACTTGGGACAGGCACATACAGAATGTGGCTGGGATAAATATTTTTGCTGGTGCCAAACCCTCCTCTTAACCTGGACTAAAAGTATGCTATTACGGTTATCTCTGGAAAAAAAATTAGATGAGTCTGACTAGTCCAAAATCTGAAGAATAGCAGTACCACTGTCTTTATTCAGTATTTAATTCTGATGGTTGATACATGTAAGTGAAAAAAGCTTCTTATCCACCTTCTGTTATGGAATAATTACTTTAATTTTATAGATTTTTACTTGTGAAATATAAAATACCATGTTTTTGTGTGTTTTGTTGTGGGTAAATGTTTTTTTTCTTTCATTTGCCCTATATTACTAGTACATGTATTGCAATTTTATATCCATTTTCTTTTATATACATGTATAATTGCATAATTTTTTGAATGCATGAAAGCTTTACATGTAGTTCTAAGTGTCGATTTAATATTCAAAGATTGGAAATATTTCCATTAGAACATTGGGCTCAATTTACCAGTCTTTGATAAAATTTGTTTTAGGTTCTGCAAGACCAGAGTGCATATTTTCAAATATTTCCCCTATATCAAAACACTTTTATGACTTTAACACGCTGATTGGTTATGTATTCTATATAAATCCCTAGGATATAAAAACTTGTCATTACAATATAAAGATACACATTAATTAGCTGTTCCTAACCTTATACATCGTATTAAAAATTCAATCTCGTTATTTATCCAGCAGTGATTTTATACCCCTTGCTTTGAGCCAATGAGAAAACAGAAAATTATTGTTATACCTTTTGGACTCACTAGTTTGGAAAATAAAGAGTGCAGGACTCATTTTAGTGAACAATACAAACACATAACATTTGAATATATTCGATTAATATCTATTTTTTCTAATTTTCTTGTACTTTTAACTTCAACACATCTAGGAATCAACTAAATTTGACTCCACAGTGTTAAGAAAGCATTAAACAAACAAGAATTATACCTGGGCTTAAAAATATCACCACTTAACCAAATATTCGACACAAGAGGCAAAGCAATGTAGTACATGTACTTCCACACAGATTTAGGTAAATACATTATACATCACCCAAGATTACAGTAATTTTTATTATCATAAAACATACCATTTGGGTCCTTTGAGTATCAGGCTCACACTACTTCAGGATCATAGGGAGGAGTGACTTCACTTTTTGATTAATTTTGAGACTAATAGGGAGAAGAAGTGCTTGTTAGCTCATGGCACTATAATGTTTGGTTTTTCAATGATATCTTGTCATTTGTACATTATTCATTCTTTTTTGTACTGTCTTGACTGTACAAATCCAATATTGAATAAAGTTATATTATATGTCTAAGGTAGTAATATACCGTTAGAAAAACAAATTAAATTTTACGTCCATAAATTTTACCATCCCCTTTTCCTTGCTTTCTTTCCAATAAAGTTTACTGTTTGTGTCATATACATGTTTGTGTATACATGTAAGTATGTAATTAGTATCTTCTATAGATTTGATTTCCAGTAATTAAAATGGTTAAACATAATTTCTTTTTAGTGTATCCATTTATTTGCTATAAATTAAAAAGTATAAAATATTGCAAAAAAATATAAGGGGTGCCAAGATGTCACATATTTCCCCAAAATTTGGCCAAAAGTAGAATTTCAATCCCTTGTAGTGATACATGTACCTTTTTTGAAACTGTTTACATATATCTATAAAGAGATCAAATAAAAATCATATGTCTTTTGTCTCATTTTTTCGTAAAATTCCATCAAAAAGTTTGTGTGAAAAAAGTGTTTATACACATTACAATAATTTCTCAACCTATGGCCGGTCTGGGTATGAAAATAAAAACTGCCAAACAGAAAATAGCCCATAAAACATGTAAAAAATAATCTTGATGTTCCTATAAACCAACTTTGAAGGCAGAATTAGTCGTCAGTTGTCTAAAAATGAATTTTATTGCACAATAACTTTAAAATTTGAGAAATCCACTGGGGCCAAAATGAGAAACCAGACTCCTGACTGTGTATTTCTACCTAATGTTACAGTTGTTCAAATATATATGTCTTAAATTGTCTTTTAAAGTTATTCATTTATATTTTTCCAATATTAAGGCACTATCAACAAAATATCTAGCACTGTAGCAGATTTATAGAAAATAATTTAAAAAGTTCAAAGTCAGAGGAAAATTATTATGTTCATGATATTCAGTGCTTTTCATTAAAGAATATAAAAATTTAACAAATTTAGGTAGCTTACTTTAAATTGATAAATTGAAACAATGCATTTGCATTTATACATGTACATGTATATACCAGTATACTTGAAACTAATAATAAGGGAATCTAATATAATGTCTATCAAATGTGTGGAATGCAAATTTTTTCACTGTTTGGCTTAGTATATATTCTCCCATTGACTCATCAATTCTAGGGTCTGTAGCTATTATTTTGAGAATACAGATTAAGGGCATTGTTGGTCTGCCTTTAATCTAGATCTTCATCTTAAGGGCAATTAGCCTGCAACTAACTTGCAGGCAGATAAAAATTTACAAAAAAACAATCTTTGACAAGTGATTTCAAATGAAATATGATGTTTTAATTGCAAATTAATAATGGATCAAACACTAACCTAAATCCATTTAAATCATGTTTAAATGAAGTTACCAATTTTCTCTTGATGTAAACTCTTGTAAAAATGGCCAGTGTGAAAGAAAATACTTTCTTTTGTTTAAATTAAAAGTTGTTCTTTTGAAATAATATGTATTGCAGCATGTACATGTACAAATGTATGTGTTACCTATTTGGTGATCCATATTTAAATTGCATATTGTGATGAAAATTTTTTAATTCTTTATCATTGTTGGTAAGACATACAATTACATGTACATGTACTGGTATCTATATTTTGTAAAAGCTGGAAAATACATGTTTTTTCAGAAAGCTGTAAATCTAGTCCAGTTACATTCTAGAAAGTAATGAAAGTTTCAAGTTTGTAAAACTTCGGGTGTCCATCATCAACATTCATGAAAATAAATGGAGAATGTGTCCATGGGACACAGATGATGCCCCTACTTGCATATAATGTTGTAAAGGGACATAACTCAAGAACAGTAAAAGTGACGTCACCCAAATTCTAACTTGATCTGAGTTTTGTGGTAAAAACCATTGTGTATATACTTTCATAACATTTGATTGAGGCAAACATAAGTTAGAAAACGGAAACGAAAAATTCAGCAATTTTTCCATTTGTAAAGGGGCATAACTCTAGAACGGCAAAAGTAGCGCCACCCAAATTCAAACTTGATCTGTATTTTGTGGTAATAACAAATTACCATTTATATTCATTTTTTCCTAGTACAATAAGGTTGTGGAATTCCTTACCAAACCAAGTAGCCAGTAGCCCAGCCTTAGAAGCATTTAAGTCTGGTGCAAAATCACATATACATGATATATATTGCTAGATAAAATACATGTTTTCATCTATATACAAAAAATAAATGCAAAAAAATATTTTGAAATTTATTGTAAATATGTTCAGATTTTTAAAAACTTTCCCTAGCATGTGCCTTTAAGAAATCTTCAACATGTTAAAGTTAAGGTTCATCACAACCTTTAGCAAATATGGCCGTATTTACACCACAAATTTAACTCTAAGTACAGACAAATCTGTACACCTGGAAAAGTTTTGGGCCCTGGCTCGACCTAGATATATAAAATTTAAATGCATTTTAAGTTTCAGAAAATTAAAAACTTCACTGGATTTTTCTATTAATTTTTTTCATTCCTGCAGAAGGTGCCAAAATAAACTAAGTTGAGGAAGAGGTTTGAGAAGCTCCCCTCGAATTAATAAATATTGTGAGTTGTATTGATTTAAATGGACAATAGATGGACAATAGCTAGACATCTGCAAACAATAGGTGATTGTAACTGAGTGGACCGTATCAAATGAAACTCGTGTGTTAGTTTATTTTCCTATCTTCTGCAGACTGGAAAAAAATGCACACCAAAATACAGGTAAGTTTATAATTTTCAGAAACATAAACTACATACAACTTTAATACATCTATGCCTTAAAACTTTCCTAGATGCACTGGTTTGTCCGTACTCAGAGTAGGTTTTGTGGTGTAAACACGGCCATATTTTTCAATTCCTTTTCACTTAAGAAGTATTATGTAGATGAAGAAGCAGACGCTCATCTATCACCATGTGAATGTACCAAAGACACTAGACAGGTAAGCAGACTTGACAATTATTACATTGGCTCTGCTCACAGCGCCACTGTAATGATTGTTGTGTATGCTTATCAGTACTTAGTACATATGTGTACGATGCAGTCCGGTAAATCCGCCCATATAAGACTTTGATCGTATGTATTTCTGCTTAATTATATACAAATTGTATCAAATTTAATATAAATCGATTCAAATGTGTTTGTCAGGTAAATCCGCCCATGTGCAGTAAATAAGTATGGAGGGACAGTTTATCATAAATTTATGAAAGGAAAAGGTGATCTATTTATTAATAGACCACTTATTAAGGGATTCCAGATAATCCCAAAAAAAATTTCAAGTCAGAAATGAGATTTGTAAGCAATAATATGATTATCGTTAGCTTTAGGAACTGTATTATATATATCACTAGATATTTTCGTAAAAAAGGATTTTTCTTTAAAATTTGACATGCAGTGATGATAAGTACAGTTCCTATGAATAAAATAGCAGACGAAATATTCATGGAAGTGACAATTACGGAAGATATGGGAGTGGGCGGATTTACCGGACGGGCGGAATTACCAAAAACACTACTGTACTGATGCTCTCGGATGGCTCTCTGTGTACAGTTGTGTCTGCTTTGTATCATGCCATTCTGAGGGATTCTGGTTATTTCCATAAGTTTGTCCTGACATGCTCTTACTAAATACTTATAGCTACATTGTACAGGTATTACACTGATGACGAGCCACTGTTTGAACACAGGCAACCACTTGATATCACTTTTGGTGGTCCAGAAAATAGAAGTGACGGACTGGGAAGTGACCATCTTACTATGGTTGCAAAGAAGAGTGAGCCATTAGTATTTACTACTATTTACTGGGCATGCTATCAGTTAAAATTTAAAGAAGAAAGGGTCTATTTCAAAGGGGCCTGATGGGGGGGTCTCATCACGATTCACGAGTTGATTTTTTTGGCAATCACGATTCACAAAAAATGAATTTCCATGATCATCGATCACAAAAATATAAAAAAAAAAAATTCTGTAGAAAAACGGATCACGATAGCGAAAATGCGCCGATCACGAAGAACGAAAATAACCCATCAGGCCCCTCATTTCAGATCTGGGATGGAGAGCGCTGAAAAAAAACAAACCTGTTTACTACAAGCTGTGTGGTGTCACAATGATTACCATCGACAGGACAATGTGAAGCTGAGAAAGCACATTTCTTACAAAAAGTATGACCACATTTTATGCTTATTACTGGTTCGGAGTATAATCGCCCACAAATTGGACAGGTAAGATGACTTGAAAGTTCATCTGCTAACACTGTTGGAGGGTTTTGGACTTGTTCTGAAATGTCCATGTTCAGTTTTTAAAAATACATCCAATTTATCGCTTTCGATTCGGGTTGAAACAGTTTATTCTATGGAGAATATCACTGAACTTGTTGTTTTGATCAAAATTTCCTTCCGCATCATGTCGCTCTTATTTATAAAGATAATTTTCTGTAACAATCAATCTTATAACCGAAAAACAGTAGAACGACTTTACACGGCAACGGTCAGGGTTGAAAGAGGTCTAATAATGTTTTTAATTAGCACATATTTACAACTTCTCGTCCAATCAAATTGCTTAAATTCCCCTTCTATGTTTCATAGTACATACTTTTTGTATACCGTGTATTTTAAAAGGGTAAGATGGAAATTTCATTGTAAATTCAGAATAATTAGTGCCACCGGCTGAGTTTGTGTCCAAAATTTAATGAGTATAATTATGTAAGTGTTCACCATGATATCCTATGATGATGATGACGAGCAACATTCAAGTTCTTTTAAAATGTTCTTAAGGGGCTTGATTCTCATGAATCATGAATTGAAGCAGTATGAAAATGTTTGAAGGAAATGTGCTACCTCTATTTATATTTTGATGAATTAACAAAGCTTTTATATTAATACTATAAAATTAAATAAAAATAATTTCCAAATATGCAGTCTTATAATTTATCTTTTGATATTTGATTTTTATTGCATATATAATAATCCGCTTGATTATCTATGGACCACATATGTATATATATATATAGTTACTTTGTTTAAGTGTGTTTACATGTATGGATGATTTTGTTTTTATGTACTTCAATCACTCTACTCATTCTAATCATTTACTTTGCTTTATTATGTAATAATTCATTTGATTGTATTGCTCAAATTTTGGGCACCATGATAGCCGGATTAATAAAATAATATCTTATCTTATATCTTATACCGAAAACATTGCTTTATAACGATAAATACCGTCCCAACATCACAGGGACCATCTTTTTCATTCTGGGGTCAAGGGCCTTTTAAAAGCACAACATTTTTTGTTTGATTGACGAATAAACAGTCAATTAAGTTCCCAATTCGTGTTTGCTGCATTTATATACTAAATATCTGATAGTTAAGGTGTTCGCTATTCTGTTTCAAAATAACAAGCTTTTGAAAAGACTGTTATAAATTGATAGTATATAAATAAAGGAACTAAATTAGCAGAAAAAAATGAAACGTCCGTGTGCGTGTTTACGAGATATAAACCACTGAAAATTTGGCGGGAAATGATTCTCTCTAGATTTTTCCTACATTTAATATTGGCACCTTTATTCATTCAAAAAGTATGAAAAAAATAACAAGGATTTTATAAGATTTTCAAATATGGCTTTTTTAAAACTATATTTCATAAAATTATGGAAAAAAGTATGGGTTAGCGGGCAAAATTTTTAATGGTACTACAAGAAGAAGAAGAAGAAGAAGAAGATGTTTTATTTCCATCAAATGGGCTCACAAGGAGCATAATATATAATATCATTATAATATTATTTTTACAAATATAATAAACAATACAGTATACATAATTACAAACACAAATAAGAAACAACAGTTTTCACATATTCGTATATATATAGGAGTATGTATAAAACCTTCGTCTCAGGCACACCTCTAGAAAGTAACAAAAAAGAATTCTGTGAGCTAAATATATCTAGCTTAACTGCAGGAGGCATTAACTATACATGGATAAAACCAGAGGATTCCGATTATCTGGCAAAAAATCAAAAACAAGGAGCGAACATCCTTAACTGTCAGCTATGGTTCTAGTGAGAAACTTGATTAATGATCTCGATTTTACAAACACCTGTGAAACAAGTCCGGTGGTCAGTAAAAATCAGTGGCGGATTCAGGGGGCGTAGAGGCGGCGTACGCCCCACTTTTGATTGGAAATTTTGTTTAGCATTGAACATGTTGAATTGTCCATGTTTTTCGCCTCAATCCGCTCGACAGTAAATATACTGTTTCGTGAATAACGCCGTATAAAAATAAGCTAGATCCGCTCCTGAAAATCAGTTATATATATATATCAATATACTAATTATAAGATTTTTCCAGTTGTAAATATGTGCTATGATGGATAGATAATGGAAAGGTCTATACTATGAATATAAGAATTAATACCATACCTGTTTTATAGTATTTGATGAAACCTAGTCAAGGAGATATTCAATGTTTGTGTTGGATATTGATTTACGACTTTGATGTTGATACATTTAATTAAAATCGTGTGTCTTCCGCCATCTATATAAGTAAGTAAAATAGTAGAAAACATTCGGTCTAGATCTTTAATGAAATATGCAAATTAAAAAAGAATGCAATTAATTTGTAAGTCTTTTCATTTGAATAAACAAAGTTATGTTTTTATCTAATTATTTCGACTATTTTTATTAAAACACAATATTGTATGTTTGATTTAATTTGTTTTCAACTCAGTCGTATAAGGAAGTGGAGATAAATCAAATTATCTAAATTATAATGGAATGTGTAAGAATATTAAACATTTTTAATTCTGTAACCCAAAATTCCTTTTTAATTTCGGAAAGCACATCTTAAGATCTACAGTCTCATAGTTTGTTTTAAAATTTTATCGTTTAGTTTTCTTTCTTTTCACTCAAAATTGGGTTTACCATGTATAATATATACAAAATCAGACAATTTTCCCCATCCTGTAGCTTGAAAAAAAATCCGTGACTAATACTTTTTACCATTTCCCACCTCGTTCGTCATGCCTGCGTCAGTTCTTACGCTTTCGATTTCTATGAACGTAATCAATGTATAACTGATCAATTATTTCAATGAAAGTAATCTATGTATAACTGATAGATTATCAAGGCACAGACATAACGTTGTTTATAAGACTTTATACATTTCCTTGTATCAATTGTATGATATACTGATCGAGTGATCGACTGTGTCGTCGTAATTATTTAGCATGATGTTGACATCCATTTTTTTCCATATCACAATTCAAGATATGCAATATGGGTCATTATTTGATAGTTTATGCATCCTGATTGTATCCCTCAGTTTTGAAGTATGAAATGTGAAAAGGGAAATCATCACCATCAATATCGTCGGCAAATATCGAATCCTAGTCTTTTGTTTTCTGTAAATTGTTTTGTGGATTGTTTATGTTTTTTCCTTTTTCTTTTGGCAATGGTATTATTTTTTCTTTGATTGTTTTTTTTTTTTATTGCCCCCCCCCCCCCCCTTTAAAGCCTTGGTACCTTCTTATTTTTATTTTTATCTAGTATTGACGCAAAAAGAACACTCATGATAAAAAAAATGTCATAGGATTTTTGAAATATATAAAACATAAAATAATAATAATAAATCATTTTATTAAAGTGTCACGTATTGATTAACAGTTGAATAATTAAACATATGCAATATTTAAAATAATCAGTACCCAGCCAAACAAATTTACTTTTGAGCAGTTATAAAAATGTATTACAAAGCTGTACATTCTAATAAGCTTTAAAAACGCATGAAACAATTTCATCATTATTCTTCGTAAAATATTGGCTAAAAAACCTTCTAGGATTAAAAATAAGTGGTTAACACTGTCGTTAAGGATCGTAAGATGCAGTCACAGAAATAATTTAGCTAATCTGCAGTCAATTCCATCTTCATACCTAATATATCATGTACTGTGTTATAACTCTAGATTCTACTGACGAGGAAAGGTAACACTAGGCCACCGAAAACCTTTTTTTTAGTTCAGTCTAGGTGGCCGAGTGGTCTAGAGTGCTGGACACAGTGCAGGCGGTGTTGTCACGATATCCCAATAGCATGAGTTCGAATCCAGGCGAAGGAAGAACAAAAATTTGCAGAAGCAAATTTGCTGATTTAAAATTGGTGTGTTGATATTTAGAGTAATTATGAATACAATATGTGCTTTCAGCCGTGTATCACGTACACTGGTGATCTAATGGATGGATCTGTCGTAGACTTGTCACTTGTTTACTCGTACTTATATATATATATATACAACTCGTCTAAACATCAGCCCAACAATGTTAGATCTGTAAATTTGCTTTCGCAAATTTTTTGTTCTTCCCTCGCCGGGATTCGAACTCATGCTACTGAGATATCGTGACACCAAATCGCCTGCACTGTATCCGACGCGCTAGACCACACGACCACATAGGCTTCACAATAATAAAGCTTTCGGTGGCCGGGTGTTACCTTTCCTCGTCAGTTTTAATCTATCGTCGTAATACAGTACATGATATATAAGGCATGAAGATGGAATTGTTACAGATCAGCTGAAATATATATTGTAAAGGATCCTACAAATTAATGCAATATATATATATATATATAAGTCTAAATTGAAAACAACGTTCAAACCTATGATTGCGTTGGATAAAAACCGCAATTTTTATACATGTGTATGCAAAACAAATTTCTTGGTAGAGAGGTCTAAATACAGCACAAACAACATTTTCCAAAAGACCAAAAAAGTGAAAAAGTATATTTAAACAAAACGCATTTGACTAACAGGTCGAACAACGGATGTTCTTAAACCCTGTTGACTGTCATTGGCGATTGCCAAATAAACGGATCACAAGATGTAACAAAATGTATCTTTATTATTAATTTAATACCAAACAGAAAACAATAAACTTGCGGAAAAGATGGTATACCGCAAACATGAGGTGCAAAAATTTGTACATCATATCCGGATTTCGACAATTAATGTCTCTTCAGTGATGTTAGGAATCGAAACAGTATTTGGAAGGCCATATAATTTACCTCAATTTAGGATAGACTCTTGAATTTTGAAGAGTCGAAATAGGATGAACGGATCATATAAACCCGAAGGCAAATATAATACAAGCCCAAACGAAAAAATATAAATAAGTCTAAATTGAAAACAACGTTCAAACCTATGATTGCGTTGGATAAGAACCGCAATTTTTATACATGTGCATGCAAAACAAATTTCTTGGTAGAGAGGTCTAAATACAGCACAAACAACATTTTCCAAAAGACCAAAAAAGTGAAAAAGTATATTTAAACAAAACGCATTTGACTAACAGGTCGAACAACGGATGTTCTTAAACCCTGCTGACTGTCATTGGCAGTTGCCAAATAAACGGATCACAAGATGTAACAAAATG